GGCACCGCACGCCACAGTGTTGAAGTAGTTTCCAAATTACTTCTCGGTCAACGCTGTCGAAGGACTTTTCGAAGTCAATGAAATTGAGGTTAAGAGAAGTTTGACTGCGATTCTATGCTTTTTGATGACCTGCGTAGAGTTGCAATTTGATCAGTACATGATTTACCTTTCTTGAATCCAGCTTGTTCTGGCTGGCTGGCGGAGTTCTCCATCCAGTGCATCTTTCAGTCTCTCCAGGATGAAGTGACTTAGTATTTTACTCGGCATGGACAAAGCATGACTGCAAGTCAATTCTCGCAGAGGCCCAAACCGCCCTTCCTTGGTAGTTCGAGGAGTTAGCCTTCCTTCCAAACATAGGTACCTTTCTTCCTTCCAAACTTATTTGTTTGATTTCATTATTTAAATCTTCTGGCTTACTAGTTACGCCCTTGGCCCGATTATACAGACATTTAACTAAACCATCTTACCCATTCTGGATGGGATGAATTAAAGTCTAGACTTTAATTTAAATAATGAAATCAAACAAACAAAGGAAAGTATTACTAGTGAATGACTACCCACCGGAAATCATTCAAAAATATATGAAGAACCATAGAAAAAATAAGATTAGCGATAAAAATGACAAAAATAACATAAAATTTAAAGCCTCTATAGCACTGCTGTCAGAGGCCTTATATAGAATTCTCAGTGACGCTGGAATTAGTCAGGGTGGCATTTAAACCAAACAAATCTCTCAGAGATAAACTTTGTCGGCTTAAGGACTCAATTGATCCAATAACGAGATATATTATAATTTACTAAATACCGTTTCATGACTATGAGGTCAATTACATAGGCCAAAGTAGTAGATCGGAGTCAACTAGATTTAAAATTAGTAACTAGAATAATTGACCCTGCTAAGTTTAAAACCTAGAAAAAAGCTCAGTCATTGAACTGCATTCACTTGCATGTAATCACAAAACAGGGTGGGACAGGGTGAGAGTATAAAAAAGTAATGTAGTTAGGTGAAGAGAGACGTTAATCAGTGAGGCTTTGTTTATCGATTCAACACCGCACACTTGCAATGGGAATGACGCGACGCCTATACCTGAGATATGGAAAGTGGCGACAAACAACAAAGGGAATTTGGAGAGACAGAAAGAGAGAAAATGTATATAAGACAAATTGTGAAACCGTGTGACGCAAGTGATATGATTATGAGGAATAATTTATGCTAGAAAAAAGTTATCCAGTTGTTAATACTGCACCACTGTGTGATATTTAAAATAAACTTATCTAATATGAAAGAAACACTGAATCTTACTTTAAAAACAAGAATATGAACTTATGATTCAATGCGAATTTACTTGTCTCATACAAAACAACCATTGGTTCATAAGTTCATGTGAAAGTACCTAAAATACAACTTATGTATGTTTAAGAAATTTTAAACATTCTTACATCCTTTAAAATGTGTAACTTTGCCTCACTCAGCCTGTGATTGACATCATCAGTTTAGTGTGTAAAATCAATACATGAAGTCTTCAGATGATGTTATTTACAACTATTACAACTTCTGATAGTCATTTCCAACAGTTTTACAGGTCAGTAGAATGCACTATTCCAGTAAGAAATAATCGCCACATTGATAATGCATTGTTTTTTTAAATCTTCAGTAAATATCACATCATCCACGTAAAACATGGTGTTATTTTTTTCAGTAAAAGCATAAAAGTTGGGTTCTGTACTTAGTTCACACACCTCTGTTGTTCAAATAAAGATTTTTGTTTTAGCAATTTCTTGTTTGTACTAAAATCAAAGGTAATCGCACAACTTTGCAGTTGCTTGTTCAATTTTAGTTTCTATCTTTCTAGTAGTCGTATAGGTAGCATGATTAATTTCCAGAGATTTAAACAGATGTTGAGTAATTCTAATTTCTCACATTCTCACTTTATTCGATAAACTAAGCATCATTTATAGATATCACACTACTTCTTGATGTTGCCATTTCATTTTATGGTTCCCATTTATTGCGTGTAATTTTGTACGCAAAGTTTTCTCTAAATTTCTAATCTTACTAGATTCCATTAATCCAGATTTTGCTAAATGTTGGTTTCGTCAACTTACTGCTAACCACTGCTTGGTGCTGTACAAACTGCATTATCACTTTAAAGTTCATATAAGATTTCTTAGCTAACATATTTATTTTCCCATGTAAATTTATATGTTGCCTTCTGAGATAATAACATAAACAAAGTATCCAGTATATGCAACTTGGTGTATCCTGTAACTCACTAAATACTTAGTTACAAGGTTACCAGAATAGTTTTTAAGTAACTTGACATCAGGATTTCGTCATGAGCTGACATCGGTTAGAGAACCATTGGAAAACTTGGGAGTCCTGGGGTTCGAACCCGAGACCTTCAGGTTATAAGGTGAGCTCGTAGACTATTAAGCTTCTAGGACCCGATCCAATGGTCCACAAATTCCAACTTATGCTAATTCACGATTTACCGCGACCACTAGCCAATATCATCGGGGAGTATCTGTCGTCACAACGGACCTACTGTAACCCACTGGTCACGACTAGGATGAAACAGCTATCCAGTACTACCAGGTTTCCCAATGGTTCTCTAACCGATGTCAGCTCATGACGAAATCCTGAAACCAGTCAAATCCCTGCAAACTAAAGCTTGAATATTAACTGATAGAATGAGATTACCTGTTATTACACCGTAAGATGTAAACTCTAATATCTAAAACTTCTTGTTTACTACTTATTCTGAGAATCAACACAGGCAACTCTTCTCCGTTGTTTTTAATCTCAGAAATAAATAAAAATGTCTAGAAGCAATAAATGACTCATATTTTTAAATATTTAATAAATAATGAATTACCCAACATGGTGTATAATCTGATTTATTCATCCATCCAGCCATGTCATATCAGTGACTAATTATCTTCAACTACTCACTGTCTAACTTCTCTTTTATCTTAATCTGTAAATTATTTCTATATATATATTGTATGTCTGTGGCAGCAAAACTACTTGTATAAGTTTTTTAAACGAAAACAGTTCACAGATAATTGCACAGAAAATGGTGAGTATTATTTTGTCAGGTATTTTAATCAATGATATTACTTCCTAAACACATACTCACGAAGCTACCTTGTATTCACTTAATTATCTGAACGGCTTGAGTAAATGCATGATTAGAAAATGAAAATTCCCGGTGAGTGCATACTGATGAAGAGTCCCAAACTAGGACGAAACAGCTGTCCAGTACTCCCAGGTTTTCCAATGGTTCTCTAACCAATGTCAGCTCATGATGAAATCCTGTAACCAATCAATCAAAACCCTCCAAACCAATACTTGAAAATTCCTTTATTTAACTACTGGAAAAGTCCGAATTAAAAACTATGAGCATTCTTAAGTATGTTTAAGGTTAGATTAATCTACAGATTTTATTATGATTACTGTTAGTTACGTAATGGGTAGGGTAGATTCACAAAATTGAAGTAATTATGATTGGAGAGTAATAAACGTATTTACCATCCTTTATCCATTAATGGATCTGTAGTGCACATTGAGCCTTTGAACTTTTGTTTGAGCGCACTCACCCACTTTTTGGCACTTCTTCCTCTTTCGATTCGTGACTCTCCTGTACCTTTTGGGTTCTCTCTCTCGTTGTGCTTTCATTCAGCGCACTCTCCGAGCCTACCACGATCAAGGCAGCAGATAAGTGTATAACCTCTTATTTTTATCAAATTTCATATCTTATTTGTGTAAAATATAACTCTGTTCCAGGCACACTTGCCATCTCGAGTCTTTTTACCTCGATTCAGTTCGTTAGTACTTGCACGTTAGGCAGAGTACAGCTAAGATCAGAAAGCGGTGAATAAGTTTAGTAAGGGTGGTTGTTTTAGGTCTACATTAAGCCAAGCCTAATCCTTACAGATTCATGAAAAAGTTCAGTAAAGTAGGCTTCTTTCAGAATTAATTTCTATTAAGTGTTATTTTATATTGACTAAATGCAGTCAAATGAATCCTCAACTTAATCAACACCTACGAAATGCCTGTGGTATACAAACTCTTAACTGCTGCAGAGGAAAGAAATCAAAGCAAGCTTTCCGGAGGAGTAGTCATGTCACAGTAAAACGTCGGAGTATTTACGCGGTTTCTGATTATATATATATATCATAAACGTTGAGTTACTTAATGTAAAGTAAAATGAACGTCCCTCTATTTTGCTGACCAACTGGAAATCCTTAATTAATCAATATAGAAAGTAGGGTGTACAAAGACAGAATAAAGATAAGAGCTGAAAATTCACATTATCTAATATCAGATGAGACTAGGGTTTATTCCTTTGTATTCTATGAAATCAACTTGCTGTGTCTTACCATTTTCTAACACCAGTGTTAACATATTTGTATTTTGAAGTCAATTGGTGGATGGTGACTGGCAGTGGAATCCAGGATGTGCATTTCGTCCTATTTGGGACTAGTCACCGGGATGTACCTTCATTCCCCAGTGAGTGATGGTGTTCCCACCGAGGCTCGAACTCATTGCCCATAGTTTCAAACTCCAAACTCCACTAGATCACTTGGGCCGCAAGAGCCACCTCTTGTTCAATGAGTCTTAGTTTGAAACTATGGGCACTGGATTCGAGCCTCGGTGGGAAAATCATCACTCACTGGGGAATGCAGGTACGTGCAGATGACCAGTCCCAAATTGGACTAAATGCTCATCCTGGATTCCACTGCTAGTAACCATCCACCAATTGACTTCAAGTTACATGACCAGATATTCTCGAAGCATCGGCACAAGTAGACAACATGTCAACCTGAGACTGAGCACTTCGGTCCAATCAGTCGATGGGAAAATCTAAATTCAAATAAATATTTGTCTTTCAACAGAAACGCTTTTTCGAAAGGTGCTGTTTTCTATATAATCTAGAACTGTACTTGAAATACAAGCATAATAAAAGTTTTTCTTTTAAAATTTCTGTTGACGACAGGTTGTTCCATCAACGAATGTAAGACTAATCGATACATATCTAATCAAAGGACCCTCTGGATTTGGACTAACACTAACTGGAGTATTAACTTTTATTCCCAATGGAATGTTAGATGTTCATATTGTCTCAGATCAATTTAATACACAAGATGGTTTCTTTCAACGTCTATTACAAATACGAAGTGTAAGTGATGACGTCATTACATGTGATAATGACTTAATCCAATCACACACAAAACAGCCAGTTATACGACCAGGTGATATATTACTCGCAGCTGGTGGTTATCGTTTTGCTGGTTGTACACCTGAATATGCTGTACAGTTATTATCCAGAATTCCAACTGGTGGTATAGTTCAAGTCACTTTACTTAGAGGCTTGAGTATACCTACTAACCAATGTGTAAATGAAATGAATTATTATAGATATCATTCGCATGGGCCAAGATCTTCTAGTCTCTGTTCTTCAGTAAGCAGTTCCTCTGAAGTATCACCAAACAAAACAAATTCGGATCATGAAGCTCAAAACAAATCAAATTTTGTACAATCACATCTAAAAAATGTAAGTTAATTATTGTTTATTTAGACTATTGTAATTATTGTTCCCTGGGGTTCAGAGTGGAACATAGGGCTTCAACAACACATCTCCACTTTCTTCTATTTTCCGCTATCCTCTTCAGATGGGTCCACGATTGCCCATAATCCCTCATTTCCTCCTCACACGATCTCCTCCATGTCACTCCTGTACCCCCCACTCTTCGTTTCCAGTTTGGGTTCCACTTCAGGACTTGGCGTTAATTTGAATCATTACAAACCCGAATATTATTATTAAACTGTACTATCAGATTTCAAGCCACATGGTTATACAAGGAAACCCCGAAGTGTGATGGTGACCTTTTTCACATAGATATGCTTTTCAGTAGCATATGAAGACAGTGAAATCACTAAAGTTGAAAAAAATTTTCACAGAAAATGAAACATCCTCTTATTAATACAGTATCAATGTGTTTTATATCAAATAAACTTTCATAGTATGGAAAAACACAATCTGCCACGGCACCCGAATTCTACTCTAACATTAACTCCATGAATGTCTAATGAGACTGGAATTCTTTCTCTATTACTAAATGGAATTGTTCGAAAGAAAAAATTTACGTTCTAGGTTATGAAATTTCACAATAGTTGTAAGTGTGAAAAGCCACTCTTTATGCTGTTCTGAAACCTTTTAAATGCAATGTGGAATATCTATTAGAATGGATGAAAGCCACTTAAATAATACAATAACTGACCGACGCTTTTTCGATCTATGCCGAAAAAGTATTACAATTCAAGATGAGTTCGAACTATAATGGAAATCAGTTGTTCAAAAACAGTATTTCGTTTAATGTTCCAAAGCAATCTTATATGAGTTAAGACTGAAAACGGAGAAAGTGATTGTTTAAAACAGCGTAGAAAACATTAGCAGACTGTTAATGTCTTATTTTCTGATAATTATAAATTCTCATTATTTATTTTGTAAGACTGAACACTTAGGATCGTGTTGGATGCTTAGTACTCTCTTTAATTTTATGTTGGCTTGCAGAAGATCCTCCCTATAAACTCATTAACTGTATTGACACTGTGAATCAAACTCAAATCAGATGATTCCAAATCCCATAAAGAGCTACTGAGTCACAGTGGTCACCACTGATGTGAAGGAGACTAACTAACACTTGTGATTTTCTGTTGACAGGGATTTAAATGCCAACTAAACGGAACAAAACAAAAGTGGCTTTGTCCGTTTAGAAACAATCCCACAGTGAAAGTAGTATACCTCCCTAATTTTACAGCCAGACATCAGGAAAATGATCTAAAAACGTAGGATTAGAACAATTTTATATTCAGGAAATTAAATGCATACTAAAAGTAATTTATTATTACTATGATTCATTCTTTGAGTCCCAAGTGGAACAGTGGACATCAGGGACACAGGTAAGACCGACAGTTGGGGGCGGTCGACACAAAATTTAGTGTATCAATGAAAATTTTTTAAAATTTTATTCCTTTTCCTTCCAAGTGGAACATAGGGCTTCAGCTTCGAAGTTTCAATAGTAGTGGTGTTTATTTTTTATGGAGTGAGGTTGCTAGCCTCACACCCAACCTTCCCACGTGCGTGGTTGGCGAGTATAAATCAAATTACCCCCGATATATTGATTAGTATACTAAGTCAGATTGACGATAACAGAAATCCACCAAATATGTCGTTCTGATCAATAAGGATTAGTGAAATAAAGGCCATGTCTCTTCACAGCTTGTTCAAGTTGAATGTACAATTTAAAAAATTTTCACTGTCTGTTTTCATTTCTTTTTTTAAACCGGAAATGAAGATTTATGTAATTTTTTCTTGCGACACATGGTATAAATGAGATTAACTGAATTTCCACCACTTAAATCACTTTATGAATAAAATATATCCTAACAAACGAGCTGAGCTTCGAAAAAACTGGCTAACCACTGTAGAGCGTAGGATTTCGCGTAGATACCGTATCTTTATTATTTGAATAAATGAATAAATAACATAAATAACTAGTCAGATTCATAAATGCATGCCTACGTTCTTTCCTGTAATATAAAGCACTAATAAACCTTCTTTGTGATTATGCTTCGTGTTATTGGGTAAATCCTTCCGATAGACAGTGACACATTATCTCCTACTTAGTGTAAATTTTAATAAGCCTGCATAAAATTGTCACAGAAAACTCATTTATTTATAGACTTCTATTAAATATGAATCAATAAAAATCGGGAAAACTGTTGAAGAACTAGAAGCACAGCTGAAGACTTCAAAGCTAAGACAGTACAACTACTCAGTGTTCACTGAATTTTCATTGTTCGCTTACCTGACATCAGATTGTGGCAAAACTCAACATGAAGTCGGTAAAATGTCCCACAAATTTCAACAACTAAACTCGTTTTAACCAAAAACGAGAATCTATTGTATAGAATCAAAATATTTGCTGTCTTGAAGAATGAATGTAAATTATTCTGAATGTTTTGCTTATCTTTATCTTTTCTTTACATCAAAGGACAAATGATAATGGAAAATTCACTTTATCAGACAGAAAGGCTACTAAATTTTTTAAACACACATTTATGTTTCTCATTTTCTAAACACCAGTCATAAATACAAAAACTTCCAACAGTAAAGTTACGTTGTCAGTCATCCCTCTCTTTCTCTCTCTTCATCCACTCTAATGAAGAAAACCTTTCTTAATTGGTGAATACATATTAACGACAGTCTGTAATCGAGAAATTTGGAAATACAAGCGCTGAATCACAGACTCTTCAATGTAGATGAATTAAAGAGATGCAGTGGAATAAATTCCGAAGATGAGCTAAAATTCAGTCTGTAATACCAGTCTGTTCTTAGTGTAAAATAAGAAGGTGAAGTGCATCGGTTTAAGGATTTTAAACATGAGAAGTTTAACATTTGTAATAATACCAAATAAACGCTTGCATAGTGGACTGATTTTTGTTCACTAACACACCACTTAGTTAAAGAGTATACTCCTCACTGTTATATGGCTATTCGATTTGACCTCACCGTTAAGTGTATTCGAAAATCCTTACATTTTACATGTATTTTTATGATTCACTGAGACATTTTATTCATAGTGCATTATTATTCCCCTGGTTTCCGTGTGGAACATACAACTTCTACACCATATCTCCATTTAACTCCGTCCTCTGGAGTCTTTATTTACCTAGCTTCATGACTGCCCATGAGCCTTCATTTCTATGATCTCAACTTTATCACACCCGGATCCATATCAGCTCACAGTTTCCCATTTAAGTTCCAGTCGATAGCCTTGCGCATGGTGTCACTCAACGATCTCCCCAGAGTCTGTCCAATCCATCTTCCTATCTTTCTGCATATATGTTAGGAAATCGGTTCAGAGTTCTTTATTATTTAACTTTTCTGATTGGTCATATGACCTTCAGTATGGGGGAAAGGCAGTTGTTAATAAAAGTTTGAAGCCTGTTGATAATGCTTTCCATGGTGTGCACGCAAAGTCTGCGCACCATGCAGACGAACTTCACATTAACGTTGAGGATTAAAATCTTGTTCCCTATGCTGAGTGCAGTAGATATCCACAGGGATTTCAGAGTCTTACAGGTTTGTCTTGATTTTCCAACCCTGGCTTTAACGTCTTCATCTGTGCTGCCTATAGTGAAAACGATACTGTTTAGGTGACTTTCTTCAGATTTTCAGTATTTGAAAAAAATTAAATTTTTTCCGTTAGCTGATGATGGCTGCTAAAAACAGAGTTGGTGTAGATGAATTTTATATTGTTTTCTCTAGTTTTACATCAGAATTCAGTATCAAAAAAGGTAACTAATTAAGTTCTGATGACTACAAACTGTCTTCTGAATGACAAATGTTTTTTAGATATCTTCTTTCAAGGTAGTAAATCCACAAAACGAAATAATGAATTAGAAATCAATATTTTGGTTAACTTCAGAATATAATAAATACATCCATCATATGTATATATATATATTTATAGCTTTTAATATATGTATAAATCTTGGGCACTGTGGAAGTATGTAATTCCATATTAGTTTGTTTATTAGATATATCACAAAGTTAAACACTATTATTTACTGGATGACGAAGTTTCACAAACAATTTATTGTTCATAATCATATCAATCATAGCCACACAACTTCGAAACTATCGTTTTATAGTTTTCTTTATTCTTTCCTATTCGTCGTAGGGGTAGTAGAATTTTCCAGATATCTGGGACAGGTGTTGGATCATTCAGTGATCATTATCAGTAGTACTTCCATAGAAAAAAGGAACCTCGGAAACCTTGCGGAGAATTCTTAACAAAGCAGGCAGGAATAAAAGTTGCTAGCGTTCAAACCCACAAACTCAATTAGAAACAAGTTTGGCCGGTTAAAGGATCCTGTGCAGTGGCCTACTAAACAAAACAATTTAGTTTATCTAATACCTTACCTGCAAAGATTGTCAGGTCAAATACATAGGTCAAAGTAGTAGAACAGGGTCAGTCAGACTAGAGGAGCACAAAAACCTATCAAAATATAGATTAGTTGACCTTAATAAGGTAAGAAATCTGGAGAATAGTTCAGCCGTAGATAGCACTACATGCAATTACACACAACCATACAATAGGATGGATAAGATGACAGTTTTAAAATCTAATGTAACAGGGTGGGGGGAGAGGTTGATAACGGAAGCTTTATTTATCGAATCAGCTGCAAATATGTGTAACAGGAATGATTCAACACCTGTCCCAGATATCTGGAAAATTCCACTACCCCTACGACGAATAGGAAAGAATAAAGAAAACTTTAAAACGATAGTTTCGAAGTTGTGTGGCTATGATTGATATGATTATGAACAATAAATTGTGTTTGAAACTTCATTATCCAGTAAATAATACTGTTTAACTTTGTGATATATCTAACAAACAAATTAATACGGAATTATATAGCTTTTCAATTCGTCGGAAACATTAGAATATTCATGAAATCTTTCGGTGGACCCGAAGTGAGGATCATCATATATCTTGTCTTCCGTTAACATGCAGGACTAAAATCAGAATGTTTTGACTTACTGAAAGATGATATTACATTCATTTAAAGAATAAATCCTTGTTACCATTTACAATCAGATAAACGCCATAAATATTTCACTATAGAAACGATTTTGAAATATACCGGAAGAATTGCATAAGACTGAAGAATCACCGATATGGCAATAGTTGATTTCATTGAAAATAAATCGTCTTTTTCCGACGTAAATCCATTTATTTAAATAAGCAGTCGGTAGCTAAAAATGGAAGCGTAGATAAATTTAAAGCACATGTCGTTTCTTAGATTTTTCAGTTAATTCTTAAGTTTATTCTAGCTAAATTAAATTATAATTATATCTCAGCAGCTGATACACAATGATTTTTTGTTAGTTTTGGTAATATTTTGAGTTTGCGCAACAGGCCCTTGAGTGGAACCCGAATGGGAAACGACGAGTGGGTTGTCCGGAGGCGACATGGAGGATACCGTGACAGGAGGAGATGAGAGATTATGGGCAATCCTGAACCCATCTGAAGAGGACAGCAGAAAATAGGGCAAAGTGGAGATGTGTCGTTAAAGCCCTATGTTCCACTCGGAAACCAAGGGAACAATAATGATGCAATTATAATATTTTGAGCCAAATACTGCCCATGATCACACCAACTGTTGGAATTGTTTTGTTTTTTTAGTTCACACATATATGATTTGTAATCATATATATATAGTTCATTTCTTGCTCATTCACTTTTTTGTATCCAGAAGAGTATTTCAGGTTGTTGACAGTTGTGTTGAGTCTATTCCAAGATGCCCAGACTTTTTTACTGACAATCATTATTCTAGCTACTTACTATTAACAAGTAGCAAAATAAAGTCTCTAAAAATGTTAGTGATATGAACGAAAAAAATTCATCACAAATAATTAACTTTATTCACTGCCAATATTGTATCACTATTCATCTTATTAAGGTGATATGCATCACAATGTTCAGCATATTCTTCCATAAAGGTTAAAAATCTTTGAAAACTAATTTTTTAGAACTGAGCAAATTGAAATAACTCACTACTGGGAACGTAATTCATAAATACCGTGTTAAGATTATATAATGAATATTTATATTATATTCTGTGTATACGTGTAAATAACAGCTAATTTCTTTCTACATCATGACTTGTGTATTCCGGTGTTAATTGGATCTACATGACTGGCCTTTCTTCTACACTCAGCATAAGGAAGAAGATCCAGATGTTCGACACCAATGTCAAGTCGGTCCTTCTATACGGGTCAGGAACTTGCACTGCGTGTCACGAAAAGGATTTCCAACAAGTTACAGACTTTTATCAATAGCTGCCTTCGCTGGCTCCATAATGAAGATCGATTGGCCAGACGGCCAGAAAGAATCAGTAACAATAAACTATGGTAACAAACCAATCAAGAGCCGATCGCTCAACAAATATGTAGGAGAAAATAGAGATGGATCGGGCATACATTGAGGAGACCGTCGAATGACATTGCGCGTCAGGCCATTCCTCGAATGGAATCCCAGTGGGAAAAGACGAGTGGGTTGTCCTAGGTGACATGGAGGAGACCGTGTGAGGAGGAGATGAGGAATTACGGGCAACCGTGGACCAAGCTGAAGAGGACAGCTGAAAATATAACAAAGTGGAGATGTATTGTTGAAGCCCTATTTTCCACTTGGAACCCAAGGGAACAATAATAATAACATAATAATATATGGAGTTGTCTTTAGCCTAAACTCCAATAAACAATTTAAATGATACATTCATTGTATGAAAACAACACACGCAGTTCAGCGAAGAGTCTCTTTCGGTGAATTCATTCACTAAGCTGTACAGTCGCAATTATACACACTTATTTTATACGTGTTTGCACATTAGGTTTGTTCGATAACAATAATAGTGGGTGTATAAGCAGCACGATAGTCGAACATCTCGTTAACAGTGGTCATTCCATCTCAACAAACTTCTCCTTCAAAGTGATCTACAAAGTGAAAAACAACCTACCAACGGCAATACGCTTTCGTCTCCTTTGCTTGTTTTTCTAACACCTTATAACATTTGTAATTCTTAGAACTCTTACATAATTCCATATTTCCCTTTGTTTCTATGTCATCCTAATCACAACTCACTCATTAAACTATTCATCTTATTACATAACTATATTACGCCTATTCAACTTCTTTTATATGTTGATTAACATTAATAAATATATTTTTGACAATGCATCACCACTACCCTCTTACCAACCTCACCCCTCTTAGTTACAATTTATCATTCATCACATTTCTGAAGTTAAAACCTAATAATTTTGTTCTATCGACAAACCTAATGTACACAAATATGCAAAAATAAGTAGGTATAGTTGTGATTTCACATCTAAGTGAATGAATTTGACGAAAACAGACTCTTCGCAGAAAGTACGTGTTTTGTTTTCATTAATGTCTAGATGGAGATTACTCATGAAAATTTACTGTGATCTAATTTCGTTAATTTGTAACCTATAAGGTTTATATTGTCGTTGTCTAACAATTAAGTGGAAGTGAATCTCATTCATTAGTTCCCAAAAACCTTTGGTTATTGGTTACAGGATCTCATCATGAGCTGACATTGGTTAGAGAACCATTGGAAGACCTTCAGGGAGTAGTGGACAGCTGTTCCGTCCTAGTTTTTGACTCTTCACTAGTACGTACCCACTGCCAGGGTTCGAATACAGGACCTTCTTGTTATAAGGCGAGCTCGTAGGCCATCAAGCCACTGGGATCCGATCCAATTGACAGTCCATGAATTCTAACTTCTGCCAATTCACGACTTAGCTCGACCACCAGCCAATGTCTTCGATGAGTAACTGTCCTCACCTTCGACCTTCTGTATCCCATTGGTCACAACTTCTCACTAGAACCCAAGTAACTACCTACCTCAATAGGGCCAGTCGCTAGTGAGCATCTCACTCATATTCAAGTATTACTTTGTAGGGATTTGATTGGTTGGTTACAGGATTTCATCATGAGCTGATATCAGTCTTCCAATGGTTCTCCAACCAATGTCAGCTCATGATGAAATACTGTAACCAATCAATCAAATCCCTACAAACTAATACTTAAAAACCTTTGATTATGTTGCAGATTTTCGTGTTAATTTCAAAGTATTTTATTACCTAAGCCTGATTTCACGTTGGTCAATACTTCACTGTCAGAGTAGTCAACATTTTCAGTGAATCTTCACAAGGAAACTATGCTATAGGGTATGAACTGGATAAATTTTTCATATCTTGATTATGATAACTTTCTTTATGAAGCATTAACAGCTTGAACAAGTCAAAAATGATCTTTTAGTATTTAATAAAACCTACATTCTTAATGGTTATCCACTAGCATTCATCACTAGTATTTTCACAAAATCACTCAGGTAATGACAAATTCTAAGGGACTGAGTTTGTAAAAGTGAGTATAGTTGAGTTAAAACTCTCATAGAATTAGTGAGTATTGTTAAAGTTATTAGAATTAGAAACTTTCTCAAAAGTCGTCACATCACCACACTATATTTTATTCATTTTATCATTGTGGTCAATTGATTATGAATTGCTCACTTACAACTTCCTTTCTTTCTTTCTATTTTTATGTATCCTCTATGTAATGATAAAAGTTTTGCTCAGATTGTCGTGATTCCATTAGAACTATAACTTTATTTAAAAAAGACAATGATTATGGATTTACCTATGTCTATACAAAATATGGATGTTTAGTAAATCAGGTAAGTAGTGGTTTCCAGTTTTAACAATAGTTTATCTGTTTGTGTTGATAATAACTTTACTCCATGGTGTAATTGATGACTCTGTTGGTAGACAAAATTAAAGATGGAAATGAATTACCGTGTAACGAATCCTATGAAAATAATCAATATTTAACCCTACCTTTTAGAGATTACAATTCTTACCAATTACAAAACTTGATAGGGTTATTAAAATTAATATTACATGACCAAATGAGTATTCAATATTACATTAGTCAAGATTCCCCCAGCTCTTCACCTCTAAAGATGTCACCTAGAAGAGTAATGGAAAATTTGCAGTTAAATCATTCAGCTCAAAGAAGACAACATTATCAAACCATCTACCTTAACTGATAAACTTCATTTTTAAAAATGCGGACGATCTAACTATTTCAATGTCTGTTAACTCCCAGCTAGACTGTACTAAGATGAACAGCTTTCTATCAGCAGTTAGCGAATGGTCTTCGTCTAATGTTCTTAAACTAAATCCTTCCAAATGTCAGACTGTTAATTTCAGTTTCCGATGTAAAAGAAAGTTATATGAAGCTGTTGGCTCCTATGACCGTTGCAAAATTGATGATAGTGATATAGAAATCAAGTCTGAAGTTAATTATCTTGGATTAATTCTTTCTTCTGACCAATCATGGTCTTACCATGTCTTAGCGACTTCTAAAAGAATATTTCGTTTGAATTTTCACATTAAGAAGTTAAGGCACTCAGGCATAACTCCACCCCTCCTCTTACAGTTTGTCAACTCGTGCATCTTACCTATTTTTCTGTACTGTTGACCCTTATTCTTTCCTGGATTGCTTAAAAATGACTATGTCATACATCGTGGAACTGTCAGTAGGGCGAGTGGTTGTATCCCACTGGGCCATATTGTTGACATCGTCGTTGATATGCACTTGATTTCATGCAACAAATTTGCTAAAGGAATCGTGTCAGACTGTGAGCATTCACTTTACCCGCAGCTCCAACCTTGTGTCTCCTCAGGTAAAACAAGAAGTCTTTTCAGAAGACTTTATGCACGTACGTCTAAGTATAAAAATTCCACTATACCATATTTGGCACGTACTTTATGTGATGAAAATAGTGTTAGGCATGAACTACCTGACTTTCTTTGCACAATTAAATTAAACCATTTCCTCCACCCTTACAACATCAACCTTTATTGTTATTGTACTTCTTATATTTATAATCCTCTCAATTTTTTTTGTTTTTATTTGTTTATTTTTTCATAAGTGTGAACATCATTTAAAGTGTGTTATAACTGTTAATTTTGTATTTCCCCTCACCATACTGTATCAACAGAACATTAGATTCAATACTCTATAACATGCTAAGATTTTCAAAACTGAATCGACAATAATGTTTGAAACGAACTCACTGTTATTATTATTATTAATGAAGGACTTGTAATTCTGCCACAACAGTCACCTACCATCTTATTCTTATTCTACTTATAATTCTGAGAAAATCTCTATTTCCAAAGGATAATGCTGAATAAAACATCAATCATAAGCATTACAATTTGAAAACAAATTCCTCATTATTAAAAGCATAAATAAATTATGTAACGAAGTTAACTTGCCAGCACTGTAGACAAATATTGACAGTATTGGACAAAACAAGAATAAAAAATGTGGTAGGGTAAAGTAAGCCCTTTTCAGGTGCTTACGACCTAAATAATACAAAGGAAATAAAAAATAACAAGAAAACTTAGGATATATTCCTTTCGTGTTGACAAGGAGAAACTGATAGTAAGTATAAGTAAGATAAGTCCGGAATTATATAAGCACTTATTAAGAGTTGAAAGGATTGACTATTTACAGAAAAGGTAGACTAGAAATTGAATAATAGTAGGGTAGACTACGTAATCAAAGGAATAGTGTTTTATGAAGTAGCAAAAAAGAAGTAGGGTGAGTGACGTTCAGATGACAAAAAAGTACAACTGTCCAAACAGACCAGAAGATACAGAAGAGTGCATGACGTGTATTAAACTGTATGACTTTGTTTTGCCATTTTAATCACCAAGGTATTGCAAGGTTCATCACTATCTCTTTCTAGAAACAAATTAGATTTCATCCATTTAATGGCTGTTGCTTCAGCATAGCGTAGCGAACTAGATTTCTTTCGCCTGTTGATTAGTTTGAACGCCTTCAGACCGTCCACAAAATCATGAGTCCAATAGATGGTGTGAGACGAGACTGTTTCACACCTGTGAGCCATTTGGTCTTAGGTTCTTTGTACCCTCCAGAAATGCGGACAATAAGTCTTCTCTCTGTTCTTCCCATGTATGTGCTTTGCCGTGTACGTGTAAACCGATTTACGCAGTTGAAGGTGAAATGGAAACAACGTCTGTCCACCTTCAATGGTCTTAACTGTTCGTTTGATACACACACGAACTTGGTGACTAGATATGCTGTCTTCAGTGCAGTGTTCAATGTACGCCTTATTTCACTAACAACATCACTACATTTGAAGGCAAGTTGTAGATAGACCAATTTTCTGTGCTGTAGTTCACTTTTCTCCAACTTCATTTTACCTGTTTGTAATGAAATTCTGAGGATTATTATTATTATTTAGGCATTTTATAGCAGCGGATAACTCTCCTTCGACCTATTCCTCTAAGCAAAGCTTTTTTGAATGACTGAACAATGTTTTCACCAATCAGTCTTTGTAACTTATACGACAGAGACTTCTGAAGTTCAGATAGAATACCCTACAAGCCTGTTTTCTGTGGATACACCTTATGATTTTACCGTCTATATCATGTTGGATACCAAGGTCAAGAAAATGAGACTTATTTTCATTTTCATACTCACTTATAACCTCTATTTTTTTTACTTCCTTCACGTTCCTAGTGGAACATAGGGCTTCAAGCTAGAGGCCTGAAGTTTAGGTAGCAGTAGTGTTTATTTTTACGGGATGTGGTTGCTAGCCTCATGCCCACACTTACCTCTTTACCAGTCTTATTACTGGCTTAGTGTTGTAAAGGAGTGCGTTGGCCGGGAATTGAACCCCGAACCACCTGCGTGGTTAACAAGCATTCTAATGCTGTGCCACCGACGCTATAACCTCTATAAGGAGCATTATTCAGCAGGTTTAATGTTTGAGATGGGTTACTGGAACAATCACAAATGACAAATGTCTGATACACGCATTTATCATAGATTGTTAGATTGATTATAGACTTCATTCTTGTTTGCTTTGAGTTACCCTTAAGAATGTCTGCTAGTCTGTATTTTATAACTGAAAAAACTCTTCCGAACCTCCTGTAAACCTTCAATATAGAATTCAGAATTTTCCTCAAAATGTATGCAATGAGTGGTGAACTGACTTAAGTTTGAAAAATTAACTCACTGCATAATCAGAGAAAATACTTTAACCCTTATACTTGGAAAAGAGTTCCAACCAGCAGTACACCTTTTCGGACGTGGAATAATCAGTTTGCCCGTTAAAAAGGAACTTTCAACACTTTATATAACGTATATTGCAAAACACATTTGTCACTTCATATTTCATTTTTATCATTTTTCCCCTTCTATTTTGCAGGTAAACACGAATGAATCGAATAATAGCATTAATACTAAATTACAAACCGGTGATTTAATAATTAAACTTGGTAATTTCGATTTGACAAAGGTGACAAAATCTCAGTTCTTACAATTATTTGGCATTTATACCAAAGCAAAATCTATACAGATTACACTTATTAGGGGTAAGTGTGAAATATCCTCTTACTATATATACATATTTATATATATACCATTACGTCTTGAAAAATTATCAAACGATAAAAGACTCAAATTCACAATTAACTCATGGCTAATGGGTTGGAGCAACTTTACCAGAAGTTTATTCCATACTCTATTAGGTAAATTGTTTTAGGACTGGAATGTAATTACAAATTATTCATTCAAAGGAAAAATTTCCCTTTCTATTGACTTTCATTGATTTGATTATTAAAGTTTATCAAGTTGGGTGTTAGAACAAATGCTGGCCGATGACACTGGCTGGCAGAGGTGCTACATAGTGCCAGTTAACGGGAGTTAGAATTCATAGGCAGTTGGATTACATCCCGATAGCTGGATGGTCAATGAACTTGCCTTGTAGCCTGAAGGTCCCAGTTTCGACCTCTGGCGGATGAGGTTATGGGTGCTGACCACTGAAGAATTTCAAATAAGGGCAAAACAGGTGTATAGTACTCCCTTGTTTTCAGTGATTCTCTAGCTGAAGTCACTTTGTGACCACACTTGTAATTAATCAAATCCGTGCAAACCTACACTTGAAAACATCCCACTTTTATTGGAATAAAGCACGAAAAGAAGTTCCGATTAGTTGTATTCTTGCTTTTCAGAATCATTCAAGTTAAAGCTATGTACAATTTCGAGCTGCGATTGTAATATCACCTCGTTTGTCAAAAGAATCATTCAGTTTATTAAATATTGCGTGATATTTCTGAATTTTACTACACGAAATGTGTTAAAAAAAGGTAATGTTCAAAGTTAATCTTATTGAAGATTAAACAGACCCACAACAATTATGAAAACTCTATTAAAAAGGCTACCTAGTAAGAAGAAAGTGGGCAGTTTCCACTACTCACATATTTGGTAAATGTAGATTATATTACTATTTATAATACCAAATGGAAGACTGCGTAAAAGCAAGAAGCATTGAATAGCTGTTTCACTTTACGCGGGAAATTATTCACCAATACGCTCTTATGATCCTATTTATACTACAGTCTGTGACTTCAGGGGCTGACTATAAGCACTTTACTATTCATCTATTGTGTTTGGTTTTCATATAATATTTAGTCCTCACAACAAACTGTTTTAAAAAAGCAGGAAATTCAAAAGATTAAAGGTTAAATAGCGTACTACTGGTCATTGAATGAAGTCTGGTAGCATAAGGAATGTTGCTAGTAGACCACTCAAATACGTTAGATTAAATGTGTCCAGAATACAGTTCACCCTTAATGCTATGCAAGTGGACAGTTTAGTAACATGAATTATGCTATAAGCTATGAATTAGAATTTCTTAAAATGACTTTTTCTTTAATATCCTTGACTCTTTACATTGGCTGACTCAATCAACGGCATTCTGTTTAACCACATTATTCATTTTGCATTTTACTATACTTACTGTCTTTGCATTTAAACACTGTTATATGATGAGTCATATTCTAACCTACTTCCATTGCATTGGGTGTGTACTTGAGATACAATAGAGAATGAAATGCAGACTTGTGATTGGTTACTTCTTACTCTATGGCTAGAGTTATAGTCATGCTTAGTTTTTTCTCAAGACTAGACATACATATTTTATTTACATACCTTATTTAAATTGTTTATTCACATTTCACGTGTTCAATATTAAACCACACCCAGAAATACAGAAGTGAATTCCTTAAAAAGTAAAATAAACAGTAAGCTTACTTTAAATACAATTTGAATTTTTTTTTTGTTGGTGTTGTTAAAATGATCCATCCTATTGTTCTTTTTCTCCCATTGAAGTTTGTACAAATTGTTTAAATAAACTAAATTATTACAGTCCAATTTCAAATCTAAAAGAAGAGGATCATAATGATCTCAGAACTCCGTTGAATAAAAGTGAAAAGACAGTAACAAAATCAACGGATCGGAGTGAAATGTTATCATTTTTAAGAACAGTATTGAATACAAGTAGCCATTTTAAAAAATCATCAAATCATAATCCACATATTAAAGATAAACCAAATGAAAAACATACTACCACTACAGCTACTGCTACTACTAATAATAATAATACGACCGCAACTACAACTCATAATAACAGCCACACTACTGTACAACATTTAAATCAAACAATTGCACCATGGTTACCTGGTCAGTGTATTATACCAGGCATAGGTATGAGTGGTCCATGTGAGACACCAGATTATATACCTGTCTCGGAATTACTAAATAAATCCAAAGTAAATATCTGTCAGAACAATAATGCGTATTACTTGAATGGTGCACACAAACATCGACAAGCACAAATGCCAAATGACTTACTACAACAATGTGTAAATTCAGCCAATGAACAACAGTCAAGTTTGCCTCTCAAAGATAACAATAATAACAATAATAATAATTCATCTTGCAATGGATTACTTCAGTCAGCCTTATTGTCATCGTCTTCATCAGTAACAGCACAGGTGAATGGTTTGCACAGTCCAACGGAGAAGAACACTAATAGTCCTACAGAAAAAGATGTAAAAATTCTCTACATTCCAAATGAAGGGAAATTAAAATTTATTAAAGAAAATGCTGAACAGAATTTTGTAAGTAGAAGAACTATATATTTCTTTACTTTACTTTAACAAAGTTTTTTGGTCAATGCTTTGTTGGATTTTTTTCAGAAAAGGAGAAAATATGTTCAATCTTCGTATAAAAAACACACCTGTACTAAGTCGCTATGGAAAATCCAATAGAATGGTGATTGGTTGCTTTAACTGACTGAGTTTTAGCCACTGGACCTCATGTTAATTATTATTATTATTGTTCCCTTGGGTTCCTAGTGGAACATAGGGCTTCAGCTGCATGTCTCCACTTGCTTCTGTCTTCTGCTGTACTTTTCACCTGCATCCATGTTAGTCCATACTGTTTCAACTCCTCTTCACACGATCTCCTCCATGTCACCCTTGGACGTCCCACTCGCCGCTTCCCTTTCGGGTTCCACTCGAGCTATGGCCTGACGCGCGATGTCACCCAGCGGCCTCCTCAGCGAGTGTCCAATCCATCTCCACTTTCTCCTGCATATTTGTTGAGCGATTGGTTCTTGTTTTGTTTGTTCCCATAGTTTCTTGTTGGTGATTCTTTCCGGCCATCTGATCTTCAGTATAGAGCGAAGACAGTTGTTGATAAAGGTCTGCAACAGGCTGTTGGAAATATTCTTTGTGACCCGCCAAGTTTCTGATCCGTATAGAAGAACTGACTTGACGTTTGTATTGAAAATCCGAATTTTGTTGTTGATGCTTCACTCTAATTGCTTTAGTCTAATAAGTTTATGATGAGCCATCACACGTGAAGTATGATACGTTACTTAGTATATGGCAAACTCGAAATTCCGTTAAGTTGTTCGAAGTCAAAAATCAAAATGGTTTACAATCATGTGGTATATTTCATTGTGCCGAAATGTAATAATAACCTGGATATTTATGTTTTACCTTGAAGAGTTCTTCAATAGAAAGGTAAATGAAGTATCATCGAAGGACTTCTGTCAAAATACAACTGTCAGATAAAATGTTCACTCGAACCATCCTCATTCTATGGCAGTAATATTTCTACCATGCCATACTTTACTGGAAGTATGAAACCTTACATATTTTACCATTTTTGTTTTAAATGGCTAACATGACATTTCAGTCTACAAGGTCACGAAATATTTAGTATTTTTATGAACTAAAACTAAATGTAATATATCAGTTCTTAATTGTTCGATTAATTGCAGGAATTTGTAGTTAGCCAGAGTCAAAGGATGATTAGAGTGTTTGTAATGATAAAAACTCAAAAATTTGATCTGAATGCACGAAACTAATCGATACTCTCCTCTGCATAGTTTACCAAACTTCTTCGAGTTACTCATAGTTTGCATTTGATATTCTAACAATATGAAAACATGGTTTGACGGGATAGAATCTGCGGTACTGTTCAAGCAATAATAGCTAATATCAAAAATATAAAATTACCTCCAAAATGCCGTCCAGTAAGTCTACAGTCAAAAGTTTCTCGGGTACAAAATACCAACTGTACAACGAAACTAATGCACCAAACATAACTATAAAATTCTTCAGAATCAGTAAAGATATTCCTAAAACGATGATATCAAAACTATGTCTGCTAGAATCAAACGGAACAAACACGCTTTTACCGGTGACAGTACCAGGTCAGGCAGACTATGACATAACCTGATCCACTCAAGCAAAATCGCAATTGTGAAACAACAAATTACCAACACACGATAGCAAAGTAAAGCATGGAACATAAGAATCAACCAAAAACAAAAACAGATGATAATGATTAAGAGTTGATAAAAATATGCAGATGTTAGATTGATGATAGGTGCGTAGGTGGCACAGTGGTAGAATGCTCGCCAACTACGCATGTGGTCCGGGGTTCAATCCTCGGCCAATGCACTTCTTTACCACACTAAGCCAGTAATAAGACTGGTAAAGAGGGAAGGTTGGACATGAGGCTAGCAACCCCATCCCGTAAAAATAAACACCACTGCTACCTAAACTTTAAGCCTCTAGCTTGAAGTCCTATGTTCCACTGTGAAAGTGTGGTGAGAGCTGTCTACTAGCCAAATTGGTAGACAGTAATTTACGTCAGTGTTTGCGTTCTCAAGATTTGTCATGAGAAAATATGAACAAAGACTGACTGAAAACCGACCACAGCAGACTTTGCGTAGGCGGATACAGTGAACATATAGATGATCTGACATTCAAGAAACAGTCACAAAGAGATGAAAGATTAACTTTACGTGAGAAACAACCAATCAGAAGACTGTGTTTGTTTGCTTAACTAAACTATAATAATGTACATGAAAATATATAAATATGCTTTGATTTCCTTAATAAACGATCTGTTGCCTGACCCTTGTCTTCTGTTGTTACAAAAGTAAAGGAATAAAATAAAAAGATTGATAATACGAAATAGGCTAGAATATTCAAACAAGTATCAGAACTGTAAGCAGATTGTTCATGGAAAGATTTTCAGATTAATTATTCTGCTACAGTATTGGAAATTCTCTCTATGGTAGCCTAAATATCCTCCTCCGTATAGTTTGAAATATGCAGATTTAGTTTTTGATGTGGTTGTGTTCTCTGAGCTGGATAGTTAATTTGCGAAGCTTTCATCGCCCTACTAGGCAACATCTTCAGCGCATACTTCAATTTGAAGTGAGATTTTAGATTTCTCCACGAGTTTATTAGTCATCTCTCTTGGTGACGTAGGACGTGATTGGTTGCTTTTGTGTACTTTCACATCCTCTAGGCTACTTGTATTGGAACTGATTGTTTGTTTGACTTGAACTTTGACCCTTTGTGTGTGAGGTTTCCTTCTTATCGGTTGGTAAATTTTGTCTATCCCGATGTGTCTATTGAGTGAGGTTTTACTGGAATACCAGGCTTCTATAAATTCTCTAGCATTCTTGCTGTTTCCTCTGTCTAATATTTGAACGTTGTTCCAGTCGAATTGATGTCCATGGTTGTCTGTATGTAGTGATATGAGGGAGTGGATGTCATGTCTTTTGACAGCTAGTTTATTTTCATGGATACGAAGACGAAGGGGATATCCAGTTTGACAGATTTAGTTTGATAGATGCATTCATATAATACAATTCTTAATATAGTTATCACTTAGCTTAGCTGTCCGATTTTGCTCACACTTTCAGCAAATGTTAGCTTTAAATATTATCCTATAACTTTATTAACAAAATTTCTGAGAGTTTTAAAAAATAATTATCAAACAGTCACCACATAATATTCAAAGCCATTCAGGTATGCGTGTTATCAGAACGTTGAGCTAATCTGTACGTCTTCGATTGTTAATCCGAGTATTTTTTTTTAGGAAATGAACTGGTTATATTCACAATGCAAACATAGGGCATTCTGTTTCTGAAACCACTAATGAAAATCAACGCCTTGATATGATTATAAGCAATTAATTGTGCTCAAAACGTCATCAATAAACAGTCCAGTATCATTGTTTGCTTTTATCAAATAAATTGATTCATAGACAATTTTATGTAACTTGTTGGATTACGTTTCCAGCATAATAATGTTACCTAGTGAATGATACTTTACAAATGCGTTATTTCAATGAAATGATTATAATGTGGAATCAACATCTTAGATACCAAGACTACGTCAGTGGCAATCGGGCTAAAAGTCAAACACATCACATTTCATCCACTGTATAGGAATGCAGTGCCTGAAGACTGTTGTTGATGAATAACTTTCGTGTTTGTTTGTTGTTTTTTTCTCATTCAAGAATCAATGTTGTTTTCATAACTTGGTTTTTATCACTTTTTCCATCAAGATAAAGGTCAATTTAGGATTGACGCCCATAAATAAATTTGAAACTTCTCATCGTTTGTATCAAATATTTAAAGTACATCAGAAGTTGGCATAACTAGTCATTTAAATACATTCAAATATTTATTGCTAGTGTTTTATTTGTATCTCAGCAACACATTTGTTTATTCACAATAAAACAAATAACAATACTCCAATAGGTCATCTTCTTGGATGCATTTAAATACAAAAATGTATTTGGATGGTTTCATAAACTGAAATATAAGAGTTACTTACAGCAAAGAACAGTAAAATTACTACAAAAGTGTGTCCTGAAAGTCGTTTCAAGTTAGGTCACGAACTGACATCAGCTAGAAAGCCATTGACAACCAAGGGGTATTTCTTCCGATTTCGGGACTCTCCACCAGTAAGTACCTATGATCCCAGTGAGGATCGCACCCAGGACCTTCAGATTACGAGGCGACCCAATTGACCATTCAGCTGTTGGGATGGAATTCATTGGTTAATAATTTACAACTCCTGCCAATTAGCAATCCAAAATGCCATCACCAGGCAATGTTGTCGGTGATTGCGTGACTTTACATTCGACTGAATGAACATGACTTCTCAATAAAACTGCAATATTTCCATCGCGATGTCCAGTGGGGATTTAATTGATTTCAGCTGTTTTCTAACTGATATCAGTTCGTGATCTGAACTGGCAATGATCAAATCCCTGCCAACCAATACTTGAGAAGTTTTTTTCATATTCAGCATACGGTATGCTGGAAAAGTATATTCCTGCTCACTAGTCCCTCCATTTTAATTATTAAATAAATATGTTTCATAGCATTTTACTCATGGCTATAAAATATCACAATTAATTTCTGTCCACTTCTCTTATATGTTATTATTATCTTCAGCCGAGTATTATACCCTTGAGCATCAATGCACAAATACCAAACGAATCAAATCAGAATTTAGTTGTAGGTGATCTACTGGTAGCTATTGAAAATCAACCTGTTCTAAATTGTAAACCAAATGAAATTGAAGAGTTAATTCAGTTAGCAGCGAAGAAAAATAAAGGATTTGTAACATTAACTGTTCGTAAAATTCACTCTACAGAAAAATGTGAATCAGCGAAAATATCAGGTAAGATTTTCAAAAAAATTTGGTTTCTTTTGATGTTTATTTTTTTCTAAAGTATAATTATTACAGTCAATTAAAAAAATTTGAAGAGAAAAATCCACATCCAAGGAACTCTGCTGATAGTCTTCAGTCATCTGACATCAACTCTGAGTACAATTGTGAGTTTACTAGCAGATTAAATTACCAGAATTCAAGGGTTGTTTTCTAGGGATTCCAATGTTGTTCGATGTCCAGTGAGGTCATCTGTGCTTACTGTTAAAGCATCCCGAATTAAGATGAAACAGCTGTCCAGTACTCTCAGATTTTCAGTGGTTCTATAAGTGAAGTCAGTTCATAATATATCTTGACAAAATTCAATCAACATGTGATACTGGTTAATTTTAGTGACCAGTCAATATAGTTGTATGTTTACATTATTCAAATAGGTAGTCTTGTAGCTTTCAGTTTACTTAGATCAACGATTAAAAGGATAATGCTGTATCGACAGAAGACAAGGGCCAGGCAACAGATCGTTTATTGAGAAAATCAAGAGATATTTATAGATTTCTATGTACATTATTATTCGTTATTGTTAGCAGAGAAGCAACATCTTCTGATTGGTTGTTTTTCTGCTGAAGGTTATTCTGTCATCTCTTTGTTGCCGTTTCTTAGACAGTCCGGTGATATATCTGCGAATCGTATCCGCCCACGCTAAGTCTGCTGTGATTGGTTGTTGAGTTCCTCAAGGTTAAGCTTTGTTCTTGTTTTTTCTCATAACCCCGAGTTGGGACGCAAACATTGACGTCAGTTGTTGTCTACAATTTTGTCTTGCAGACAGCTCTCACCACAATGCCATCGGGGTTAGAAATATGTGAGAGCAGTTACTCATAAATGGATGCTTTAATCATGTGTTGAATTTCATGTTTTTATCCCTTTTATTCCTAGACTTAAAGGTGCTGAAAACTCATAAACTGTGACTTTCTAGTTACTGTGACATTTCTGTCACAGGAAATATGTTACGATGAGAGCTTTTTTAGCAGTTACACTATATACTAGATTAGTGTTTGATAGGGGAGTAATCTATATTGCATAAATCGTGTAAGGCCAATTACTTGTAAGGCAATATTGAGAAGAGAGTGTAAATATTTTGTATATGCGCTTAATTCACAAAACAATAAATAAATGAAACGGACAGAAAGTTTTTTGATTGACTAGTAACATAGACGTGCTGACAATGCATGTGGCTATGAAAACTTAACCAAGTAAAGTTTCAAGAAATGTTATTCGGACTTTTTAAAATGTTAGGGAATGACAGTGCTCTGCATTAGCATAACGAAACATTCTGAGTGGTTCTATTTTCTAAAGATACTTGAAATGGAAGGGGACTGGATGAATAGTTTCCAAGATAGTAGTATAACAATGCGACTTAAGTTTGAAGTCCCCTATGTATGTTCCTTTATTAATCATCTTGATTGCTGACATCATTTTGTAATATTTTTATTTATCCGTCCTTCTGAATTGGTGTCGATAAATTCATCACTGTTACTCGTGTGTTGTATTATTCCAATACTTCGAAAAGAGTCGAATAGTTTCTCTGCTCTAAAGTACAATCATGAATGGTCTCAGCAAAGGTGGGAAGTCTCGCGCTAAGGCTAAAACTCGATCTGCCTGCACTGATCTTCAATTCCCAGTTGATCGTGTGCATCTCCCGTTGCGCAAGGGTAACTATGCTGAAGGAGTCGGTGCTGGATCCCCCATCTACTTGGCAGCCATCCTCGAGTACCTGGCCAATGAATTGCTTGAATTGGCTGGCACTGCCACCCGTGATAACAAGGAGACCCGCATCATCCCTCGTCACTTGCAGTTGGCCATCGGCAACGATGAGGAATTGAACAAACTGCTCAGTGGTGTGAAAATCGCTCAGGGTGGCTACGTGTGTGACGATTTTGCCAGTCAAGATATATAAATAGTCCAACGGAAAGATAGGTTACTAGGCAAAATGTGTAAACTATAATCAGACAAGAGACCTAGTTCCATCCTTTGTCCTGAAACTTGATGTTGTTAATAGTAAATTCTCAATGCTACTGTAGAAGTAACCTAGAAAAAATAACCTATGAGGACTTTCATGTTCTGTTCATGCATACTGTCATATCTTTTGGTCTGTGCTCTAGTGAAAACGTGATAAGATATCAATATATGCACATACCTTTCTTAATTTTTTTGGTGTTATAAAGCATTCCCGTTGTTAAAACCACATTTAACTGAAGATTCTGAAGAAGTTTTCAAAAACTATTTTTGTTCATTACTCACCATTTTGACTTTATAAATAGAAATTCTCAAACATTTAAATTATATTATATATAAACGTTCAGAAACCAATAAACTCAGCGAAGACCTGTACACCTTTTTTCACCTAGTTCTCAATGATTGCTTCCAAACTAAGATATAGTTTCTTTGTGAATTAACACCTATTAATGTCACAATATTTTGATTACTACTAGTGTAGTGAGAGCTGACTGCTAGCCAAAAATTGGTAGACAGTAATTTACGTCAGTGTTTATGTCCCAAATATTGGTCATGTGAAAACAAGAACAAAGACTGACTCAACAACTAATCACAGCAGACTTTGCGTAAGCGGATACAATTAGCAGATAGATGATCTTACATTCAAGAAACAGCCACAAAGAGATGAAAGATTAACTTTAAGTGAGAAACAACCAATCAGAAGACTGTGTTTGTCTGCTAAAAATAATCTATAATAATGTACATGAAAATATATAAATATGTGTTGATTTCCTTAATAAAAGATCTGTTGCCTGGCCCTTGTCTTCTGTTGTTACACTATAGTATTATTATTATTACTATTTCACATAACTTACTCTTTTTTATCTCTAATTTGTCTTGTATGATCGATCTAAAAATAACCTGTAAAATAACTACTAAGTTACAGAAAACACTAGTTAAGTAATAAATACGCATTAACAACATTGAAACTTTAATAACACTGAGACTCTAACATCAAGAAATCTTAGTTTCATACTAGAAAGATATATGTATCAATCAAAATACCAGAGCCGGTTTACACAAAAATACGGTTCAAGTTCAAAGCACGTATTCGAAGACACATATGTCCTCACTTTATTTGTCTACTAAGTTTATGTGTATTTTGCTTCTCCTGTGCCTGTAAAGTTTTTTTCAGACCACTTAATTAATTCGATAATTGGTTAGAGGATTTCATCATGAGCTGATATTGGTTAGAGAACCATTGGAAAACCTGAGAGTACTGGACAGCCAGCTGTTTCGTCAGCCTAGTTTGGGACTCTTCATCAGCACGCACCCACGGCCATGGTTCGAACCCAGGACCTTCTGGTTACAAGGCGACTGTCACTAATAGAAACTGTTATTGGTTTCAATTTTCACTTATAAAACTTTAGTATTTTTGGTAATGCCGTGTCCAGTGAGCTGGGTGGTTTCATTATCCTCCTAGATGTCTTTAGCACTAACTTCGAGTGTATGTTAATGACCACCAAATTGTAGTGACTGAAGTATGTAACTTTTGTACTGCCTTTAAAAACAATATGAAACTTTAAAGTTTTCTAAATGAAGATCACTTTCGTGGTTATAACTTCACTGTTCTTCAACAAATCTCTTATGACTACCACACTGTCGCATATCTTTCCATTTTCAGTCAGTACTTCCATGTATCAAATCAGCATTTGATTGGACATGAGTAACTAGTGTGATGTGTCTAGTCCTTTCGTAGGTGCAGACGAGTATCTTGCTCACGAGTGCCATCTAGCATGAAACCTAGGTCCAAGGCTTCCTGCCGATTGCCTCCAACCTTCTGATATCATCAAAACAAAAGTTGTCTTACACTTTGGGGAGATTAAATTAACAATAAGAAATTTCATTTAAAATATTGAGTCAGTTAGTTCACTGTTGGATATTGGTACCGAGGTTGACACAGCTTAACTCGACTTGGACTTTATGCCTGTCGAAACGTAAAAGTGAAGCACGTTATCCAGCAGTTAGCAACTCATGTTCATTCTGTGCCACTAGGTTATTTAGGTCCCCTAACCAATGATGAATGTACAAGTTATTTATTCCAGGATTATAAATATGCCATTATTTTGAATACCAAAAAGAAATAAGTCTAAGTCCATAATTCCGTATGTATATATCCCAACCACCAACATTATAAATTGGTTGTTCATACTTTCTTATCATGCATGTAACTTAGAAAATACTTTATATGTCAGTAAATATCACAATAATAAGGTGTTTAGTCATTCTGAATAAGAGACGAAAACATGTTTTATAAGTATTTAAATGTAATATTCAATCTGTCACTTGTGTGTTATCTGTTTATATTTTTAGGAACACCGGTAGATAATTTTATCAATTCCAATATAATCAATGTGAAATTAACGAAAAACAAGGATGAAGGTTTCGGCTTTGTGATAGTTACGTCGTTGAATAATGAAAAAACAAGTGAAATAGGTAAGTCAATAATTGGAAAGATTTACCTATTATTGATAAAATATTACATAAAACATGCATAACAAAACTGAATTTTTGGTATTAGATGGTTGGAGGCAATCGGCAGGAAGTCTTGTACCTAGGTTTCGTACTTGTTGGTAGTCGTCAGAAAGGCGTATCTGCAATCTTGAAGGAAGTCATATCCCTTCTGAGATTCGAGCCCGCGTCACCCATTGCTGCAGTCAAAGACGTTACCACTGAGCTATTCGGGCTCACGACTGACCTCATTTAGACACATTACACTAGTTACTGACTAGTGTCCAATCAATAAATATCGAATACAGTCCTACAGGAGGTCAGTCGTGAGCCCGAATAGCTCAGTGGTAACGTCTCTGACTGCAGACTGCACTGGGTGACGCGGACTCGAATTTCAGAAGGGACATGAGTTCCTTCAAGGTTGCAGATACGCCTTGCTGATGAGTGCCAACTAGCACGAGACTTAGGTTCAAGGTTTCCCGCCAATGGCCTCTAACAATCTGATGCCAACAATTCACAGTGCACCGTGATGGCGAGCCATCTAGCATGGTAGCCACATTGCAAACTTGAGTGATAGAATTCAGTCTGCACCTAAGATAGAACTAGACACATTACACTAATTACAAGCTAGTGTTCAATCGAAAAACCAAATTTCAATATGAAATCATTTTAAACTGAGTGGTTGGTGGTAAATGAAGTTTTTTATCCAGGTAATATCCTTCTCTTTCAAATTTGATAACGGATTGATGTCAGTTAGAAAACCATTGAATATCAGGAAGTACTGCACAACTGTCCTAGTTTGGGACTGTTTAGAAGTACTCACACACAACCCCACCAGCGATCGAACCCAGGCCCTTCAGGCAATAAGGTCAAGTCCTTTGACCATTCAGCCACTTGAACTAGAATCCAATGGCTCATTAGTTCTAACTTCTGTTAATTCGTGATTTTAGCCTGACTGTCAGCCAATATTATCAGCGAATATTTATTCTTATACCCGACCTGGTGAACAGAGTAGTCAGACTTTCCTTTGATAAAATCTATTAACCAGCATTATTACATTTATGTGTGGATTAACTAAAGACTTCTGAAGATATTGTATCTCAATATGTATGATGTTTTACAATAATACTGAATGCGGCAAAAAATAAATCATAACATACAGATCAGTCAAATGCAGCTGACTAAAGTATATTACTAATATCAGTTTTAAGTAGCCTACTTTCATAGCAGTAAATATATTCATCCAGACAAAATGTTGCAGATATTGATCGTCCTTCAGAAAGTAGAGCATAGTCTATTAAAAACTATATTATTACTAAACTCCTGCCCTTATTCTTTAATGAAGACACATTTAAAACAAAATGGCTCTTTATTCAGCTGTTCAATTGATATTCACAGTCAAACACCGTTGATGACTATGAATGGTTAATATATACTAATATAAAGGACCTCACTATATCCAGTACGAAGAAATACTAACTTCCTTTTCTACTAATGTGCATTTTTGATTAAAATACTTTGTTAAATTAAATTATTGAAAAGATAAACATGCTACCTAGATGTCACGCCTGAATAAATTAGTTTTGTAAATAATTAAACCTTTAATACAATACACAAACATTCATATTTGTTAAATTGAGACATTGTGATTCTGTTCAGCACATGGAAAAACAACTGTAAAAATAGAATTAAAAACAATTTTATCATTGAAATAGTCACAAGCATTACAATAACATGTTCGTTGAACTGGTAGTGAACAATTTAGAAAAGAAAATAAACATCGTAAGAAGTATTGAATTATCGACACACCGGTTACTGGTTCTAATGAAACTTTATATGTGATACGGTGTTATTATAACAAGTCATAGGCGTCAAAAGAAGCTATCAGAAAAGGTTATATTGAAGCTCTATAAAGATTCTCAATGAAGCAGGAATTAGAGTGGCATTTAAACCTAAAAACTCACTCAGGGACAAGCTCTGTAGGTTAAAGGACCCAGTTGGCCTAATTAGACAAAATAATATAATTTACAAAATACCCTACAGTGACTGTGAGGTCAACTACATAGGTCAAACTAGTAGGTCAAGGGTAGTCAGATTGTCGGAACATAAGAATTTAGCTAAGGTGAGAATGGTTGACCCAGAGAAGATAAGTAATTTAGAAAAAAGCTCAGCAATTTCACTGCATGCATTAACACACAACCACACAATAGGGTGGGAGAGGGTTAAAATTCTAAGAATTAATCTAGGTAGGTGGAGATAGAGAGATTGATTACTGAATCCTGGTTCATCAAGTCTACCTACTCGAACACATGCAACAGAAATGACTCAATGCAAATACCAGAGATATGGAAGATATTATTACCACCAGTCAAATCAGAGGAGGACAATAAATAATCTTAAAATTCTATTTCAATTCACGTACATCATAACATTCTAACAAGTTACTTATTTTGACTATAAAAAAACTCGTCTTATTTCCCATCTGACTGCATTTGATCAATAACACTCATATTATTATTTCTGAATATACATTATCCTATATTGATTTTTATTCAAATGTCTAATCAATTCCACTCATGTATATAATAATGAAGTAAAAGGTTGTGTGAGTGACTTGATATGATTATGAGCAATAGTTTGTGCTCGAAACGTCATCAGTTAATATTACTGTATAATACTGTGTGACTTTATCAAAATAAAATCTTATCTATAATGGAGTTATACTTATATCAATGATATTTATTGCAGAAACCAAGAATATCAATGCTTGGTCTATACTGAAAAATGCCAACTGAATACTGTTTCATGGTGATTTTCTTTACCACAGATCTACAGGGGATCAATTGTAATATGACTTGTAATTGTAATGACTTGGTTATTAGGTTTCAATTCATATTGAAACATACCTCCCAAAATACACCAGTCTGAATGAGCACCGCTGGGATAAAAGTAAAAACAAAGTATCTCTGACTCAAAAGTCACTATCAAACAATATTTACTGTCACAGGCTACAGAGACTTGTTCATTAAAACTGATGAATTCAGGGTTATGCTTTGACATCACTTTTAAGTTTCTAACTTCAATTTTGAAAAATTTACATCTAAAATTATCGTGCATCATGGGTATTCTCAAGGTTAATAATTAATTTCAGGTCAGGTTTATAACTCTAAAGACTTAACAGCGCATACTTAAATTCTTATGGAAAATGAATTTTAGGTCATAAGTAATGAATTTTTGTGTTTTAATAATGAATTTCTTCACAGAATAAACGTACAAACGGAAACTAGTATTTGATTACTATAAAAAGCTGGATTTTCATAGTGTTCCTTTCTACTGTTCACTTATTAGTAGTAATGTAAAGGCATTAGTTCTAATAATAGTAGCGATATTCTGGATAGTGTTTATATAATGTACAGACTTTTGAGCGGAGTTTTTTTTGCATGATATCTTCTCTTTGTGCAGAATCTTCACAGAAAAGATTAACTGACAGTAGATCCTGTGGCAGAGTGCTGTCTGACATGAAGCACGAAACAATCCATTATGATACTTGTTCTTTATCTCCTTGGAGAAATTCACGACATTTAGTTGAAGGCCAATTCAAAAGTGGAGGAGTACATTTTGAAACCTTGTGACATAACTCAGAAACAGTTGTCTCATGTATTGGGATACGCAGCCCTCTCCCTGCCCCCACTATTATTGCGTTTTTTTTCAATTTTAGTAGAATCTAGCGAATCAACAGGTTGTAAACACTTTAAATACTCGCATGAGTAAACAATATCATTAGAGGTCATATTTTAAGGGATTCAAACAAAGCCAACAGAAGAAATTTGTATGCAATATACTGACAGAGGTCAGTTTTATGCTAACAGTGACTACAAGTTTCACCAGTGTGTACCTTTCTGTCAAAGCGTATACTTTGAGAGCAATTTACCATGAGTATGCGCACTATGAGCTGAAAGAACTTGTTCCTAGTGTGAGTGTGTCAGAGATGGATGTGAATAATTCCTTTACTGGTGATGAAGTATTTACTTTTTTCATTCCATTTCGTTCCGAGAAAAACAGAGAGCTTAAGTCTTCGGAGTTTCAGTGGCGATGGCGCTGTTGTTTTACAAGTTGTGATTACTAGCCTCAAGTCAAAGCTTCCTTCTTTTCTGGGTTTACTGTCAGCTAGAAACTAGCGAAGGTCAAGGAATGCATCGGCCAGGAATCGAACCCGGATCTGGCTAGCAAGCATTTTACCACTGAACCACCGACACAAAATACTTACTAATCAACGCTTAATTTCTTTTAAAACCTAGACAAATTAGTTCTACGAAATTTACGTTTATTTAGAATTGAAAAAATTCAATAACGGTTAACTAATAAAATTTTTATAAATATTTTTGAATTTTCATACATTTGTTCCCCTTAATGAATTTGAACAAAGCAACAACTACAATTTTAGCAGAATAAAATGGTACCATCTTTTATTTCGTCGCCTTCCCTTCAGCTGCTTACAGGGCAAAAACATTATTAAATGTATCTACAAAAACAATTTTAACATACTTGCACAAAAATCAATCGATCAGTATACGCACACACTAATAATATATACATATATGTATGTAATATTAAACACTATTCCGAACAATAATAATCATACACAATGAAAACTTTTCAGCATCTCGCATTCGGATGGATTCGCATCGGAAGAACAGAAAGAAGAGCACATCTACGATTTTCTGAACATGTACCGAAAAGCTTACGTCTAAAGGGAACAAATGCTTTAAACAGTGCCATCGCCAAGCATCTCCTCGACACGGGTCATGAGGTGGACGTCGAAAAGTCGTTCAAAATTATCAATAAGCAAAAGATCTCAATTCTCCTTAAGTTCGCTGAAGCCTTTTCCATCAAGCGCCTGAAACCTGATTTGTGCGTTCAGAAAGAAGTGTTATCAGTCTTTCTTTGACCTGGTAACTGGATATTTTTCATCCGAATGCGAGATCTGAAATTTTATTTGTATGATTATTATTGTTCGGAATAGTGTTTAATATTACATATATATGTATATATTATTAGTGTATGCGTATACTGATCGATTGATTTTTGTGCAAGTATGTTAAAATTGTTTTTGTAGATACAATTAATAATGTTTTTACCCTGTAAGCAGCTGAAGAGAAGGCGATAAAATAAAATATGGTACTTTTGAATTATTTTGTTAATATTTATGGTTATCTTTTCATAAAAGGACGTATAATCCCAGGAAGTCCAGCTGAGAAGTGTGGACAGTTAGAAGTTGGACAACGTATTCTAGCTATAAATGGATATTGGTTGACAGGAATAAATCATATAGACATTGTGAATCTTATCCGACAAAGTCAACAGGAATTACTACTAACCGTAGAGAAATCTGGTAAATTAATTTTCTGTATATTTTATTAAATTATCATTGTTGTGTAGAAACACTTTTAACTAATTTGTATAAATGTAAAGATTAATTGGTTTGCATATTGTACACTTACATATTTTCGTCTGAAGCTTACATCAAAATACTGTCTATACATGAGAGGAGCTCACTTTTTCTTACACAAAACTACGGACTATTTCTTCACTAAATTAGTAGTAATCCAAGATGAATTCAAAATCTGGTGTTGTGGTGTTCACTGGACTAGACGGCTTAATTTTGAAGCCTTCATTGTCTTTCCACATGACATCCTCAACACTAACTTCAAAGTGATGTGACATTTCAGGATTCTTCATGGATGAAATATCCATCTTCCCTGTTGACGCTGACCGTTGTTGGTTTTCCTCAAAGTTTTCTTATGATCCTACTCACTTTTATTGGTAATGATGACCTCGTCGATCTGATATTTGACTTATTCTTTATTGATTGATAAATTTGATCAATACTCAAATGTATGTTTATTGCAAGTTCATCTAAGTATCAGGCTTCTAGAAATTCCATGGCATTCTTCAAGTTTCTACTGTTTGAAATTTTCACATTTTCCCAGTTGAATCGATGTCCGTAGTTGTTCACATGAACTGATGTGAATGAATGCACATCAAATCTTTTGAACACTCAAAATATAGGAAATAAACCTTATTGCAGCCACTTATATACATTGTAGAAAATTAAGACATCAGTCTAAATGATTTAATTGTATATCTAATCCTCTAAATATTTCAAATGATAGTCAAACCAATCATTAGTAGTAGTACAAAGATTATGTTTATCTCTTTTCCAAACTTTCACTTTAGAAGGATTACTTGAAAAAACTCCAGTTAGTTTACTTACTTCGTTGCTGTACAGTATCACTTAAATTTGTTTGTCTTTATTACGGACATCGAAAGACTGTTTCAAACTGGGATATACAGTTTGGGTACTAAGCAAAGAAAAGATGTATCAGGAATTTTTCACAATGCAAAGTATTACAGACCATGATAAATCTATACCAGAATTAAGGACTAGTCAGTTACCTGTGTTGCATAAATCATGCGTAATAAGGTCTCTCTTTTAGCGCAAGGAGATTCATCGTGCTGAAGTTTCTGTAGCAACATTGTTTACAGGGTGGGGTTGCTAGCCTCACGCCTGAGAAGGGGATTGTTACATTAAAATAAAGTCAAGAGAGAAGCGACCTTGTGGCTTGCTCCCCTTAAATCCAGGAAAACAAGGAATAAAACAATCAGAACAACACCAGCACAGGAAAATAATTCCCAACAAGAAGGATAACAAGCGACAACAACAATAATAATATCACAGTCAAGTACAGTTAACAAAAATGACACCAAAATCATAGACTCACTGATTGCAGTAGATTGGATAATGCGACAAACAGCGGGCAATGAGGAAACAGGCATAAAATGGACTCACACAAAAAACTTGGAGGATCTGGACTTCGCTGATGATATATGTCTGATTTCCCACAAACTGGAAGATATGCAAGCGAAAAGCAACAAGTTGGCAGAAGAAGCATCCGGAGAAGATAGGACTTCAGGTGAACATAGAGAAAACAGAGATAATGAAGATTCCTGGGCAAGAACAACAACAACAGACAACGATCAGCATAAATGGGAGGAACCTGAAAGAAACAACCTCCTTTACCTACCTGGGAAGCATCGTTTCAACTACAGACGGAACTGACGAGGATATCAAAGCAAGAATCGGAAAAGCAAGACAAGCTTTCACTACTCTCAAGTCTGTGTGGAGGTCAACAGCACTCAGCATCAAAAATAACATCCGGATTTTCAACTCCAATGTGAAGTCAGTGCTACTATACGGATCAGAGACTTGCACTGCGCGTCATAAAGAGCATCTCAAACAAACTACAGACCTTCATTAACAGTTGTCTTCGTTCAATACTCAAGATCAGATGGCCAGAAAAGATCAGCAACAGAGATGGATCTCTGGCAATGAGCGAACCAACCAGGAACCGATTGTGCAACAAATAAACAGGAAGAAATGGAGATGGATTGGCTGGCCATACTCTGAGGAAACCATCAAGTGACATCACTAGACAAGCCATTGCTCGAGTGGAACCCGAAAGGGAAGCGGTGAGTTGGTCGTCAGTGCAAGGGTGACTTGGAGGAGGTCATGTGAAGAGGAGATGAAAACGTGTGGGCAGACATGGAGCCAGGTGAAGACTCTAGCAGAGAACCGAACGCAATGGAGACGCACGGCTGAAGCCCTATGTTCCTCTAGGAATTAAAGGAAACAATAATAATAATACGGTCTCTCAATTCTTCTTTGTTACACGCTGATTAAATGTGCGTAGAGGACATAAGTATTCCGAAGATCACAGATACACTATCAATGAATGCTAACGTCAGTTAGCCTTTGTCAAACTTTAACTTACATTATGGTACACCAGAATGAGCAGTAATGATTAATCAGTTACTTTTATGACCACGAAGCCAACTTGATCAATTACTTTTGCTGATCACATGGGGGGAGGGGGAGTAAACAACCATATTGATCAGCATCACACCATCATGTTGCAAAGTCTTTTTTAACCAGGAAGTCATTTCAGCTGAAGACATTTGTCTTCACATGAATTAGTGGCTATATGCAGAAACTTGAGTGCTTATATTCTACATTTTTTTTAATCCAGAACTAAGTGTGGTGTGCTTCTGCCTTCACTTTCCCCTTTCCTATTCCTATACATTTCTGCTAAAATTGTGAATAATATTAAGATATATTAAGATATTAATATTAAGATTAACTACTTAAAACTCTTGCGTAATTCCGTAGGTTATTTTGTTTCCATGTACACCCTGAGCAAAACTCTTTTATCAAACTATTCACGTTATTACGTAACTCTTCTTTAACAATCGTTTGTGACAATTCAACACTTTTGTTACTACCCTCTTATATCAACATCCAATTCATCTGAACTTACTAATTGTATTTTCGCTTGTCAAATTTAATGTACACACACATACAAAACAACCATATATATTTGCAATTGTACAGCTATGAAAATGAATTCGCCACCGAAAAGAGACTCTTTGCTGAACTACTGGTCTTCTGTCTATTAATATTAAGATAGCTGATAGGTATTATAGATGAAGAGTATAATCTTTTCGTATTTCACTCCTACATGAGACCATAAAATAAAATTTCACATTAATGAATATAAAACAAAAGCACTGAATGCCTATATTTAATTTCAGGTGCCTTATTCAGTGAAAGAAACAATAATCTTGCTGGTCACTTGGATACAAATCAAAATACTTTTTCTCTGCCTACTTCTACAAATTCAGTAGTATGTCCTCATTCTGTAAACATTTTAAAATCTGATGAAGTAAGTCATTATACAAACATTTCATTAAAAAATGACTAGGTGAACTTTCACTGTCAGTAGACATTTTTTTATAATGGACTTTTTTATAATGAACTCCAGTAGATGAAATAGTTTAAATATTATGAAATTTCTAACTTATTGAGATTTTCTTAAACCATTAGAAAATTTCATATGGTATCGTATAGTGAAACTTTTCTTATGATTACTGTATTTCTTCAATAATCGGCTAGCTGAAAATGATGCAGAAGGATTTCTCTGTGGAATAACACTATGCACTATTTTTAACATCCACTATAAATAAGCCCTCGAGTGGAACCCGAAAGGGAAGCGGTGAGTTGGTCGTCAGTGCAAGGGTGACTTGGAGGAGGTCATGTGAAGAGGAGATGAAAACGTGTGGGCTGACATGGAGCCAGGTGAAGACTCTAGCAGAGAACCGAACGCAATGGAGACGTGGGTGGCTTAAGCCCTATGTTCCTCTAGAAATTAAAGGAAACAATAATAATAATAATAAGGAGACAAATTATTATTGTTATTATTATTTCCCCTGGGTTTCCGAGTGGAGCGTAAAGCCTCAACAGTACATCTTCATTTCACCCTCTTCTCTGCAGTCGTCCAGAGCTGGCTCCAGGACTGCCTATTTCCACCTCACACGATCTCCCCCACGTCACTCTTGGATGAAAAACTCGTCGTCTCTCATTGGGGCTTCACTCGAGGTCTTGTGCGCGATGTCAATCGATGGGGCGCGTCCGATCCATCTCCATTTCCTACTACATATTTGTTGGGTAATATGGTTCTTGGTTGGTTCGGCCATTTGATTTTCAGTATGGAGCGACTGCAGTTGTTGGTAAAAGTGTGAAGCCTTTTGTAAATAATTTTCTTGAAGTGCCAAGTCTCTGAACTATACACTAATTTCAGGTTAATCATGGTCACTCTTTCATTTCCGCTTCTGGCTTTGACATCTTCATCCGTGCCACCTGTAGTTGAAACGATGTTGCCTTGATAAGTGAAAGTGGTGACCTCCTTCAGATTTCTCTCATTGATAGTGGAGGTAAAAGCTTCTATAAACTGTTATTGGTTCAAACAAGGAATACAACCGTTTCTTCTTACTCGAGGCATCTTTAAATTGACTGTTGGTCTAAATGTTATATTTACGGATACTTGCCAGAATAACAGTGACTGCAGTAGTTTAATGATACCATCTATAATTCAAGTATTGAATACACAAGTTCGCTTAATATTGTAGATACCCCTGACAGAGTTTCTTATCTCTCCCTTTCAACCTGATTCAGTGTCAGTAATATCGCTAATAGATTAAATCATATTTTCGTAAAAGTCAAAATATGTTTTCATAGCACTTAACTTTTTATTTGCTTGTCTTCTTCAATAGTTACCAGTTGAAAAAGTTACTGAAAAGTGCAATTCAAATGACATATCTACTCAAGGCTTATATTCAATTACACTGAAACGTGGTCCTAATGGATTCGGCTTCTCTGTTCGTAGTGGATATAGTTCTAATAATTCTCCATTAATTGTCTATAGGATTATAGAAAATGGACCAGCTTATCAACAAGGTCAAATGCAAGTAAGCTATATATTCAGTATAGGGGGTTTTTAATTTAACAGACTAAAGATGTATTTTGAGTATTAAAATTAGCGAAGAAATTCACTGATGATGAATTGTTCTGTTGCATTTTGAAACTTCTATAACTCACAAAACTTTGGTTCCAGAACTCCATGACAAATCACTTCTTTAGTCACTTTTATTGTCGGCTTTTAAAATCTCTGTGTTGTCGTTCACTAATACAGAGCATGTTATTCCACTGCGAACTGTTAATCACTGCATTCACATAACATACAACAGTCATTCTTCTTTTCTAAATTTTCGATACAGCTAATTAAATAGAACACAGGATTTAACTTATACTGGTTTTGGTAATACATATTCAACAAAGCTTTCTCTCTGAAGAACAGTAGAAGCAATATTTTAATTTTTGTTTCCAATCTATTTTCATATTTGTCCAGTTTACAAATCAGATCATTTAAGAAAAGGTATTTTAAAAGAAGACTTAAGTGAACCATGTGAGATGGATGAACCATCGACCGAATTCTACGGAATCATAATATCAGAATTTTGAATTAGCATGTTGATTTAAGGTGTAGACTACAAAATTGTATTTTATGGGTAAATAAATGTTTGCTAATGAACATTAACATTATCATTATTTATTATTGTTCCCTTGGGTTCATAGTGGAACATAGGACTTCAACTGCACGTCTCCACTTGCTTCTGTCTTATGCTGTACTTTTCACCTGCATCCATGTTAGTCCATACTGTTTCAACTCTTCTTCACACGATCTCCTCCATGTCACCCTTGGACGTCCCACTCGTCGCTTCCATTTCGGGTTCCACTCGAGCACCGGCCTGACGCGCGATGTCACACAGCGGCCTCCTCAGCGAGTGTCCGATCCATCTCCACTTTCTCCTGCATATTTGTTGGCCGATACGTTATGACAGAACAGAATTACGGCAATGATTGGTAGAGCATAACTCCGTAATAGAATAGTGTTACGATATTATTTGTTTAATGATGATGTTTTGAGCACAATTTATTCTTCATGTTCATAGCAAAGTGATATTCGTTTACTGTAATCAAACACCAGTTTACATAGTGCATTTATCCAGCTAATTACTTCCAACTCACTTCATGCTTTTAAGCAGATCATATGTTATGGTCTGAACTACTCAATGGTAACATCTTTAACTAAGACGGATTCAAATCTCCAATTAGAAATCAATTCCTTTATCGTTGTTGATATGCCTTGTTGATAAGAAGTATAAATAAGCACAGAACTTAGGCCAAGGCTTACTGGCCTTACTACCTAGTTTGCTAATCATATTGCAAATCCACTAGACAGAAATCAATCAATCAGACCAGTCGCACGACACTGGTTACTCTCTAGTATCTTTTATTTAGATGCTATTACCTAATTTAACTCCTTCTCAAGGCAACAGTATCATGTTTACCTCATAACATAAAACAGTATTGCATATTATCCCTAGACGACGCAACAATCACCAAATATTAGCAAAAATTATAGATCATTCTCATCAGATCAATACAATGAAGAAAACAGTCATTAGGTAGAATGATTTATTAATTCAAGAGAAATCGTTCGAACTAGGTTGCAGCTTTCCAATAAATATTAAAGATATTAACAAAGGAAATATAAAATTATACTACTGAATGACTGAGATGAGTAGTTAGTTATATACCACTCACATCAGGTGGTAATACTTGTTAGCTAGGTCGAGGTAATGTAAACACCGGACGGCTGTTTCTCTGTTTTGAGATCGAGCTCATCAGCAGTGTACTCAGTTTGACTCCGTTCAGAAAGTGGTAATCAAGAAAACAAGCATAAATACATAAAACTCTCTACTAATGATTGACTGACGTCAGAAGTTGTATACTGCTCACATTAACCAGCGGTGCTTGTTAGCCAGATCAAAGACTCATACCAAGACTCGTTAGAGCTTACCTTCCAAATCGACAGATTACACCTTTCAACAAATGCTAGCAGATAGGAAGTAAAACAAGCGACAAAGGTTAATAAAGTAGAATTTAATGAATTCATCAAATTCCGGTAGAACTTATTCAAGTGTTGGTTTTTGGAGGGATTTGATTGGTTACAGGATTTCATCATGAGTTGACATTGGTTAGAGAACCATTGGAAAACCTGCATGGAGTACTGGACAGCTGTTTCGTCAGCCTAGTTTGGGACTACTTCTTCAGTACGCACCCACCGGGGTTCGAACCCTGGACCTTGGGGTTACAAGGCGAGCTCGTACACAATTATACCACTGGGCCTCGATCCAATGGCCGTCCATGAATTCTAACTTCTGCCAATTCACGTTATAGCGCGACCACTAGCCAATGTCTTCGGCGAGTATTTGTCCTCACACCCGACCTGCTGCACCCTACTGGTCACGACTTCTCACTAGAACCCCAGGTAACTACCTACCTCAATAGGGCAAGTCGCTAGTGAGCATCTAATCGATATTCAAGTTCTCTAACCAATGTCAGCTCATGATGAAATCCGGTAGAACTCTTCAGCAGAATACTCTACATACAGGGATATATATGTATACTATTGGAAATACATTGGGAGATATAAGATTGATAAGCGAATAGATAGGAAGTAGCGGGTACCCAAAATTGCCACAAATAGATCTTATCAGTTTATTTCAAAACAACAGTGCAAAATGAGTTAGCTAATATAATAAGTTATCCAGAAAACATGAGTATTTACTTAACAATATAGTCAGGGCTTTGTTATATACAAACATTTCACCCTGACTATTTATCTGCCTATTGACAAATGAAAGCTATTTATCAAAATAAGCAGATTTCTAAAAAAAATATTTCACAACCTGTACCCTTGATTAGTTTGAATAAAGAATGGACAGACAGATCTTAAGGACAATAAAATATCAAAATATAAGTTACATAAGTTCTGAACATACATTTATCAAAATGACGTGGAGTTGTCCATAGTAGGTATAAGCTATTACATAATTCTACTATGAGTAGAATTTTATTTTGATAAAGTCTCACAGTATTACACAGGAATATTTACTGATGACCTCATTTCGAGCACAATTTATTGCTCATAATCATATCAAGGCACTACTCACACAACTTTCTAACTTCATTTATATAATTCCATTACTTTTCATCGCTTGACTTGATTGGTAGTAGTATTTTCCATATTTTTGGTATGAGTGATGAGTCAATCCTATTGCATGTGTTGGGTGTAGATTCGATGAACAAGGATTCAGTAATCAACCTCTCTCTCCACCTATCAAGATTACTTCTTAGAATTTTAACCCTCTACCACCCTATTGTGTGGTTGTGTGTTAATGCATGCATTGCAATTGCTGAGCTTTTTTCTAAATTACTTATCTTCTCGGGGTCAACCATTCTCACCTTAGCTAAATTCTTATGTTCCGACAATCTGACTACCCTTGACCTACTAGTTTGACCTTGTAGTTGACCTCACAGTCACTGTAGGGTATTTTGTAAATTATATCATTTTGTTTTATTAGGCCGACTGGGTCCTTTAACCTACAGAGCTTGTCCCTGAGTGAGTTTGTAGGTTTAAATGCCACCCTAATTCCTGCCTTACTGAGAATCCTACGTAGAGTCTCAGATATCCCCTCCTCATATGGTATAACAGTAGATGTCTTATATTCTCTCTTATTTATGTTATAATTATTAGTTTCACCATTATTTTTTTTTACTTTTGGCCTTTTCTGATCTTCCTAATGAATTTTATAGGATAGTTACTTGATACCAACCAGCTATTCTTCTATCTGTTTTATTTCATCATTTAGGTCTTTTCTTGTACTATTTAGTGCTACTGCTCGGTTTGTTAAACACTTAACTAAGCCTGCCTTAACAGTTAACGGATGAGATGAATTAAAGTCTAAATATCTATTAGAATGCATTGGTTTTTTATAAACACTAGTGTGTAGTTTACCTTATTCTATTCGTTTTATTTTATAATCTAACATCATGGCTAATTCTCTTGTTCATTTTCCGATTCAAATGTGAATTTTATTCCCTCTACTATTGAGTTTATGTGTGTGAAGAAGCTAGAGATATGTTCTGTTTTTAACACTGTGAAAGTGTCATCCACATATCTCCACCATATTTTTCGAGTAGGATTAAATTTATTAAGAGCAATATATTCCCAGCTGTCCATAAATATATTTGCTACGATAAGGGATATTGGTGATCCCATTGCTAATTGTTAAAATTCTGAGAAATAATATAGGTAGGTGGAGAGAAAGGTTGATTACTGAATCCTTGTTCATCGATTCTACACCCAACACATGCAATAGGAATGACTCATCACTCATACCAGAAATATGGAAAATACTACTACCAATCAAGTCAAGCGATGAAAAGTAATGGAATTATATAAATGAAGTTAGAAAGTTGTGTGAGTAGTGCCTTGATATGATTATGAGCAGCAATAAATTGTGCTCGAAATGAGGTCATCAGTAAATATTACTGTATAACACTGTGAGACTTTATCAAAATAAATTTTACCCATAATGGAATTACACTCTACCACAGTGCACAAGTTCTATTCTTATATCTATTACATAATTCCCAAGTGATGTAAGTAGACAGATTATTGACTGTTAAAGATGCTAAGTATTTATAATATAATTTGACAAGAAAGGGGGAGCTGAGTTCAAATTTCGCATGGCAATAAGGATTGACTAGAAACAGAATACAAAATCGAGCAACAGAATGAATTTATATATAATATGATAGGAAGTTCGAGAGGGTAGGAATGAAAAGTAAGCTGATGATATGGACAGACAATCAAATAAATTTAGAAAATTAATAGTGAGTTCAACTCAGTACCTGAAGATCAAAATATGTCACTTAACAGAACCTTTTGTAATTTACACTTCAATATTGTTTAGGTTGCATGCAGTTGACAGAAAATCCAAGAAGAAACACGATCTCATATTATCCTGCAAATATGTTCCATCTTTATTGTTTAAATTTTTTTTCTATTCCTTTACGTTCCCAGTGGAACATAGAGCTTCAAGCTACAGGCTTGAAGTTTCGGTAGCAGTGGTATTTATTTGTACGGGATGGAGTTGCTAGCCTCACGCCCAACCCTCCCTCTTTACCAGCCTTATTACTGGCCTAGCGAGGTGAATTAGTGCATTGGCTGTGGATCGAACCCCGGACCACTTGTGGCGTGGTTGGCGAGCATTCTGCCGCTGTGCCACCGACGCGTATTGTTTAAATTAATAAAAATATTATATAGTATTGTATTTCATTCCACAATTTCTTTTTCTTTTTAGACTGGTGATGAAATTCTAGAAATTAATGGAATTAGTACACTTACAATGACTCATCAACAAGCTGTTGAAATGATTAAATCAAGTGGATCAACTATACGCATTCTACTACAACATTTTAATGATGATAATCAATGTGAGAATTCTTTTTAAAGACAAAAATACAAAACAAGAACACGAGAAAAAGAGGAATATGAAAGTACAACAAATAAAATGATTGAAAAAACAAATAAATAAAAATACAGACTATTACTTTCAGGATTCAATTATGTACAGAGAATTTATTCAAAGTGTACAGTTAACCAGATTTAAAAATAATTTTAGCTAACAATAATAATTTTCATCTTGTTCTACTAATTTTAAAACTCTCTTTGTTACGCACAGCCTTGAAAGATTTCGTCAGAAAAAAGAGGACGAATAAGTGAAATATTTGTTTCACAAAAGTAATAGTTGATGGTAGAATGTTCATCAGCTGCGTAGGAAGTCCGGGTTCGATCCCCAGCCCGTACTCTTGAACCTAGTTTACTAGACAACGGTAAGTTCAGAAAAAAGAGAAGGTTGGGAGTGAGCAACCCCACGCTGTAAAATCAACCAACACGGCTACTGAAACTTTAAACGTTGAAGCCTTAAGTTCCTTTCCAAAAGCAAAGAAATCAAAAAAGGAGTAGTTGATGGAATAGATTGACGACTTCAACAGTCATTAAAGTAAAGAAAACCTTCAGTTCAAGAATAATATGACAGTTAATGAGGCGATTGAGGACAAATCAACTGATGAAGTCGTACAAAAGTTAGTTTGATAATAAATTTAAATTAAATTATTTACATTGATAACTCCAGTTGTAAGCAGTTGACAAGTCACCCTTGCACTGACGACCAACTCTCCACTTCCCTTTCGGGTTCCACTCGAGCAATGGCTTGTCTAATGATGTCACTTGATGGTTTCCTCAGAGTATGGCCAGTCCATCTCCATTTCTTCCTGCCTATTTGTTTCACAATCGGTTGCTGGTTGGTTCGCTCATTGCCAGAGATCTCTATTGCTGATCTTTTCTGACCATCTGATCTTGAGTATTGAGCGAAGACAACTGTTAATGAAGGTCTGTAGTTTGTTTGAGATGCTCTTTATGACGCGCAGTGCAAGTCTCTGATCCGTATAGTAGCACTTACTTCACATTGGAGTTGAAAATCCGCATCTTATTTTCATTTTCATGCTGAGTGCTGTTGACCTCCACACAGACTTGAGAGTAGTGAAAGCTTGTCTTGCTTTTCCGATTCTTGCTTTGATATCCTCGTCAGTTCCGCCTGTAGTTGAAACGATGCTTCCCAGGGAGGTAAAAGGATATATATTCACTAAGAGTTATGACCCTAGCTTACTCAGCATTGAAGTCAAAATGTCACCAACTGATTGTATGATTAGATTATGTACAACAGTCAAGTTCAAAATTCTGAGTGCAGAATATCGATTAAATGCAAAGTGTAAATGTAACAGTAGAAGACGAGAGACTTGATAAAGGAATGTTTATTTGGAATGTGGTATCTCCATATAGCGAAATTATGTACACCTTATCCTCAAATTACCATTTGCACAGATCCTCCGTGTTCTGCTACCTCTCGCCTTTCTTCATATTGTGTTCCTTTCACGTCTCCCATGTATCTCCGTAACACTATATCATTGCTTTCTCTGACATCAAATCTATCTCCCTTCTACTTGATGCTCTAACGTCGATGAACGTCCCCTCATATACTACTGGTAAATCTTATAAGTAGCACACGCCAAATAAATACTCAACTGAGCGATTAAATATCCCAATATTTTTGGAAATCGTATTTAACCATAATAATTTGATTTTACGGTTTATAACTTCAGAAAAGAAATAACCCAATCTGAAGTCTCAGATTGAATAGGATGCCGTTGAGAGTCAACACAAACCTGAATTCTGGGTCAAGCACTTTATTTTGTCAACTAACTTTCAATACTCATTATCAAGTATTGTATCATAAAGCTAATTTTAACTGTGTCTTTAAACCCGCATATAAAACATGTTTGGGTGACAAATAAATTTGTTGAAGCTCCAGCTATAGAAAAGCCTAAACCTGTTTTTATGTTATTCTTTCTTCTATGGTGAACCAATTTAAACCTCAAGGGTTATTTACATAAGTATTACTGACGCTTTGCTACTCTTATCTATTATTTTGACCCCTAAATTAACATTCTGACGAAAGTTGATTCACTTTTGACCTTTTAAACACTGTTACCATTTATACATTAAGATGTCTGTAATTTTGACTGGTCAACATGTAGGCAATCACAAACTGTTTTTTAAAGAGCTTAAAATTAGTCCAAAAAAAACTTACTCCTGTATTTAATTGGTGGGTGGTGACTAGCAGTAGAATCCAGGATGCATATTTCGTCCTATTTGGAACTCGTCACTGGACGTACCTGCATTTCTCAGTGAGTGATGATGTTCCCACCGAGGCTTGAACCCAGTGCCCATAGTTTCAAACGCCAAAGCGTTACCCACTAGACCACTTGGGCCACGAGAGCCACCTCTTGTGCAACGGGTCATATTGATTTAATTGAATTTTTTTAGATTTTCCCGTCGATTGATTGGACCGAAGTGCTCGGTCTCAGGTTGACATGTCGGCTTCTTGTGCAGATGCTTCGACGATGTCTGAGCATTTAATTTGTATGTAATTGGTGGATGGTGACTAGAAGTGGAGTTCGAGCCTCGGTGGGAACATCATCACTCACTGGGAAATGCAGGTATATCCAGTGACGAGTCCCAAATAGGACGAAATGCGCATTCTGGATTCCACTGCCAGTCACCATCCACCAATTAAATACTACTAATGCTCAGACATCGTCGAAGCATCTGCACAAGAAGTCGACATGTCAACCTGAGACCGAGCACTTCGGTCCAATCAATCGACGGGAAAATCTTATAAAAAAATTCTATCAAACTTATTCCTGTAATCAGTCAGTGGACCAATGTCAGGAATTGATCTGACCACTGTAAGCATAATTCCCTAATCTGATACTGTCTTCCGTAACATCATATACCCGAAAAGATGACAAATCGATACACTATCCGGACTGACTTAATTTCCTCTCAGAGACGAATTCCTTCAGACTACCGCTGCCTGTATGTTATCAGAATCATTACTTACAAGTGAACCAATTCAATAACTTTGATCTTTTCTTGAAGAAAATGGAATAGGTAACTCAACTCAATCAGTACATTAAACATAGTTTAACAACTATCGTGTTCTTTATCACCTCAAATCAAAATATTGTATTACAAAAACATAGCGAAGTCATTAAACAGCATACTATTCAAAACGAAACTGGCGAAACTCTCAGCGGACAATTAGAAAGTTAAAATCAAAGTCTTATGATAAATATAGTTAGTGGCTTCCACACCTGTACGTGTAATCTAAAGACAGAAGAGTGACAAATGCATAAGCATAGCAACCTCAGTCATGCTTTGAAAGCAACTGGTGCCCAAAACTGAATTCTGACACTAAATGGCTATAGAACTTAAGAATTTAAAACACACGTGTCAAACTGATTCTGATTTGTTTCATTAACGATAGAAGTGAGTTAAATGAATCATTGTGTACCAGTGAGTTTAGATAATGCTTCAATATTTTTTCACTTTTGCCAGTCTACAATTCCAGGTAGAAATCATCAACTGTCTGATTCCGAATAGAACATTAGATAACAACAGGTTCATGACTATAATCATAGTTTCAGCCCTCAAAAGCGACAGTGATAACTAATCTTCAAGTCCATCCGTTACAGTGTAAATGATATCCGAAGTCTGTGATGTGCGTCACTCAGTTTCTAAGTCTCATTGGAACTATCCAGTCAGAAAATAATATAAAACAACTATCTAATTTAATTCAATCAATAACTGTGCTTCCTACTCTCCGACGTATCAATATCTTTATGCAAACCCAAATACTATAATGATAGGTTATAAAAGACGTCACGTAACCTCATAATATGCCATCCAGTACACTGACCATATACGTTGTAACGGAGTAACCGTTTAGAAATCCCTCCTGAAAAATCTAGTCACAATACTGATACTGATTTGGATGTTTCAACAACCTACGATTATAATCTGTTTTTCTCCTAGACTGTATATCATTGTTCTGACATTTGTATAGTATATATTGCCTCGATCCTTATTATTTGTCTTTGTTCCTATTTGATCTCTAATTTAAATGCTTCTCTACGTGGTTCAAGATTCTTCAGGGCCATCCTGAACCTGCACTGTATGCAAGAATTGTGAAGTGTGATTCTTGCTGACAGAGTTTTGTTGCCGCCTTGTTGGGGATATGCTACTTGATTTTCAGGTGCTTCTTACTGTTGATTTTTGCTAATTAACTTTCTTCTACAGTACTTGTTTTGCAATAGAACCACGTAGCTGCCTATCGGCATTTTTTAGGTAATTTTGAGCTTTGATATTATTATTATTAATGATAATAATTAGTACTGTAGTTTCATCTCAAATAACTATATTTTTGCTGTCATTGGGGTATTTTGCAACTGAGAGTAACTCAAGGAAGTTCAGGCTAGCTATACCGTGGGACGCATAGACTGCTTTCCTGACCTCAGACCATATCACCATGGGTTTTGGACTCTACTCAAGTTTCAATGAGACGTTGAAAATAGTTTTGGAGGTATGCTGCAATATGTATGTAGGAACATTACTAGTAAATGTGATGCAGATAGATTAAGCTGACTAGTTTCAAACGAGAAACGCGCGTTCTGAACAGTATTGTTATTAACACTCAGACGCATAAGTACAGTGAATATTTGGAATACAGCTTAGCTGCCAACAGCAGCAAACGCAATGACATTCTAAATGAAATTATAAGAAAAGATTTGTTGCTCAGGATGAGAATAAAAATCGTGTGGTATTTTCTGAACTTCATAATTTAATGGGGAATATGGACAAAAATAACAAAAAAGGTACCTCAGTATTTATGTAACTTACAAATAAATGACTCACTTTTTAATCAAAGTAGTGTTGAAGGTGTCTAACTGGGCATGATGACAATGACTGACTGGTTTCAGCATAGAACATTCCACAGATATGAAAGCAGTTTGAGTCACCATACTCCATGTACCACACAAAACAAGAGAACAGGGTAAAGAGAGATTTAAAAGAGACAGACAGAGATAGAGATAATAAATAGAAGAGCGAGGGGAAAAGATTAGTAATATGGAAGAAGAATAGAGTTTCATTGGGTTTTCTAAATCACGAAAACTGACTGCATTTTCGCTACTCACCCAGAATGATTTCGAGCCATACCACCAATTGTCTTCAGCCTCCACTGGTCATTAACATCATGAGGACCCCAACCAGACGGCAGTCTACACTGTTATGGATTTCACTGACCGATGAGGCCATATCTTGCTTTGACCATCACCCGCTCTTTTCCAACATGATCCATCCAATGTCAGCTAACATTGCCCATTGTCGAGGGACGCGATGGATAGGCTTGCATGCATAACACATGTCCTAACCATCTCAATTTCTACAGCTGCTTCACAACCTCATCCATTAAATCCCCCCCCCCTTAGCCAGAACTTGACGCCTAAACTCAACATTGCTCACCCTATTATACCACCTAACACGGGAGATAGAACGCAGGCACATATGATCGAAGTTAGCTGACCAGACTTTTCATGTCTTTCACTTTCAGTGGCCATGTTTCACTGACAACCATAAGGGAGGACGGAGCATAGTAAGCAGTATACACATCCTTTGATTGACAGCTAGTCGAATATCACATCTACGCCAGAATTGGAGTAGGTTGGCAAATGTGAAACGAGCTTTGCGTATTCGTGCTGAGATTTCGTCAGCGATCAACCCACTGGCTGATGCAACATCCCATTTAAGTGAAGTGTTCAAAACGCTCTGCCACTTCACTCCCTATATTTAAGTTAGGAGTCAATGTACTCCAGTCCTGTAGCATCATCTTACATTTGACGGGAGCGAATCGCATGCCAAACATTCGAAGATTGCTGCTCAAGGTGCTCGGAAAACTTTGAATTTTGTCAACGTCTTCACCTAGGATGACTATATCATCCGCATATTCTGAGTCAACGAGAGTATATCCTGGTAACAAGTCAATCCCTGAGTCGCTGAAGCGCCTACAATCGAATATCGAAGCTCGAGACACGAAAACAATCTTCATAATTTTACTGAATACAGTCAAATAACAATTGTCCTACCTTAATAACTTCAGAAGTAACATGAGTCTATTTATTCCCCCATTCGAATAACGTGTAAACATTGTAAATTAAACACACTTTTTGCAAACGATTTTGTATTTCCCAATGAATGAAAAACAAAACGATATTTGTATACTGTCGTTTCGCTATTTAGTACTGTTAATAGCTTTATCAAAGTATTATTAAGCCAGAATTTACGAAATCTCAGTTTATATACAACAACTTAGTCATCACTCATCAGCATGGGGTAAGCGTATAAAATTATAAAAGCAGCATGTGTTTTGTTTGCACAATAGTCAGTAACTAGTGTAATGTGTCTAGTCTTCGGTGCAGACTGAATTCTGTCAGTCATGTTTGCAATGTGGCCACCATGCTAGGTGGCTCGCCGTTACGGTGCACTGTAAATTGTTGGTATTAGATGGTTGTAGGCAATCGGCAGGAAGCCTTGGACCTAGGTTTCGTGCTAGTTGGCAAGGCGTATCTGCAACCTTGAAGGAACTGATGTCCCTTCTGAGATTCGAACCCGCGTCACCCAGTGCTGCAGTCAGAGACGTTACCACTGAGCTATTCAGGCTCGCGACTGACCTCCTGTAGGACTGTATTGGATATTTTTGTTTGTACACTGGTCAGTAACTAGTGTAATGTGTCTAGTCCTATCTTCGGTGCAGACTGAATTCTATCAGTCAATCCAATACAGTCCTACAGGAGGTCAGTCGCGAGCCTGAATAGCTCAGTGGTAACGTCTCTGACTGCAGCACTGGGTGACGCGGGTTCGAATCTCAGAAGGGACATCAGTTCCTTCAAGATTGCAGAATACGCCTTGCTGATGAGTGCCAACTAGCACGAAACCTAGGTCCAAGGCTTCCCGCCCATTACCTCCAACCATCTAATAGCAGCATGTGTTTACATAGTGAAATTGCTTATCACATTCGTGTTGATTTTTTCATTTCATGCGGGAAGGGGGTGTTGTGACGACCAGGTCAAATTCTGTTTTAGTTCATCATTCCTATTCAGACAATTTGGACTCCATTTGATATGAAGTGCTTCTGATATTAGACATTCTTTGTGATTGATGAATATTTTCTGGATAGTAATTTTGCGACTTAATTCTATAGCCTGTAGACCTATTGTCGAATGTGCTCCTGATAAGATTTACCAGTAGTATACAAAGAGACGTTCATCAACATTAAAGCATGAAATACAAGGGACATAGATTTGAAGTCAGAGAAAGCAATGATATAGTGTTGCGGAGATACATGGCAGTCGTGAAAGCAACACAAAGAAAAACAATATGAAGAAAGGCGAGAAGTAGCACAACACGGAAGATCTGTGCAAATGGTGCGTTGAAGATAAGGTGTACGTAATTTCACCATATAGAGATACCAAATAAACATTCCTTTATCAAGTCTCTCATCTTTCACCGTTACACTATGGCCGATGATTTTTCAAGCTTTTCTAGTTCAATTGGATTTGTCGGTGGTTAAACAGTTGCTCTACGGTGTTCATCATTCCTTCTGATTTCGATTTTTGCCATGTTTGGTCGATGTATATCACACATTACATTCCAACTTGACAACGTAAAAATCACCCCGTAATGAGGAACGATGATTAAGTTGTTATATATAAGCTGAGGATTTGTAAATTCTGGTTGAATAATACTTTGATAAAGCTATTAGCATTAAATAGCGAAACAATATCGTTTTGTTTGGTTACAGGATTTTCATCGAATCCCGGTGGGTGCGTACTGATGAAGAGTCCCAAACTAGGCTGACGAAACAGCTGTCCAGTACTCCCTGCAGGTTTTCCAATGGTTCTCTAACTAATGTCAACTCATGATGAAAATCCTGTAACCAACCAAATCCCTACATACCAACACTTGAATATCGTTTTGTTTTTCATTCATTGGGAAATACAAAATATTTTATAATAACGAATATTATAAACCCAATGCGCAAATTTTTTTTTGAACTGTTAAAAATGAACTTGTTTTGAACATATATATAATCACACTTTGTTTAACTTAACCAATACTCACATCATCATCATCATCACCATGATCTCCATAGGAATCAATCACACGTAATAAAATAGTCGTACTATCTATCAACATGAGAAATTATGACAATCTACTTTATTTTTCTTTCACTTTCCCCAGTGGAACATAGGGCTTCAAGCTAGTGGCCTGAAGTTTCTGTAGTAGTGTTTATTTTACAGGATGGGGTTGCTAGCCTCATGTCCAACCTTTCCTCTACACCAGCATTATTTCTGGCTTAGCGAGGTAAAGGAGTGTGTCGGCCGGGGATCGAACCCCGGACCATGAGCATAGTCGGCGAGCGTCCTAACCGCTATACCACCGACGCACATGACAACCTACTTAGTTAGTTAGAAGTAATCACCACCACCATCATCGGGACAAAAAATAACACACAATTACTTCTTTTACATAAAGGTTAATTTATTTGATAAATACATTCATTCTGTAAAGTAATCTGTTACAGGTATCTACACACACACACACACACACAACACACACACACACACAAAACAAAATAACACATTTAGCAACAAAAGAAAACAGATCTAAGTTGTTATAAAAAAAGAAAAGAACTATCGAATAAAACAAGTCATTATAGAAAACCAACCACAGAAAAAAAGCGTTCATTGAAAAATCCTAATGAAATATATTGCTGACTTTCGATCAAACAAAAGTTGTTGTTTTTTAAAAAAAAAAACAACCCAGAGGAGATTAACTGTACATAACAATTTAAATAGTAGTAGAGCTAAGTTGAAAAGCGGCATCTTTATATACATTCGGTAAGTAAGTAGCTAAGTAGAAAACAAACACACAGAAAACATTGAAAAGATCATTCCTCATTTCAACATATTTACATTTCACTTGTAAACATATCAAATTATGCAATAACATATAAATAAATATCTTTTGTTAGAATGAAAATAAAATACACGTAAATAAATACTAATTAATTACATATACAGTTATTCCATTTTTGTCATATCCTACTGTTTAAGATTAATTCATTTCCTTGCATATGATTAGTTGGAATAGGACTGACTAACACAATTTGTCTAGAAGGCTCTATAAAGAAGATGTACAAGGAGCATGGGGGTGGGGGGAAGGAGGAGAGATGATAGACAACAGAAAGGGGAACAATTATCAAGAAGAATTACTGCTTGACTTAGGTAATTTACCAGGGCTAATTTTTTCTTGTTCTTCTAATAGCCATGCTTCATGAACAGCTTTTTTATGCTTATCTAAACGTGACTCAGAGGCGAGTAACAGACCACAGATATAACAACCATATCCTAAATTAGGCACTTGTAATACAGTTGGCCAACGTTGACTACGACTTGTATGATTATTACCGGAACCTGATTTTAATGTTAACAAGTGTTTCAATAATTTTTCTGTAGAATCAAATAACGGTGCATCACGAGAACATCCTGGACAAGCTAAAGATTGTGAATATGTATCAACAGGTACTGGTTTTTGTTCAGTATGTTTATGCTTTAGCATAGCACAATGAACTCTTAAACCCATGCTGGTAGGGAATCCACGATTGCATTCCTGACAAGTAAAATTTGTTGTGGCTTGTTTATCAATTTCCTTATTAGACACCGGTGACTTGTGTTGTTCTTCTATCAATTTAGGACGAAGTGGACATTTTGACTGGTGTATGTGAAGGATACGTAGACACGAGTAACCAGATTTATTGCACCATGGACAAGAGGGTGTTGTGGATAATTCAGGGTCGTCTTTGTTCATTTCATCAGATGCTGGAATAGTTGTAGCATTTGAGATAACAGATTTGGCATCGTCAATAAAATTATCATTAGAAGATAGTGTAGACACTGATGAGCGCCGACTAAAGCAAAGGGATATTTTAAAAAATATAATCATCATCATAATAATAATAACCACTTTCAAAACGGAAAATTAAACCGGAAAGAAAAAAAAAAAACAGATGAAGTGGTAGACAGAAAAACACAAAACATGATTACAGTTCATATATTGGTTTTCTGGTCCGATGCGCACTTTCAACTCTTGATGTCACTGTGATAATTCCTATTTTTCATATACAATTTAATTTCTGTATCTGAAATGTATTATACCCATAGTATAATAAGCTGTTGAATAGTATGCAGATTCATCTTTTACAGTGGACACACAAATCCCTTCAGTTCAAGTGTTACCTCTCCTTTTGCTTAAGTCATCTGGAGTCAAGGAAATTGTTATGCGGCGTTAAACTTATGCAACCAACGTGGCTTACTACTTTTAAAGGCAATGCATTTACTTCGTACAGGATGTTTTGATGCATTACGCTTTGAGATACAATAAATGGGAGCTGAAAACACCATTATTTACCCAAATCGAAATAGGTAGATTGAGATCTGTGCCTAAGACTCACACTGGCTTAAATACACTAACAAGCTAAACTTCCACTTACATTACACTACAATAATTCAACTTAAAAACACGACAGTACTTAATTGTCTTTGAATATTATTTTCAGAAATCTTATACTTATTCATTTTTCTTAACAAAACCAAAAATAAAGTGAGGGTTGGGTGGGTTGGAGAGAAGGGGAAAATAAAATACTCCGAATGTGAATACAGGCTATTAAAAAAAACAACTAAAATCCACTGACCTTTTGACGATTTCATCGTTTGAAGGTGTAGCAGGTAGAGAATATGAATCACCTGTAGTTTTCTTAACAGATGATGATCTCTTTGAAGTAGATGAAGGTTTTTTACCTTCATTCGATTGTATTGACATGCTACGCCTTCTTAAGCATATGGAGTTAGATTTTTCAGTATTATGAATGGTGGAATCATCCATTGAAGACAAATTCTTAGAATCAACCACAGGTTTCTCTTGTGCCTGTTTAAAATAATTTTTAAAAAAAAGAATGAATAAAAATTATAAGTTTCCAGAGACCGTAGAGATATTACGAATTTCCAGGAATAATTTCAGCACCGAGTCAGATTTATAATGAATTGTATAAAAGTTATACAATCACAGAATTAGTAGAAACCTGAAACTACATAAGAATAGAATAAAACTTTGTAGTCAGTGGGTCATTAATACAGTGGTAGAATGCTCTCCAAGCGTTCCTAAACCTCGCTAGGCCGGTAGTGAGATAGGTAGAGAGGGAAGGTTGGACATGAGGCTGGTAACCTTGAAGCCTTATGTTCCACTGGGAACGTGAAAAGAATAAAATATATTTTCTAAATATAAAAAGTTAACAGAAGGTACACAAAGAGGTATCAACCTATACAACAACAACAACAACAATAACAGAGACAAACCGAAATTTATACATTTTTTCAGATTTTAAATTCTATATGAAAAATGATTGACTATCACACGTATTCCAATGTTAAAATAGAATGGTACCGAGAACTATATCTCATATTAGAAATAATAATAATAATTTAGACCACTAGGCAAGAGTATAGAATAGATACCACAGACAAATAACCTTGAACCAACCAATCAGAACACCCAGCATTAAAAATGAATGCTTTTCATAACCTTCGTTGCAAGTTTCACTCTGATTGAGGGTTAGGGTAGCATTCAGGTAGGGTTATGATTAAGGTTAGGGTGAAACTTGCGAAGAACATTAGGGTTAGGATGAAATGCTCAGCAATAACCTTCATCATTAGGTTATAATCCTAATAAAGTCGATCATATATCAGAATTAATGGATCCTATAATGAGTGGCACTCATACAGATTCTAGTTTATTTACTATGGCCAGTCCTATGGAAAACTGAGGCCTAGAAACACATGATTGGCTGGTTCAAGGCCATTTGACTATGGGGTATCTATGCTTTACTGTTGCCGACCCCTCTTATATGTGTTATGTAGTCAAACAATACTAACACTTACTATTCAATAAAAACATTCTGAAATCTAGTAGCACTTTCAAAACACTCCAAGAATGTCACTATAGTAGTAGAAGTGTGAAACAAAAGTATATGATATGCTGACTAATACGGAAAAGAAATTCAGTAGAATTGACCTCTAGAAATCAACTTAACGCTTTCTTCTTAATAATTTGAAAAAGAAAAAGAAAATGTTATAGAAATAATACCACTGCAGCCAGAAGTGCATAAAACAGAAACCCACCTCTATTTTCAAAAACCGATCTTTACAAGAGGCCGTATGTCTGGTGAAATTGTGGAAAAGCCTTATCACGCGATCACACCATGGACATTTGTAATGATGAGAAACAGATGAATGTTGGTCCTTTTTTTTCAACAAGGGATTATTTTTTTGCGATTAATAAATAGGTAAATAGAAACATAACAAGAATTAATTATTTATTTTTATTTTTTTAAATCCCTAGTAGTCAACTATACTAGGTCATTTGCAGATAGTTGGAGGCAATCGGCAGGAAGCCTTGGATTGTACTTGTTGGCAGTTGTCAGCAAGGCGTATTCTGCAATCTTGAAGGAAGTCACATCCCTCCTGAGATTCGAAACTGTGTCACCCAGTGCTGCAGTCAGAGACGTTATCATCACTGAGCTATTCAGCCTCGCGATTGACCTTCTGTTGGACTGAATTGGATACCTTGATTGGGCACTAGGTAGTAACTAGTGTTCAAAGTATATTAGGTCCTTTTTAATGTGAATTAGTTATGCAAACTATTATCGAAAGAAACTGAAGGAAAAGAAACAGCACTTACATTTACTGTTTCGTTTGACTGAGTTGATGTCAATTCACTATGTGCTGTGACATCGTCAACAGGAGTTGTATCTGATGCTCTTAAAAGGCATTCAGTTTCCTCCATTTTTATTACATTAGTATTGAAATGGTTATTAACCTGAAAACGCAAATATATTCATGGGTAATATTCATATCATTTTACAAAGTGACATGTTTAAACTGATTGATGCATATTATAATCATTATAATCACAAAAAACGAAATCGTCCATTTGAACAAAGAAAGAACGAACATATTTACAGGATAATACGAGCACTATTTATTTCGTGGAGACGTAGAAACTGCACTGAATCTAAACAGCATCAAAATACAAGTCATAAAAGGCAATTGCAATTGCCAAACATTTTATTGAAAAGGGATCATAGAGTCAGGACTAGTCAAGCTTTTGAAATAATTAAGATATAAAGAGAAACCGTAGTTACTTAGTTTTGCAGAAACCATTGCTATCAAACGATTCCAACTCAGCTTCTGTGTACAGAAAAATAGCGTAGTGAACCTCTCACTACCCTGAGAAATATAATTGTTTTGTTCGTGTTTTATGTGTTTGGTTCTATAGCGTAACACTACCTAATTTTGATTTTCACTTACTGAGTTGAACTCATTATCAACTTTTTTCAACTTTACTTGATTGTTTGTCTATGTGTCAGCATTTTACCCTATGGAACTTCTTATCATACTATCTATAAAGTCATTGTATTGTTCTATTCTGTATACCGTTTCTAGTCAATCATTGTTAGCATGCAGAATATGAACTCTGCTCCCCTTCTTATCAAATTATATTATAAATTGGTTAGTCTCTTTAACAGTCAATAATCTGTCTACTTACATTACTTGGGAAGGATGTAGTAGCTTATACTTTCTAAAGCTAACTCCACGTATGTTCAGCATATACTTAACTTACATTTTGATATTGTTGAAAAGAATCTACGACATAAACCGTGATTGTATTACCCTTCAAATCGCTTCATTTTTTCTTTATTCAAACTAATCTAAGGAACCTGTTGTAAGAAGAAATGATTTGCCTTTTCACAGCCTCAACTATCACTAGGCACGGGATTGATACTAAGTCATTTAATCCCATATTGATGTTGATGATGAAAACAGCTCATCATTGAGTTACATTAAGTTACATTAATGCATATTTGGACGAATATATTCATATTATCATTATTGTTGCTTTGGGTTCCTAGTGGAACATAAGGCTTCAACTGCACGTCTCCACTTGCTTCTCTCTTCTCCTGTACTTTTCACCCACATCCATGTTAGTCCATACTGTTTCAACACTTCTTCACACTATCTCCTCCATGTCACCCTTGGACGTCCCTCTCGCCGCTTCCCTCTCGGTTTCCACTCGAGGGCCTGACGCGCGATGTCACTCAACGGCCTCCTCAGCGAGTGTCCGATCCATCTCCACTTTCTCCTGCATATTTGTTGGGCGATTGGTTCTTGTTTTGTTTGTTCCCATAGTTTCTTGCTGGTGATTCGTTCCGACCATCTGATCATCAGTATAGAACGAAGACAGCTGTTGATAAAGGTCTGCAACAGGCTGTTGGAAATATTCTTTGTGACCCGCCAACTTTCTGATCCGTATAGAAGAACTGACTGACTTGACGTTTGTATTGAAAATCCGAATTTTGTTGTTGATGCTGAGTGACGAAGATTTCCAGATTGGTTTCAGGTTGATGAATGCGTTTCTCACCTTCCCGATTCTACACTTGACATCCTCGTCCGTTCCTCCTGTAGTTGAGACAATGCTCCCTAGATAAGTGAAGTGAATGAAGTAACCTCTTTCAAATCCCTCCCGTTGATGGTGATTGGCGCTGGATGTTGTTGTTGTTGTTGTTGCTGGTTGGTTATTTTCATAACCTCCGACTTTTCTATGTTCACCTGGAGTCCTGTCTTTGCTGCTTCTTCGACCAGTTTGTCGGTTTTCGCTTGTAAGTCTTCGATTTTGTGTGACATAAAACATAAATCATCCGCGTAATCCACGTCTTCTAGGTTCTTCACGTCGGTCTAGGATATCCCTGTCTTCTCGTTTCCCACTGTCTGACGCATAATCCAGTCCACCACAATTAGGAATATCATTGGTGATAATAGGCAGAAGCCTTGTCTGACTCCTGTGTTTACTCAAAACGCTTCGCTGAGTTTTCCGTTGTGCATCACTTGACATGTGGCGTTGTCGTACAGCTGTTGAATAAGGTTGATGGATATCTGAGGTACGCCGTAGTACTCCAGTAGTTTCCAAATTACTTCGCGGTAAACGCTGTCGAAGGCCTTCTCAAAGTCTATAAAGATGAGGTAGAGGTTTGATTGCCATTCTATGCTTTGTTCGATGATAATGCGTAAAGTTGCAATTTGGTCAGAACATGATTTGCCTTTCCTGAATCCAGCTTGTTCTGGTCGGAGTTCTGTATCCAGCGCGTCCTTGATCCTCTCCAGGATGATGCGACTCAGGATTTTACTTGGCGTCGACAGGAGCATGATTCCTCGCCAGTTCTTGCAGAGTCCCAGGTCGCCCTTCTTTGGTAGTTTCACCAGGTAACCTTTCCTCCAGTCAGTAGGCACCTTTCCCTCTTTCCAAATCTTTTGCAATAATGGAGACAGCATATCTGCTGTCGTTTCTGGGTCCGCTTTCAGTGCTTCAGGAGGTATTCCATCTGGTCCAGCTGCTTTTCCAGCTTTCAGAAGCTTGATTGCATTCAAGACTTCAGCTTTCGTTGGAGGATTGGTGTCAACTTGCAGTTGTGTACGTGCTGTTGTTGGTATTTCTGGACGGGTTGTAGGTGGTGGTCAGTTCAAGAGTCCTTTGAAGTGATCCGCCCATTGTTTAATCTGTCTTTCTTCCTTGGTGATTGGGTTCCCTTAGCTGTCTTTCATAGGTTTCACTTGTGTTGATCTTTTCCCGGATAGACTTGGTTATCTGATATAATGTCCTCAGGTCCCTTTTGCCTGCTGACTTCTCAGCTTCAGTAGCCAGATTGTCGCAGAATTGTCTTTTGTCCTTCCTAGCACTCTTCTTCACTTCTTTGTCCAGTGCTGTGTAAGTTGAACTCAGCGTCTCTTTCTCTTGTTCGTCTTTGCATTGAATCATTTTCTCTTTCACCATATATTCATATAGGAAATATCTAATATTCCTATACAGCATTACAAATTCTAGCTTACTTAGAATAGTTTTTTAGAAAATGCCAGTATTTGGAGAGTAGAAAGACATTTCCTACTAGTTTCTCATCGTGTTGTTTACAAATTCTTTACAGCAGAATTGCTTCGATTTTTTTTATTGTTTATTATACCTTGATTCCACAGTATTTGCTACAACTATGGGATTTTCAACATGTGATATCGGTAGCCTAAATTTAGCAGGCCGGCGATCGAACCCCGGACCATGTGAATGGTCGGTGAGCGTCCTAACCGCTGTGCCACAGACACACAGCAATCAAGACACCTATAAAAACGATAACTTTAACTAGCTTGAACTGTTTCACTTGTAACCAAATGAGTCATGGATTTATCTCAGTAACACTCTCGGTCGGTCGATCGGTTTTCAACATAGAACTTTGCACATATCTGCGGCAGTTCAAGTCGCCACACTCCATGTAGCACACAAAGCAAGAGAAGAAATTAGGAGAAATGCATAATATAGACAGTAAACAGAGGTGTGAGACAAAGGAATAGTAATAACGAAGAACAAAACAGTTTCACTGGAAATCATGAGTCACAAGGAGTGGATGCATCTGCGCCACTGAGAACGATTTTGAGCCATGTCACCAATTGTCTGCAACCATTGGTTTTCACCGTCCCGAGGACCCCAACCAGGAAGTCTACACCTTCCTACGTGGCTTAGACTAACTGTTGTAGATTTCATTGACTAGTGCCATGTTTTTGTTTGACCGCCGCTAGCTGTTTTCCAGCCTGGCCCTATATCAGCTAACATTGCCCATTGTCGAGGAAGGCGATGACTAGACATACGTAGCACATGTCCTAACCATCTCAGTCGATGTAACTTCACAGTCTCGTCTATTGACTTCCCCGCCTTACCTAGCACTTGACGCCTAACCTGAGTGTTAGTGAGTGTTCAGTAACACTCTTAGAAGCATAACACCAAGTATTGACATGATAAAATGGGATCTATTCTCAAGTTCATAGATATGCAGTCGGACTTTCCACGCCGTATACTAACATTACTAAAAGTGATCCATGAAACGAAACCGATCTTTTGCCAGTTAAATAAAACTACATGTGAAACAAATAGTGATTTAAGGCAGATCAATTGATACAAAACAAAGTTAGGTCAAATATGAGTTATCCTGAAGAACTAACCAGATTAAAGACACTATAAGCATAATAACACCAAAAACGTTTACAATACAAATAATACAGCAGCCAAGTGACATATTTCAGTGCATTAAAGAGAAACTAAAGCAAAAAGAGGCACACCTTAGAAACTGTTTCTTCTATTTTGAAAAAAGGAGTTACTACTGTGTCCGACCGTGGATGTTTTTCGTTCATCATAGAGGTTGTGATTCCTTTTTGAGGGCTAACAAACGGATTTATTGTTGACATTTGATGCTCAGGGAACTTGTGATTTTGACTTTTACAATGATTTGAATCAGTATCATCCTGGAAATAAAATTGAAATGAAAACAAAGAGTGTTTTAGGAAATATGCAACACGTGAATACATTAGGGAAAAAAAACTTTCCAACTTCAGGTTTACAACGAAATAAGTTTTTTTTTTAAATATGTTTTGATGCATTCAAAAAAGTAATCGTTTTGGATTACAACCTTTGAGAAAGAATGATTAAAGACTTGTTTCCCAGCAGTCTTTACCAATGTAATCGTTAATCATCAACACATCGGGTTTAACCGATCCACTTTTTCAAAATACTTCTTCCTCGGGGGTGACAACATAATGCTTGACTTAAAATTTCACCATAGCGACAGATCTATGCAATAAATGATTCCCGTTGCACACTCCGAAATAGTCAAAAGCACAATACCGAATAACTGTTGAGAAAGGAAAACTTAATGAATGATTTAAATTAATTCAAATGCTGGAACAACCTTCTGACTCAATAACTTTATGTAATCAGGCAGTTAGAACTCATTTACTCCATGCCAGATTATGACCTACATTTATTGTACCCGGTCGACAATTGATATCTTGTAGTGGTGGTCGGGCTTCAATACCATAGTGACCTAACAAGCTAAACTCCCTAGGACTTATCTACCTACCTGCAGGTCCTATCATATCAGGAAGGTTGTTTAGACAGCGGTTGGACTAAAGGCAGTTACTATGGGGTACATGGCCCCCAGAATCTAATCGGATCAAATGAAGTATAAATCTGCATTGGTCACCTGCAACCATGGGGACGTAGCACCCGACGCTGCTCCGCTGATTTGCAGATCAGACTCCAAGTCAAAGTCTCACGGGGTGGTCCTTTAAGACAGCCACCTGCTTCAGTTTGGGAGCCCGAGCAGTATCTCAGCCCTCATACAATCAATGCAATAGAGCAACAAAGTGTCCTGCGTAGTTGAGCTAGAGCCGAAGCTGCATTACTCAGTTGGATCCCCACTAAGTCTTTTTTGTGTTGTGAGGTTAGACAGCTATACGAGAATAAGAAGTATTCAGATAGAGAGGCAGTGACTATTTTGTCATCTCTACCTATACACCGACGGATTGTAGCTAGATTTCAATTAAGGATGAGTTTTACTGTTGACTGAAATAGGAGCGTCAGATAAAAATCGTAGAGCTGGCTGGGGACTCCAATGCACAGGTCGGCCATCCAGGCTCACAGAATAATCGTCCACGTGCTCAGTGAGGTTTACATGGTCACAAAACAGATAATGAGGCCATCTTCTGCAGTGTTCCGCAGAACACAAACTATTTCTAGCCGTCACTGACTTCTGGAATAGCCATCAACGTAGCGCTACCTGACATCCTCCCTCTAACAATCATGCCTAGACTCACATTGACCACATCGCTGTTACTTTACGACGGCATGGATGAATACAAGACTGCCACACCCTCTGGAGCACATGACTCCATTACCATAGTGCGTTAATGTGAACCAGGTTCGCCTTCTGTTTTGGTGGGGTTTAAAAACGGTGTCATCTAAATGTTGATGTGAGGAAACTGGTATCACCTGCTACCTCTTTCAAATACAACACTGAGTTTCAGTGATTGCCTGCTAGCAACCCACCAGGTAGCATAGATGAACACTGGCTTCATCTACAAGGTGCCAAGCAAATAAAGACTGTAACCACGTGCGGCTTAAAATGATGCTCCGCTAAAAATCACTGGGTGTGTGCGAGTTCCTTGCAACTCCTCGATCAACGCGCGGTGTGTTCCCGCTGGCAGCAACTACAACAATATGCGAAAGGCACTTCCTAGACATTGTTTACGTAAGGACCGCGAAGGTTGGTGGTCGGAACCTGCAGGTGACATGGAGTCAGCTGCCGCATCTGGAAACAACCAGAAGCTCGTCAAGCTCATCCAAGCCACTGGCGGCAAGAAACAGGGTGTCAACGAGACGGTCTGTGACACAGACAGCACGCCAATTACCAGTCTCAAAAGACGCCTGGAACGCTGGGCAGAGAACTTCGAGAAGCAATTTACCTGACCAACAGATCTAGTATCCACCATCATCAGCTCAAGTGCTCCTCGGTCGAACAGTACCGACCCATCAATAGAAGCGGAGGTCCACAAGAAATTCCAAGTACTGAAACACCAGCCTCAGATAACCTATACCCGACTCTATTTAATGATGCCGGCGAGACTCTCCTCACGGCTTTAACTGGATTATTCACCAACGTATGGGACATTGAGGACGCACCATCAATTTGCAATGAGGTAATTATCCTCTCCATCTTCAAACAAGAACACGTTATACATGGAACAATCACAGGCGGATTAGTTCCCCATCAGTCGTATCTAAAATAATCGCTGCCGTCTTGCTTCGTAAGCTGTGCAAATCATGTGTGAAACTCATTCGCGAGGAGTGACATGGGTTTCGTTAGGGTCGTAGATGCATTGAATATGTCCTCACGCTTCGTCGGTTGTTACAACATCGTCACACATATTCCAGGCCAACAATCGTCGCGTTTCTTGATATACCACGGCTCCCTTCGATTCATTCGACAGAACAGCTCTCTGTAACTGTCTGTTAAAAACACACGTACATAAGAAGTTTGTCAACAACCAATAGACCCCTCAACAGAAACACCTCACGTAGGGAGACAACATACAACCAACTATCATCACTGTTCCCAACCAACACTACGGTTAGATACGGTTGTCCAATCTCTCCCTTCCACTCTAACTTTGCCACTGATGACATTCTGCAGTCACTTATGAAGGACATGTGTCAAGGTGGTGTAGATCTACACCTGCAGAGAGACTTTTCCACCTCGAGTACGGAGACGATATCGTCCTACTGTGTGACAGCATGCAGGCTCCCTAAGTTGCACTTAATCAGTTGACCATCAGTGTTTGCAAGCATGGTATATGTTTAGCGCCGTCTATGTGCAAAGTACAGTTGCACCACTGGAAGCAAGTCTTTACCTGCAATCACCCGTGTAGGGGAGCCGCTTGAAGTTGTCGATAACTTCAGGCACCTAGGTAATCGTGTGACTACTGGCAGTGTGATGGAAGAGATGTCCATCTGTATCATGCAAGCTAGAGTGACATACGTTAACTTGAGCCACCTCTGGCGACGTCGCCATGTTAGCATGGTAGTCAAAGGTCAGGTTTACAATGCTTTGGTTAGTATCTCTTGCTCTACACCTAGGAAACCTGGCTTCTTTGAGGTGGGGATGTGCGGCAACTACACGTTACGTTCATTTAAGCGTTTACGTTCATTTCAGCTCCCTTGCTCTTAACTAACACCATGCATCTTCAAATATTTGCCAGCATACAAACTTGCGACTGTGACTAAGGATTAGGGTATCCAAAAATCGGGCTGTAAGATGCAGAAAGATGTATCTGTAATCTTGAAGGAACTCATATCTCTTCAGAGATTCGCCTTGCTGACGAGAGCCAAAATGCACGACAGCTAGGTCCAAGGCTTCCTGTTGACCGCCCTTAACCACCTAACAATAATTTAGAGTGTACCGTGATGGTAAACTACCTTGTGTGGTGGCTACATTACAAACTTGACCAACAGAATTCAGTCAGTACCAACACCAAGGATTATAAGGATGACATTGGTTACTACCAAGTGTCCAATAAAATGATCATAAGTATGATAGGCAGGAATTCCAGTTTGTGAAAATGATGGTTAGTTTCATCCGGGTATCTCACTAAACCATCATTGCTGTGACACTCCACCTACATTTCGATCCAAAGCAGGTGATAAAATTCAGGTTGAAACAAATTAGACAAACCATCTGCCTAATACATTAGATGTTAGGCTATCAGACGACTGTTACTTAACTCCAAGGTAAAACAAAATACCATTTCATAAAATTAACAGAACCTGTGGTAGTTATTAGTGAAAAAATATATAAACATTGCAAAAGTCACAAACACAGAAAGAGTTCTAGTGAGGAGTCGTGACCAGTGAGGTTCATCCAGTCAAATGTGAGGATGGATTTCCCACCGATGACAGTGGTTGGTGATTGCGCTGAATCATGGCCATTGAACGGGTCTCAGCGGCTGAATGGTATACGAGCTTGCCTTGTAACCGGAAGGTCCTGGGTTCGAACCCTGATAGGTGAGTGTGAACTGCCGGTGATCCCCAAACTACGACGAAACAGCTGTCCAGTGGCTGTCTGGTTTTTAATGGTTCTCTAACTGATATCAATCCGTAGTCAAACCCGAAAACATAGAAATTCACCACAAAAAGCAAAGAAACAAAATTGTAAAAGAGGCACATACCTTAACTAATACAATATTATTATTATTAACTCTCTACAACTGCGGTCTCGGTCAACACTAGATCTGTATATTCCTCTGAAATCAAATCTGATATTGCTTCCATCATATTGCTATTGTCACAAAATTGTCCTAATATTTCTGTGGGTGGCGCCATATCTAATACACTGGATGGGTTTAAATCCGAATCATCGTAATTCTAAAATGAAATTGAAACAGAAAAACCTGAGGTCATAGAAACAAAAATCGGTAAAACAACAAATTAAACGCTGCAATTACACAAATAAATGAGGATTATAATAACTGTACAATACATTCCCTAAATCATCTGTTTTATGATTACATATATATAATATATTACGAATATACAATTATCCATTCAGGAAGTAAGTCCATTTGCACGTGTCAACCAATGTCTTAATAACTTCATATTTAGGAAAACAAAAAGTGCATAAAAAATGAAGTTGTAAATGTGAAAGGCAAGAAGTTTTCCAACATCATAATACAGCTGAAGCAAAACAAACGAACGAACAAGAAAGTTGACAGAAATCACGATTCATACTTTTAAAACATTATCTGAAACAACCTTGATTCATCCTTACTTTAAGCTAATCAAAAAAATAATAAAATAATAATAAAATTAAGCAATTATTTAACACAAACTAACCAGTGCTCACCCTATGATTCGTTTTCCGTTGGTGGCGTAAAAGTGATCCTCTATGACGAAAAGGAAATGAACATGTGTCGCAAATAAAGACAGAAGTAGAAGATACTGTTGTTGACTTCTTCGGTGTTTGAGATAAATGTTTCTGTTGTTTACTCTGGGGAAATAAATCAAAAGTAAAAACAGATTATGAATGTCTTTTTTTTTGTAAAAGTGAAGTGAATGAGTGTTCTCATAGTGTTAAAAGAATATAAACTTTTATTTTTATTTTTGATTACAGCTTGATTCCACACAGTACTTTTTTGGTAGAAGTATGGAATTTTCAGCATGTGATATCGGTAGCCCAAATTTCGCAGGCCGACCATAGATATCGGGTGTGCGTCGGCAGGTGATCGAAACCCGGACCATGTGCATGGTCGGCGAGAGTCCTAACCACTGTGCCACCGACGCACACGCTAACGATAGTAATTTGGATGTTCATTAAAAGAAGAAGAAGAGAGAGAGAGAAAAAAAATACCTACTTCCAATGAAGCAATTTTATCTTTTGATTCAATTCGTGAAGATTCAATAAATTCCGATTGTAAATTTTTTCCAGTTTCTAAATTTGGAATATTTTTGTTTGGAGTAGTAGAAGAAGATTTCAGTTTCTCAGACAGCTTCGATAATGTTTCATTATCCTCATCATCATCATCATCATCACCTTCACCGGTAATTGAATGCCTCGAGGTCTACATGTGAAATATGAAAACATTCACATAACAATAGATTTTTTTATTTAATATTTTACTCTGGTTGTGACAATCGAAATTTTCTCTTCCTTTAGTAAACATTAGAGAAATAACTATCCCCATTTGAATATTTTATGAATTTTATGCTAGATAATTTGGTTTTGTGCAACTTGTTAGCAGCCATAGGGATCTGTAACCCGCGAAAAAGACTGATCTTCCCCTCGAATTTGTACCATCCATGGGGTAGACAGAAGTTGCTTAGCACTTAAGACTAGACGGCATATTCATTAGTCCCTAATGGTCAATTAGTATGTATGGATTATTCTACGTATATTCACTTTGTAGTATAATTTCGTATTTTAGCCTGTTTAGATTGGTGTCATAGCCTCATAGATTAGTGTCATTTACAGCTCCATCCATCCTGGCTTTGATTCCTCCAAGATTAACATAGATAGTAGTTAGTTCCAGCTTAAAGGTATTTTTCATACAACCTAAATTTATGGAAATTTGTCATTCCTGTTTTTCTAGGTCTATTTTCAAACAAGACAAAGAAAAGAAATCGAAAATACTGTTGAATCCTTGAACAGTGCCCAAACCTGAATTATTTAAGATAAACACAGAGAAGTCTAAGGTGAGATCAAGCCATTTAAAGCAATTTCGCCCACATCTTTTGTTATACAACTGGAGCTCTAGCAACATATACGGGGAAAAGTTGGATTTCATATTTATCCACGTTTACTAACATGCCCTACGTGTTTATTTTTTGCATAGTAAACTATAATGTAATGTTTTTATTCTTTGTGATATATTTTCAAGTCTTATTTTTCTTGTTTCCTATCAATTATTTTCAAATGACTATTCATGACTTGGACGTTAGCGGCACAGCAGTAGAATGCGCGCCAACCACGCAAGTGGTTCGGGATTCGATCCCCGACCAACACACTCCTTTACCTGGCTCACTAAGCCAGTAATAAGACTGGTAAAGAGGGAAGGTTGGGCATGAGGCTAGCAACCCCATCTCGTAAGACTAAACACTACTGCTACCGAAACTTCAAAGCTCTGGGGCTTGAAGCTCTATGTTCCACTGGGGACGTAAAGGAATAAAATTTAAAATAAATAATAATATTCATCACTTAAATAATTCGTTGTCAACATTTTCGATTATGTAAGATTATTCAGTTTTCCACACACATACACACAGTTACTTCACATAAACTTTGATTCCCATTTTGTTACTAACTGAGAGTGACCTCTGACTTCTGCTGTCAATTACCGCTAAATAACAGTACAGTTTTGAAGAAGAAAAGTTACAAATGAAGATCTCTTCGCTGAATTATATGTTTTGTTGCTGTTTTTTGTTTTTGTTTTAATTTTACGTAATGCTGAAAAAGGAATTCGACAATAAACAAGTGACTAGATTCCATCACAAAGACTTTCACAAAATGCATGACCTATAATGAAGGTAACACTACCTTAAAATGCAAACAAAGTTGAGAAGTCACTCTGTGTTTGAACTTAAAAGTCATAAAAATAAACAGTTTATGAAAACAGAAAAGTAAACAGAAGTTGCAAATGGACAAAGAAGTGAATTTTTAAGTCAACATAAAGTAAATATTGTAATTGTGTATTTAATTAAAGAAAACTATTAAGTAATAATTACCTCAAGCAACTCAACAACTTCGTTATTGTTTGAAACAGGAGGATTAACCAGCACCGACTTTTCACACTCGTCTGATACAACATCTGGGATTATATTTCCTACGGGTTCACTGTCACATTTGTCTGGTTCTTTCATAAGAGATTCATTCTTCATAGCATTTAACTTCATAGAAATAAAGAGAGAAGAACACATAAGTAGACAGAAAAGTTTTAATACGAATATCTTAAAAAAGGAAAAATTTTCTACAAACTTTATAATCACGACTATAAACGACGTTATGAAGCAACCCTATAATTACCTGAATATGAATTGCATTACCGACCATTTATGGTCAGACGAATATAACAGTAGTATCAAAGCGTTTCGCACTGTTAGCAATGTACAATAATTCAAAATTTAATATATCAAACTCTCACTATCCGACATATAAAAGTATCTGAATGAACGAGATTTTCGATTACCTTCATGCTTTCTTCGAACAACGAATGCAGTCACACAAGCTCCTTAAAGTTTCACAAAGATACGTTTTACGCATAAATAAATCGAAATTCGAAAAAAGGACTAACAAAAAAAGACATTTTCACGAATTTGTTACACGGATTACATCTTTAATTACATATCATATAACAATAGGCAATGTTATTAAAACTAATAATTTTTAAAAACCAGTTGCGGAAAACATAGACATTACGTCGACAACTCAGTTAGTATTATTATTATTATTAAGTGGAACAAACGGCCTCAGAAGCATATATCCATTGCAGTCGATTCTCTGCTACAGTTTTTAACTGGCTACACGAGTCCTCATAAACTTTCACTTCCTATTCACGTGATTTCGAATGTCTAACCCACCACTTTTTATTTCAGTCCACTTGCAAGGCCTGGTATGTCCAATCAAACTCTATTTCCTTCTGCATACTCGCCAAACAATAGGTTCTTGGCTACCTGTCAGAGTATTTTGTTATTTACCCTTTCTGGCCGGCTATCCGATCCTCCATAACTGAGAGAAGACAGCCATTGATGAAAGTATGCAGTCTGTTGAAAGTGTTTCCGGTAACACGAAAAGTCTGCGAAATATAAAGAATTACTGACTTGATATTGGTGTTAATAAATTCAACTCTTGTTCCTTCTATTCAATCATGTAGACTACCGTAATGAAAGCCTGTCTTACTTTCCAAATCCCATCCTTGCTGGCTGGCTCTGACATCCTCATATGTGATGTAGCCTGTAGTTCAAATAAGTGAAAGAGACGACTTCCTTTAGATTTTTTCCGTTGGTGGTGATTGGTGCTTCTTGTTGATGGTTAGATATCTTCATAAACTCGGTCTTACAGGGTCATTGTGTCGGTCCGATCAGTGTTTATCTTCTCAATTCCCATGTCCACCGTAATCAGGAAGATCATCGGTGAGTGTTAGATAGTACTTAACAGAAATAAGAGACGCATTAGCATAGAATAAACTAGACCACAGTTGTGTGTGTGGGGGGGGATGGAATTTTATGCGATGGAAGAACTTATTCTAAAAATTTTACCCCCTTAATAAAGCGAAAATCAGTGGAAAGTAACGGCAGAGATGCGAGTGCAATGGATATCAGCTAGTAGGAAGTTCTGTGTTCAATTTGGAAAGCACAAAAAATCAATAATACTAGTCACAATAATAAAAAGTTAAATCCACTGTTACTGAGGGTCATCACTTCAAATGCTAGATGATTTTAAAACTGTGCAACACTATTTGCAATAACTTTATAATGACTGAAACAATGTTCTTATCCCCGTTACACTTAGTTTAATTAAATTAGTAAGGAAATATTTCAACTGACGTTTAATGAATTCAGACTTATCCTAACAGACCGAAATAATTCAGTTTTTACTATAATTAAATATTTTTTTTAAAAGTTAGGTAACAGAACTGAAATTTAAGAGGGTGTATGTTCATGGGCATTAACATTTGCGGGCGCGAAATCTATCTAATCCACCAAAGCCAGGCAGATTGGATAATTTCTCTATCTCTCTCTCTTTCCCTCTGTCCCTAATCCTCTCATTTTGAATGCCACCAAACAATTAAAAACCGAAAAAAACCAAACATCAATTTTACACAAACTAGCTAAGGCTTACCTTATGTTGCTTTCCGCGCATATGAAGCGAAAGTAACCTCCGAAGACCATATTCCACTGAACATGAGTCACATCTGAATAGAGGAGAAGAAGACTTTGTTATCGAAAATTCTTTATCTGTTGCATTCAATCCACTAGGTGACCGGAAAAGCGAATTATCACTTTCATTCTAAAAAAATGTTAACGAAATGGAAAACCGATTAACAAAAAGAAAAACTCCAATAATGAAATAAGGTTAATAAGCTTTATTCACTATAATAACAGGTAAAAAAGGTTTGCTTGGCATGGATGTATTGATGTTTCAATCATCTCCAAAATTTTGAATACTTCCACCAGCATTCATATCATCAAAATTTTTCTCAAATAAGCCACAACTCGGTTTACAATGAAAGCGGTAAATATTTCTTCCTTTCTGACCTGACATATTTATAACACATTTAAGCTGGCAAACCAATAGAAATTATTTAAACAGGAGGCATTACTAATCACCTTCCCGTTATTATTAATCTGTTCATCCATTCTAAGGATAGAATACAAGCAAAAAACCCTGGAATAACACACGAGTGGGAAACTCAAAGACTCCAACAGAACCTAAACAGTAGTCACACATTGATTCATAGTCTAATAATTTACACAAACTTTTGTCATCTAAAAACCATGAACCCAAAAACCTTCATCACAATGCGAAACATCCAGATCAGATTTAACACCAAGCAACACCTTTTCATCACCTCCAATTCTCAAAGTTCTCCGGATAACCACATATCAGTACACAGAATAAAATCCATCCAATATATCACAAAGTAAATATATCCATACAACACCCTGCTATAGCAAATAACTCCAACACCTCTGACATCATAACAACCAAATACATGATAACCGAAAATTATAAATACTCACTAGATTACTGTCCTCCGGCTTGTCTTCATTTATCTGTACACGTGAACATTCACTAGCATGATCGGAACCAACAAAGGCAAATTGTTCCTCTCCTACCTTCGAAGACGGACTACACATTCTTTCACCTTTGGCTAATTTCTTTGACGAAGTACGACGTATCATCTAACAAACACACAATAACAAATCAAATATAACTATCGCAAACCATCCTTCATATAATTATATTCAACATTACAGTTGTCTGTAAAACCTATCTAACACATTCGACAAAATAAGATAATTCAACAAACCTTCGCTTTATCCGTAGACGTTCGCATCTCGCGTACACGCGTTCTCCTCAGTGTACGAACTGATGAATCAGTGTCTTCTCCAAGGGATTCACTTGACTTTTGCTCACTAACACTCCGTTCATTCTCGACATCACGTGAAGCTTTCGTTTTAGACGTCGAAGGAGTTATTGAGTCCTGGAGTATAAAAAACACAGCACATCGATCTTACTATTCGTGTCATTCTCAGTGCATGCTACAACTGACACAATTAACCACTATTCACCTGGAACATTTCATCATGCTTTCTTTTCAAAACCAAAATATTCAAACCACAAATTAAGATTCACACTACACTAAGGATGCCTACACACACACACACACACATGTATACAAATAAATTAACTATCAGAGCAGCTATGAGCAAAACTTTAACAACAAAATCTATAGAGAAAAGAAGGTGTCACAAACAACTAAACTAGTACATGTTAACCGAAATCGCCTACCTCGAATATATCACTAAAATCTTCACTCGTGTCACACACTGATTTTAGCGGTGTCCGTGGTAGGCAACTTTTGTGAGAACTTTCTATACAGGATGAAACGTCTTTCGCATCATCATGACTCGCGAAGATATCAGACATCTCATAAGACGAATTCTCCATTACATGATTGTTGGATGTATCACATTTCTATATGTGCAAAAAGTATCAGAAAATATACAAATTACAACCAATCACAATGATAGAAAATACAAACACACTATGACTAACAGTCTGTCTATTAGTCATTTTATGAGAAAAGATATACTGTGAGAAACACAATGATTCTATAATCAACACACGTGTAGATGTCGCTTATTGGTCTGGGGTCTCAGCTTTCAACCAGTGGGTAACGGATTCGAACCTTATACGATCTCTCTTTGTAAGCCGCGGACACACGCCCAAGTCGTCGTCTCCTATTTGGGTTCCACTGAAGAGCCTGGCGTGCGAATTCACTAAACGGTGACCTCAGAGCGTGAACAACCTTTCTCCATTTTAATATACGTATTTGTTAAGTGATAGGTTATTGATCGGCTCGTTGCACTACCAGAGTTCCGTGTTGATTATCCTTCCCTGCGGTATCTGCTCTTCAGTATGGAGCAGTGGCGGCTGTTGATAACCGTCTGCAGCAGCTTGTCGGAAATGCTTTTCGTGATACTCAGGTTCACTGAACCATATAGAAACATTGATTGACTTGACATTAGTGTTGAAAATCCTAACCCTGGTCTTTATACTTAGTGCGGTAGATTTCTGAATTTATTTCAGGTGAATGTTGGTCTGTCTTTCGTTTCTGGTCCCTCCGTTGACATCCTCATTGGTGTGTTCTACAGTTGAAAAGACGTTGCCCTTATAAGTAAAAGAGGTGACTTATTTCAACTTCTCCAGTGATAATTACTGGTGCTTCTTCTTGTTGGTGGCTAGGTATCTTTATCACCTCTGTCTCCCATTTATCCACTTGAAGTCCTTTGGTCAATGATTTTTCTGCCAACCTGTTGCTTTTCACATGTAGATCTGCAAGTTTCTGTGACATTAGACATAAATCGTCCAAGAAAGTTCGAATCTTCTAGAGTCTTCTTGTTGGCACAACGTATTAATGTCGTCTAGCTCCCCACCGCCTACAACATCGCATAGGCCATCACAATCACGAGTGTTATCAGTGGTAGTACGCAACCTATATTAACAACAAAAGCACCGCTAAGTATTCTGTAGTATATCACTTGACATTTGACGTCGTCAGATAGCTGTTGAATGAGGTCAACACAGTATTGGGTCACGCCGTAGTGATGAAGCCGTCTCCGAAGCACTTCACGGTCAACGCTATCGATGTAGTTCACGTAGAAATTTGACTGTCATTCTAAGTTGCACTCAACGGGACTAATAAAATTATACAGTCAAATTGTGTGGATACGATTTCGGATGAAAATATGCTGATGTGATAAGGTGAGTAGAATTCAAAAGATCAAAAACTATGTCCAATATGAAATTCAGTGAAAATACGGGAGGGGAAACAAAATGATGATGTCAGAAGACAAAGAGTTAATAAGGAGTGTTAACAAGGGAATTTAAATCCAACAACGGATTACTTTTGAACACATAGCTTAGATTTCAGATGTTTAATTGCAATGACTTCATCACACCACAGTGGACTCGGGTTTTTTGTCTCTTAACCATTTTGAATGCTTCTGGTGCCTCCCACTCAGGATCCTGTGTCTATCAGATGTTTAGGACATTGACGAGTTTAAACTATTCGGTCTTTTTAATCGAACGCCTTTTAGTACATTTTCAAAGAATTTGATATAGGCCCTTCTTTATGTTCCTCCAATGTAACTGCTGCCGTATTGACACGTGATCAGATATACACAGTTGGAATTATCATACAAGGGGTGTTTGTTAACCCTTGTCCCGACCGACAACTGCTATCTTCTAGTGGTGGTAGGGCTTCAACACCACAGTGACCCAACAAGCTAAACTCCATGGGACTTATCTGCCTACCTGCAGGTCCTATCATGTCAGGAAGGTTGTTTGAACAGCGGTCAGACTAAAAGCAGTTACTATGGGGTACATGGACTCCAGAATCCAATCGGATCAAATGAAGTATAAATCTGCATTGGTCACCTGCAACCAAGAAAACATAGCACCTGACGCTGCTCCACTGACTTGCAGATTAGACTCCAAGTCAAAGGCTCGCGAGCTGGTCCCTTAAGACAACCACTTGCTCGGTCTGGGCGCTCGAACAGTATCTCAGCCCTCATACAATCAATGGAATGAAACAACGAACTGCCCATAAAACTATTCTCATGCTCATTACAACGCTACTGAACATTAATGACATTTCAAGCGACGCATTTCTTTTCACCCTTATTTATATCTTCATACACAGACTCCTGTGTTTTCCTTTTGCTACGCTTGGCGTCTTCACTTTCCTCAGCTTTTCGCCTTTGTCCGAATACTCAGCCTATCTGTGTCGTTTCCAGATGTTAACGAGTAGTCTTCAAAATGGTTGTCCCCAGTGCAACATCTAACACAGATATTCTGAAATTGCGTGCCACGTTCAAGCTGGCCAACTACAATGTTCGCAAAATGATGCAAGTCAAACAACACGCAGGTCTGGTTATAACACTAGAAAGCCTCACTATCGATGTCTCTGGCATTTCGGAAACCCGCATTCAAGATTCCAGTGAAGTGCTTAAATTATACTCTTCATCTGAAAGTTCGAATAATATGTACCACCTGCGCTTATCCGGGGACCCTGTGCCGTCCGCATCCGGCGTAGCTGTTGTCGGCATCACACTAAGCTCTAGAGCCGAAGCTCCATTACTCGACTGGAACCCCATTAACAGTTGTTTATGTGGTGTGAGGCTGGGAGGTGACACGAAGGTATGAAGTGGTAGGCCAGATAGGTGGTGCCTGTTTGTTGTCTCTGCCTAAACAACGATACATTGCAGCTCGCATGCAATTAAGGATGCGTTCTACTACCAACTGAGTCATCTCTTCAAACAGGCACGTCGAAGAGATATAGCAGTGTTAGCTGGAACTTCAATGCACAGGTCGGGCATCTAGGCTCAGAAGAGAGTCGTCTCGAAGGTCAGTGCGGTCGATAACTTCATGCACCTAGGTAATCGCGTGACTACTGAGAGTGTGGTGGAAGAGATGTATATCCATACCATGCAAGCTAGTGTGGCATACGTCAACTTGAGCCACCTCTGGCACCGTCGCGACGTTAGTCTGGCTGGCAAAGGTCGAGTTTACAATGCTCTAGTGCGTGCTGTCTTTCTCTACGCCTGTGAAACCTCTCCTCTCTGAGCTGAGGATGTGCGGCGACTCCGCGTATTTGACCGTCGCTGTGTCTGCAGGATTTCTTGCGTTGGATGGAATCATCGCGTGAGTAATTCTGAGGTCCGGTGGTGTCTGTTTGGATGCAGTGGAGATCACCATTCGTTGAGTGTCGCCATTTGGCAACACCGGCTTCGGTGACTTGGAGATGTGTTGCAAGTGTCATCCGAGACGCTTCCGTATAGGTCTCTGTTCACTAGGCCAGGGACGGGGTAGGAAAAGCGGAGAGGTGGTCAGCTCATGATCTGACGTCGTGGAATGAAGGATATTTGTGTTAGGTTAGCATCGGTTGGTGTGTCACGACTCCCTGGCTGGTGTCCGACAGACAGCTCGAATCGGTGGCCCGAAACGTTATCGGATATGGCAAAGAATCTCAATCAATGGCGACGAGCTGCAATTTCCTCCTTTCTTCCCTTTCAGTCGGTAATTGACTAATGTTGTTTGAACTTGTTAAATATGACTGTTTCCCTTCCAGATAAAGTACTTCATCCCTTCTCTACCTCTATTTTTTACTTTTAATCTGTGTTGTTTTATTATTATTGTGTGGCGCATCTTCTTGGTGGCATATTGTACCAAGATATTTTGTGTGTTTAAATAAATAAATAAGTTAGCCATTGTCTGAGCAAACGAGCAGGACATTCAGGGTAGAGAGATTACTTTGCAGCCAGATAAGTCTGTGTCAGTGCTATGCTTAGACGTTTATTTATCATTCCTATAATATCACCTACATTTGAAGTCCAGTTGAATAAAAACCGGTTTCTTACCGGCTGTAGTTTAATCTGGATTTTTAAATTTTTCCATACAGTATTTATTGATGAAAGTTTGTGGGTAGCCAATTTCGTCCAGGCATTTATCAGGTAACTTAAGTTCACTGCCCAATTTATCTCCTGAACACATTCGTTTTACTTTACAGAACAGTTTCTTCATCAGTGTTCGCCAAAAGGTGACCAAGCAGCAGCTATTAAATTTTAAATGGGGACCACTTCATGTATCCTTGCAATAAATCGACATTCCGGGTGTCCCATCTTCACTTTATTCAAACCGATTTCCAAAAATCTCAAGTCTTCATCGTTGTGATAGGGTTACCGCAATAAAACATATGAACTATAAGCTATGTGTTCAAAAGTAATCCGTTGTTGGATTTCAATTCCTTTGTTAACATTCCTTATTAACTCTTTGTCTTCCGACGCTATCATTTTGTCCCCCCCCCCAAGCCGCTTTTTCACTGAATTTCAAATTGGATATAGTTTTCGATCTTTTGAATTCTACTCACCTTATCACATCAGCATATTTTCATCCGAAATCGTATCCACAAAATTGTGACTTTCTATGATATCTAATCACTGTATTTTACTATCGAAGATTTCGCGGTCGTCAATGATTTATCTCCAACATGAAAACAAATGTGTTTATTCTTACGACGAACTTTAACTTTAAAAATCTATACCTAAAGTCCTTTTCTAAGAAAACCATTCATTCATTTGTTTCGTTTAACCACAACCTTCATACCACTGCCCATACTGGACGAGACATTCATCACGTTACACCAAATATGTGTTCAACATCGTAGATGATATGTTACATTACACCATACACGTTCGACACAAAACGAGAAATGCTCCGTACCAAAAAGCTCAAATTTACATGTGCAAAATATCTTTCTAAAATATTCGTAGTTCCGAAACCCCATTTTTCACAGGGACCCAAAGGTACCAAAAAATTAGTCGAAATAAACTATTCAATACAGAATCACAACTCAAATTCATCCTACTACATATGTTTCACATCAGATTTAACAGCAAAGATTCACTAATCAGGCAACACCTTCTCATCACCTCCAATTCTCAAAGTTCTTCGGATAACCACATATGAGTACACAGAATAAAATCCATCCAATATATCACAAAGTAAATATATCCACACAACACCCTGCTATATAAAAGAACTCAAACACCTCTGACATCATAACAACCAAATACATGATAACCGAAAATTATAAATACTCACTAGATTACTGTCCTCCGGCTTGTCTTCATTTATCTGTACACGTGAACATTCACTAGCATGATCGGAACCAACAAAGGCAAATTGTTCCTCTCCTACCTTCGAAGACGGACTACACATTCTTTCACCTTTGGCTGATTTCTTTGACGAAGTACGACGTATCATCTAACAAACACACAATAACAAATCAAATATAACTATCGCAAACCATCCTTCATATAATTATATTCAACATTACAGTTGTCTGTAAAACCTATCTAACACATTCGACAAAATAAGATAATTCAACAAACCTTCGCTTTATCCGTAGACGTTCGCATCTCGCGTACACGCGTTCTCCTCAGTGTACGAACTGATGAATCAGTGTCTTCTCCAAGGGATTCACTTGACTTTTGCTCACTAACACTCCGTTCATTCTCGACATCACGTGAAGCTTTCGTTTTAGACGTCGAAGGAGTTATTGAGTCCTGGAGTATAAAAAACACAGCACATCGATCTTACTATTCGTGTCATTCTCAGTGCATGCTACAACTGACACAATTAACCACTATTCACCTGGAACATTTCATCATGCTTTCTTTTCAAAACCAAAATATTCAAACCACAAATTAGGATTCACAATACACTAAGGATGCCTACACACACACACACACACATGTATACAAATAAATTAACTATCAGAGCAGCTATGAGCAAAACTTTAACAACAAAATCTATAGAGAAAAGAAGGTGTCACAAACAATTAAACTAGTACATGTTAACCGACATCGCCTACCTCGAATATATCACTAAAATCTTCACTCGTGTCACACACTGATTTTAGCGGTGTCCGTGGTAGACAACTTTTGTGAGAACTTTCTATACAGGATGAAACGTCTTTCGCATCATCATGACTCGCGAAGATATCAGACATCTCATAAGACGAATTCTCCATTACATGATTGTTGGATGTATCACATTTCTATATGTGCAAAAAGTATCATAAAATATACAAATTACAACCAATCACAATGATATAAAATACAAACACACTATGACTAACAGTCTGTCTATTAGTCATTTTATGAGAAAAGATATACTGTGAGAAACACAATGATTCTATAATCAACACACGTGTAGATGTCGCTTATTGGTCTGGGGTCTCAACTTCCAACCAGTGGGTAACGGATTCGAACCTCACCCAACGCACCGACACGTTTGGTCAGCCCCGGGTGGTATGTATAACCACCCCTCACACAGTTGGTGCACCTTATCACCAATCGCAAGTAGTTGATGAGTAACAATACTTCAGTAGTATAATAGTATAAGGTACACACATCAGTTTAGGTGAATACAGAGCATTTAATTGAAGATGTTTGCAGTTTCTCCAGCTAATGATGGATATGTTCATAACGCCAGTTAATCAAATACACTCCACATTCCCTTAAATTAATCAACCTGGCTCCATAGCTTTAATTCTCTCAATGGTTAATGAGACCAACTTGTAACGTGAATGCGCTGAGTTTGATATTTTGTGGCCCTAGAGACGATCTTGTACGACTGACCGTGGGTAGACTCCTGTCTTTCTTTAGAAATACTTTCATGTAGCCACGAGTTCATACGTCCTACCAAGTTTTATTCACCACCTCCACGCGGCTGGGTTGCTTTCCAAAAAAGGGGAAGTTCGACTGCGGAAGTTTAGCACTCACCCCTGGACAAGATGACTTCAGATCTACCTAGAGCGGACAAAAGACGCTGAATACAAAGCTATGATGAACATGGACTTCAGAATTCAAAATGATTGACTGACGTATAAACCTGGTCACCGGCAATCATGGAAACTGAGCATCTCTAGCGTAGACGTCATATTCGGCTGGCTATCGATTATAGGACGTGTATACTGCTCAGCAGTTCGCTCCGTGCACCTTTATGGCTGTCAGTGAAACATGGCCACTAAAAGTGAAAGACATGAAAAGTCCGGCTAGCTATCTTTGATCATATGTGCCTGCGTTCTATCTCCCGTGTTAGGTCGTATAATAGGGTGAGCAATGTTGAGTTTAGGCGTCGAGTTCTAGGTAAGTGTGTGTGTGGGGGGGGAGTCCATGGATGAGAATGTGAAGTCACATCGGTTGAGATGGTTAGGACATGTGTTACGCATGCATTCCTAGCCACCGCCTTCCTCGACAATGAGCAATGTTAGCTGACATGGGATGGATCAGGTTGGGAAAGAGCTGGTGATGGTTAAAGAAAGATATGGCCTCATCAGTCGGTGAAATCCATAACAGTTAGTTGACGGCAGCCACATAGGGAGGTGTGGACGCCGTTTGGTTGGGGTCCTCAGGATGGCGATGACCAGTGGAGGCTGAAGACAATTGGTGGTATGGCTCGAAACTGTTCTGGGTGAATAGCGCAAATGCAGTCTATCTTTGTGATTTACAATACCCAATAGAACTCTATTCTTCTTCCATATTACTATTCTTTTCCCCTCTCTCTTTTAAATCTCTGTTTACTCTGTTCTCTTGTTTTGTGTGGTACATGGAGTATGGTGACTCAAACTGCTTTCATATCTGTGGAATGTTCTATGTTGAAACCAGTCCGTCAGTCAATCACAGAAATGCAACTCCTAAGGCTGCTTCACTACGTTTTTGGTCAGAATGCAGGATCCAAATGAAAAGGTTCGGGCCTGGTCTCTTTAGAAAACCACCTGCTTCTACCTATGTGTAGACGGTATCGCAGCTCTCACAGAAACCAAGTGGTAACAGTGCATGAGATTACGATTACAAGTACAGTCTAACGGACTACAAACAAACTTTTAGCAACATGTTCGTTTTTGATTTCAGCTTCACACATAAACCTTTGCGTTTTAGTTTTACCGGCTTTACTATCTTTGGCGTCTTCACTTTTGTTTGAAATCTTAACCCATCTAAGCCACCTACAGTGTCCGCACCCTGATGCAAATCGGAAAACAGGAAGGTCTGACTATAACATTAGAAAGCCTCACTATCGATGTCTCCCGCATTTCGGAAACCCGCATTCAAGATCTCAGTGAAGTACCTCGATTATCTTCTCCATCTGAAGGTTCAGTGTGTACCAATTGCACCTATTTAAAAAGCCTGTGGCGTCGGCATTCAGCGTGACTGGTATAGGTGTCGCACTAAGAGCTGGAGCCAAAATTCCACTACTCGAATGGATCGACACTAACAGTCCTTTTGTGTTGTGAGGTTACACGGTTATACGAGAATAAGAAGTATTCAGCTAAGGAGGCAGTGTCTATTAGGTCATTTCCACGTATGCACCAACGGATTGTAGGTCGAATTCAATTAAGGATGAGTTTTACTGTTGACTAAAATAGATTTTCTGAAACACGAGCGTCAGATAGAAATCGTAGAGCTGGCTGGGGACCCCAATGCACAGGTCGGGCGTCTAGGCTCAGAGGAGAGTTGTCTCAAGGGTCAGTGGGGTTTACATGGTCACAGAACAGATAATGGGGCCGTCTTCCGCAGTTTTCCGTAGATCACAACCTATTTCTAGCCATCACTGACTTCCGGAACAGCCATCAACGTAGCGCTACTCGGCGTCCTCCCTCTACCAATCAAGCCTAGACTCAGATTGACCACATCGCTGTTAATTTCCGACGGCGTGGATTACTACAAGACTGCCACACCTTCTGGAGCACACGACTGGCCTCCGATAGTGCTATAGTGCGTGACAGGTTCATCTTGCGATTTGTGGAGTTCACAACAAGTGTAACTTACAGGTTGATGTAAGTAGAATGGGAGTACCTGCTACCTTTGTGAAGTACCAGACTGATTTAAACTCTAGGCTAGCTAGCGATCCTCCAAATAATATAGATGAACATTACACCTGCAGAACTTTATGAAAATGGTAAATAGAGTCGCTTCCGGCTTAAAAGCATGCTGCGCTAAAAACCACTCCATTTTCACAAATTCCTTGAGACTTCTAAATGCGCGCTGGTAAGTCGTAGCACACAGAGAGTATAACAACATGCAGAAGTCCCTTACGCACAAGATTAAACAATCTTCAAGTAAAAACCGCGAAGTTTGGTGGTCACACCGTGCCTGTGAGATAGAATAAGCCCCTCTGTCTGGAAATTGTCGAAAGCTGTTCCAGACCATCCGGGGCCACCCGTAGCACGGATATTGGTGTCAGCTAGACGATTTGTGTGGCAACGGTGTGCCAATTACCAACGTGAAAAGACACCCAAAACGCCGGCCAGAGCACTTCGAAATGCAGATTAGCTGACCAGTAGCGCTCCTGTCCTACATCATTATCTACACTACTCCATGATCGTTCATTACCGACCCACCAAACGAAGCGGACTGAAAATAAATTCAGGGGCTAAAATATTTTAAGACACCTGGCCAAGACAACTTACTCCTAGCTATATTTAAAGATGGTGACGAGATTCGCATCACGGTATTGACTAGACTTTTCAAGAAGATATGGGACATTTAGGACGCACCACCAATTTGCAATGAGGCCATTATCCTCCCCATCTTTAAACAAGAACACGTAATACATGGAACAATCACAGGCGGATTAGTTCCCTATCAGTCGTATCTAAAATAATCGCTGCTGTCTTGCTTCGCAGGCTGTGCAAATCATGTGTGAAACTGATTCGCGAGGAGTGTGATGGGTATCGTTCGGGTCGTAGATGCATTGAATATGTCCTCACGCTTCGTCAGTTGTTACAACACCCTCACACATATTCCAGGCCAACAATCGTCGGCTCCCTTCGATTCAGTAGACAGAACTACTCTCTCCTACTGTCTCGTAAAAACAGACGTACCTAAGAAGTTTGTCAACAACCAATAGACCCCGAACAGAAACACCTTACGTAGGGAGACGGCATACAACCAACTATCATCACTGTTCCCAACCAACACTACGGTTAGATACGGTTGTCCAATCTCTCCCTTCCACTCTAACTTTGCCACCGATGACATTCTGCAGTCAGTTATGAAGGACATGTGTCAAGGTGGTGTAGATCTCCACCTGCAGAGAGACTTTTCGACCTCACGTACGCAGACGATATCATCTTACTGTGCGACAGCATGCAGGCTCCACAAATTGCACTTAATCAGTTGGCCATCAGTGTCTGTAAGCATGGTATATGTTTAGCGCCGTCTAAGTGCAAAGTACAGTTGCACCACTGGCAGCAGTATGTACCTGCAATCAACCGTGTAGGGGAGGCGCTTGAAGTTCTCGATAACTTCATGCACTTAGGTAATCGCGTGACTACTGGCAGTGCGGCGGAAGAGATGCCTATCCGTATACTAAAAGCCAGGGTAGGTCCGTCATGACGTCAGCTGGGCAGTGAAATGTAAGCTTCCCGATGCTTCAGCGAGCGCAGTCTTCCTCTTCCTTTTAATAGGTGAGGGTGTGCAGCGACTCTGTGCAACCGCTCACCGTATTATTCCTTGAGTTCTATCGAATCATCGTGCGAGTAACTCAGATGTCAAGACAGCCGATCGACATGGTGGATGTCAATAATTATTGAGTGTCGTAATCCGCAGCCATAGGAATCCGTGGATATATCTTAACATCAAAAGGCTTCCGAAAGAGTATTTGGTCCTTTAACAAATGTATTCACAGTTACTGATTCCTTAGGCTACATATGTTTCACATCAGATTTAACAACAAACATTCACTAATCAAGCAACACCTTCTCATCACCTCCAATTCTCAAAGTTCGTCGGATAACCACATATGAGTACACAGAATAAAATCCATCCAATATATCACAAAGTAAATATATCCACACAACACCCTGCTATATAAAAGAACTCAAACACCTCTGACATCATAACAACCAAATACATAATAACTGAAAATAATAAATACTCACTAGATTACTGTCCTCCGGCTTGTCTTCATTTATCTGTACACGTGAACATTCACTAGTATTATCGGAACCAACAAAAACAAATTGTTCCTCTCCTACCTTCGAAGACGGACTACACATTCTTTCACCTTTGGCTGATTTCTTTGACGAAGTACGACGTATCATCTAACAAACACACAATAACAAATCAAATATAACTATTGCAAACCATCCTTCATATAATTATATTCAACATTACAGTTGTCTGTAAAACCTATCTAACACATTCGACAAAATAAGATAATTCAACAAACCTTCGCTTTATCCGTAGACGTTCGCATCTCGCGTACACGCGTTCTCCTCAGTGTACGAACTGATGAATCAGTGTCTTCTCCAAGGGATTCACTTGACTTTTGCTCACTAACACTCCGTTCATTCTCGACATCACGTGAAGCTTTCGTTTTAGACGTCGAAGGAGTTATTGAGTCCTGGAGTATAAAAAACACAGCACATCGGTCTTACTATTCGTGTCATTCTCAGTGCATGCTACAACTGACACAATTAATTACTATTCACCTGGAACATTTCATCATGCTTTCTTTTCAAAACCAAAATATTCAAACCACAAATTAAGATTCACACTACACTAAGGATGCCTACACACACACACACACACATGTCTATACAAATAAATTAACTATCAGAGCAGCTATGAGCAAAACTTTAACAACAAAATCTATAGAGAAAAGAAGGTGTCACAAACAACTAAACTAGTACATGTTAACCGAAATCGCCTACCTCGAATATATCACTAAAATCTTCACTCGTGTCACACACTGATTTTAGCGGTGTCCGTGGTAGGCAACTTTTGTGAGAACTTTCTATACAGGATGAAACGTCTTTCGCATCATCATGACTCGCGAAGATATCAGACATCTCATAAGACGAATTCTCCATTACATGATTGTTGGATGTATCACATTTCTAGATGTGCAAAAAGTATCATAAAATATACAAATTACAACCAATCACAATGATAGAAAATACAAACACACTATGACTAACAGTCTGTCTATTAGTCATTGAATGAGAAAAGATATACTGTGAGAAACACAATGATTCTATAATCAACACACGTGTAGATGTCGCTTATTGGTCTGGGGTCTCAGCTTTCAACCAGTGGGTAACGGATTCGAACCTTATACGATCTCTCTTTGTAAGCCGCGGACACACGCCCAAGTCGTCGTCTCCTATTTGGGTTCCACTGAAGAGCCTGGCGTGCGAATTCACTAAACGGTGACCTCAGAGCGTGAACAACCTTTCTCCATTTTAATATACGTATTTGTTAAGTGATAAGTTATTGATCGGCTCGTTGCACTAGCAGAGTTCCGTGTTGATTATCCTTCCCTGCGGTATCTGCTCTTCAGTATGGAGCAGTGGCGGCTGTTGATAACCGTCTGCAGCAGCTTATAGGTTCATCTTGCCGTGGAATGTAGAAGACAACTGCGGTTAATTTCGCTGGAGGAATCAACAGGGTTGAAATGTTTAATATGTATCTGAAACAACTAGTTGTTCGGAGATCGGTATCCTCATATATTTACTGGTGTTTCTTTATTGGCACGATCACTTGAAACTCGAAGTCACCCATTCATCAGGATAACGATACCCGTGATCACATACCTGTTATTGTTTTCTGGCACTTTTGAAAGACGTGTATAAAACTGTCAGTGTCGGTGGCACAGCGGTGGAATGCTCGCCAACCACGCAAGTGGTTCGGGATTCGATCCCCGGCTTACACACTCCTTTACTTCGCGAAGTCAGTAATAAGACTGGTAAAGATGGAGGGTCGGGGATGAGGTTAGCAACCACATCCCGTAAAAATAAATACTACTGCTACCGAAAATTCAAGCCTCTAGCTTGAAGCCCTTTATTTCACTAGGGACGAAAAGGAATAAAAGGAAAAAAGGAAAGTATAGGGAAAAATGTTGGTGTAAGAGAAATGTTTTTCATAAGACAAATTTGAAAAACTCAGTGACTTTTTGTTTTTTGAGACTTCAGTACTAACCAGTTCAACCTTACTTACGGAAATGAAGGGATACAAAATAAAACGTATAATAAAATGACATCCTTATTGATGTTAGAAACTTTGTAGACAATGAATCAAATGCGATGAGCGATACAACTGTCAGAATAAGATGAGATGCGATTAAAGCTTTATGCTTATTATACACAATTATGCGAGTAAATAATAGAAATAATCACAATGTAAAAATTAATGGATACCTTTTTTTGTGTAGTATGGAACAGTATACGTCTGGTTAAACGTTCCATAACATCATCTGATTTTGATGACATTTTACTGCAGGATTTCAACAAAGAATGGAGTTTCTGCTTCTTCTTCTGCGATAAGGACTTCATTTTTTTGGCGTCATTCTGGAAGAAATACAGAATATGCAAACAGTAGACTAAAATTGTAATGATAACAATTGATAGTATGTATGTTATAACAACTGTGAAGTTATTTCATAGACTGTTTGATCAATGATAAACAGCATCAATTGTCATAAGGAAAAAGATTCTATGGTATGAGTATAATAAATATTTTGTTTTTGATTATAGCTTAATTCCACACAGTATTTTTGCTACAAGTATGGAATTTTCAGCATGTGATATCGGTAGCCCAAATTTAGCAGGCCGACCATTGATATCAGGTGTGCGTCGGCAGGGGATCGAACCTCGGACCATGTGTATGGTCGATGAGAGTCCTAACCGCTGTGCCACCGACGCACATTATATTACATAAATACATATATTTATATTTATAAATAAATATTAATCTGATGCTCGCTAGTGACTGGCTTCAGAACGAAGTTGCCTGAAGTTTCGGTGAGAAGTCATGACCACTAGGAGGGAGGACAGATATTCGCCGATGACACTGGCTGGTAATCGCGCTTAAATCACGAGTTAATATAAATTAGAATTCATGGATCATTAAAACAGGCCCCAATGGCTGAATGGTCTACTAGCTTGTCTTGTAACCGGAATATCCTTGGTTCGAACCCCAGTGAGTGTGTACTGCCGATGCGTCCCAAACTAGGATGAAACAGCTTCCCAGTACTCCCTGCTGGTTTTCAATGGTTCTCTAAGTGATATCGATCCGTGATCAAACTAGAAACAAATCGAATCCCTACAAGCTAACTCTTCAAAATATGTAAAACTTCCAATTGGTTAATATATATATATATATATATATATATATATATATCAGTACACAAAGTATTTTTTGCAGTGAATTGATAGTATTTGCTAAAATCACAGAAAATCTCTTATACAAATTAAATGAGAAACTGCAAGTACAGTATTTGCAGTATTGTAGTTTAATCTGGCGCTTTGTATCAAAACTAGTGTAGACGACTAACTCTGGTGTACACAACAAGTCATGCGATACACAATCTTGTCTCCAAAACTCTCTGCACTTCTTTTACAGTAGTGGGCACAATTTTTTCTTACTTAGATTTATACAGAACTAAAATAAAATATTAAATAGTCAAAATGGGGCAAGAAAGGTTCTAAGGGAAAGTTGTCAAATCATACAACGTACAATTTACATGAAATATTTTAGGAGATAACAGTTGTCAAATCCTTGAAGATACTTCAAATTCGAACATACTATCGAATAAGATGAGCACAATATTATGAAACATAAAACGAAGAAGTTGCCTACTATTAAGGTCATGACATTCATGAGTAGCTTCTAATATTCGGAAATTGAACAAGCTTGTCTATCTACATGGAAAAGGCATAGCGTATTTGCTCTTTTTTAAATGATTAAAACTTTCGTTTTCCTGAAAATCTGAATGTAGATTTCGTCACAAACCGAAATCAGTTAGATAACATTGAAAACCAGCGAACACTGAATAGCCGTTTCGTCCTAACTTGAGGCTCTTCATCCGTGCACACCCATGCCCCCAACACAAATCGAACGCGGGGCCTTCAGTTTACGAGATCAAGATCGTCGGCAATTCAGTCATATGGACCGGAATCATCCAGTGACCATGAGTTATGACATCTCAAAAATTGACAGATTTATTACTTGTCACTGCAATGCTCTGCTTTGTTCTTCTTATCATTACAAATTACAATTACAGATACAATCACTTAAGTAATTTTCTCTGTAATCGACTATTACAAAAGACATTATTTGGCAGAATAATCCAGTGTGGTGGTGGTGGTGTTTATTCTCCGAAATATAACAAAAGATAAGACAAACTTATTTTAGTTTAGACTCATATAAAGCAAGATTCCTAGTCGTCGATATATGCAACCTGAATAAATGCAAAATGTTAAACTTGGCTATAAACAATATTTTGACTTAACTGCTCTTCAAATCAAAGTGAAAAACATAGTAAGAGCTGAACAGGAAAGAACACAACCATTACAGTTCATCCTAATTCGAAAAATGATAGATGCTTGGTTGAAACACCGCACACCTTTTTCAATCAAATAAGCAATCTTATTAGCTTCACTAACAAATTAAGCTTTGTGAAGAAGTGTACCACTGGCTTGAGCATTTCATTTCCAAACAAGAGGTTAAACCGTACAGCAACTTTCTCCTTAAACATTAAGTATGTTTCAAGGTAATTTAAACAGAATGGCACTGAATCCGTAAATTGTACGATTCATATTTGTAAAATGCATTTTGACTTACGATGCCCATTGACAATCTAGCTTTACAGGTAAGTAGATGCTTGGAGAATTTTGATCGCTTATGAATCACTTGACCACAAAATGAACATGTATAAGGTCCATTGTGAGAAGGTCTGTAATTGTGCCAAATATCTTTTTCGGTTAACTGAAAGTTGAAAGAAGCGTAAAATGTGTTAGAAATGACTATTTGTTTGTAATAATAGTTTTATTTTCTTTACTGGGTTGAAAATTAGTGATACACAACAAACAACAAAGTAAAAAGAAAATACAGCAAACATAATGACTGATTGTTTTGAAGAATACAGTTACTTTAAATATATGATATTGATAGCAAGTGGATTAGAAAATTAAGAATAATCGTCTCTAAGATTTATGCTCAATTTTCACCCTGATGTCTATATGATGATCATAATCTTGTAGACGGAGAAAGGAAAATGTAGGAAATGACACATAAAATTAGTTTTTTTGAATCTACCGAATATAGAACAATAGATTTTTAGTAGTAGTAGTAGTAGTAGCAGTAATAGTAATAGGTTAGTCAATTCAATCCATGAATGTTGAGGAAGTATTTATTATTATTATTTCCTTTAATTTCTAGAGGAACATAGGGCTTCAGCCGTACGTCTCCATTGCGTTCGGTTCTCTGCTAGAGTCTTCACCTGGCTCCATGTCTGCCCACACGTTTTCATCTCCTCTTCACATGACCTCCTCCATGTCACCCTTGCACTGACGACCAACTCGCCGCTTCCCTTTCGGGTTCCACTCGAGCAATGGCTTGTCTAGTGATGTCACTTGATGGTTTCCTAAGAGTATGGCCAATCCATCTCCATTTCTTCCTGCATATTTGTTTCACAATCGGTTCCTGGTTGGTTCGCTCCCAAAGATCCCTGTTGCTGATCTTTTCTGGCCAGCCATCTGATCTTGAGTATTGAGCGAAGACAACTGTTAATGAAGGTCTGTAGTTTGTTTGAGATGCTCTTTATGACGCGCCAAGTCTCTGATCCGTATAGTAGCACTGTTCACATTGGAGTTGAAAATCTGGATCTTATTTTGGATGCTGAGTGTTGTTGACCTCCACACAGACTTGAGAGTAGTGAAAGCTTGTCTTGCTTTTCCGATTCTTGCTTTGATATCCTCGTCAGTTCCACCTGTAGTTGAAACGATGCTTCCCAGGTAGGTAAGAGAGGTTGTTTCTTTCAGGTTCCTCCCATTTATGCTGATCGTTGTCTGTTGTTGTTGTTGCTGTTGGTGGTGTTGCCCAGGAATTTTCATCACCTCTGTTTTCTTTATGTTCACCTGAAGTCCTATCTTCTCCGGATGCTTCTTCTGCCAACTTGTTGCTTTTCGCTTGCATATCTTCCAGTTTGTGGGAAATCAGACATATATCATCGGCGAAGTCCAGATCCTCCAAGTTTTTGTGTGAGTATATATCACACAATATTTTTTTGGGGGGGACATAATAAAATTCATAATTATCGGTCGGATGAAATCGAGGGTAACTAATCTTTTTCCAAAGCTTAAATCAGAGTAAGATGAATTCAAAACACCTAAGGCAAAATTCACTAAACTAGCCTTATTCCATATGTTGTTAATCCATCCAAACACAAGATTGTGAATGGACTACACTTACCCTGATCTATATGAATAGTTTAGAAACATATCAGATACTAACAGACAAGCATTATGAAGTATTTTTAAAATGCACATGAATTTTAATAGAGTGTGAACAAACGAATCTCGACTAGTGGTTTACGAGTTTGAATTTTACAACTGCTTATACAACTGAAGTCAAACTTCGAAGTAAATAGATTAGAGCAGACTTAATTTTATAAAAGGAGCGGGAAATATTAGACATACCTTAGAAGGATGTATTTTTGAAGGCAAATGATTCTCTGAAGAATTTAAATCTTTATTTTGAGAGGCTATATCATCATTGTCTGATGTATTAACTCTTTTAATTGAACTATCAGCATCACTAAAGGTCCTGCGAGTAGCCCAAGGAGGAGTGACTAATTTCAATTTTGAATCATTAGAAGCAATGACAGTTGATTTCTTCTATAAATGAAAGTGAACAGAAAAAGTTCATATAAGCCAATAGTTTGAATATAAATTCGAAAACACTGAGAAACAATATGTACAGTATATGTAGAAATGATACCAACCGATGTAGAGTTTGAATATCGCAAAAGAGAAAGTACAGTTATTTCCTGGTAGCTACAATACAACTAAGATTGGTGATTACAGTCTCTGAATAGTATGACTCCGAATCAACTCTAGTAATACTAATGCACTCACACTTATTTTAATCACAAAAAAAAAAATAAAACAAGTATGGTACAAAGAAAAGATAACACACGAAATGAAATAAAATAGTCACGATGAAGTGAAGGCATGAATGCCTATGTTCTACTGAGATCTATTCTAATCTATGTAGTCTAGGGTCTAGTAACATTAAGGTTCCTATTGTTATCTGGAATACAGTCAATCAACCTAGAACACCCGACACGGTTTAGAAACTCATAAACTAGTTCCGTACCCTTCACTTCCTTCCAACCTAATCGTACTCCTAAAAAGGCAGTATTTTAGGATAAGTGTAGGCAGGCATGTGTAACACACACCCCATTCATTTGATGATAGAGATTTACAGCTTCCTAAACTAACTTTTTCATCTTGTCTAGGAATCTACTTCTAACTTTTGCATAACTCATGTGGTGAATTCAGTTAACACTGGCAAATCCACAGAGGGAGAGATGGTCATGAACTTGAATTATTTGTGGTTTTTCTTTAGTGGCCATATTCGCGTCATACAAGAGGACAGAACGAAGTTCTGAGCAGCATAATCGACCTTCAGTTGGCAGTTATACAACTTCCCCTGTACAATAAGTGGCGTAATTTTGTGAAGGCCAGGTAGACCTTCAGCATTCACGTCGAGAATTTGTCAAGCATCAACTCATCAGAGTTGACGAGAGTCCCCAGACAATTTAAATGGTCAACAAACTGAATTGCATTATATATTTAGATAGAGTGCGAAATGGTAATTTACATTTGAGCAGTGAGCACCTACAAAGTTGTGTACCTTGTCTGTGAACTCTATGTCAACTAAACAACGGTAAGTCTATACGTTAGAAATTTTATTTAACGTAAAGACTGATATCAACTGGGAGAACATCAGCCAGAGACCTAACGGAATAGCTCATCACAGACTGGACATTCAGCCAACGAGAACCGCGCTTGGACCCTGTTCCACATAATTCGAACGGAGTAAGTAAGCATTACAATAATAGATGTTGCTTATAACCTGGAACATGGAAAAAATTTTCCAGACAACGAAGACCAAAGAAGAAAAAGAGTGCAAGGACTCTAACCCCTACCTTGAGTTTACGAATAGAGAGACCTAGATGAGGCCAAACGCTGAACAGGTAATTAACCGTAAGGATTTGGATCATTGGCTTAGGAATGAAATACAGCCAACGCTCCTGCGTTCGGAGCTTGTCCCGCCTACTTTAGTCTGGGTAATTCAGTATTATCATCAATAAGTATGCCTCATCCTGGTATATGAAAGATCTTTTTCAAGTAAGTGAGTTCCAAATGAAATAATTCAAGAAGTGCCTCTTTTATTAAAAAAAAATGCTAGCATAAATAACTCTGACAGAGTAAGAAAGGAATCTTTAATTCATAAGAAAAGCTGCTATCGGGTGCCAGGCGTATGCATATTACGAGATCTAACGAAGAGTGAACACCAAGTCGATACACTTTCCAAGTTAGATAACGAACTGACTTCGGTTAAAGAACTATTGAAAACTAAGGTATACTGAACACTTGTTTCGTCCTAGTTTAATTAAGACTCTCTAGAAAGGCGTGTCCATGACCCCACCACCAGGAACGAACCCAGGGACCTTCAGGTTATGAGGCGAGCCACTGAGACAATCCAACAACCAATGAATCCAAACGTTTGCTAATTAGAGGTATATGGCACCACCGCTAGCCAATATCCCCGACGAGTACGTGTCCTTACATTCGGACTTCGTGTCCCCCAACAGTCACGACTTCTCTTCAGAAATCCAAGCACTTCATCCTGTAGCTAGCTACCAATGAGTGTTAGATTAATTTCCAAGTGTTGATGTGACACACTTTTGACCAATTTTTAAAAGTGCCTCATGTATTTTTACTTTGTGATAAGATTATGAAAACTAGGATTTTACAAATAAAATTAATTTAACCAGTTTTTATGTGACCAACACAGTAGGATTTTTCTCCTTTCTGAAAGACTTCAACGATAAGTCATTGAGATCAACCAGAGGGAATCATGTCTGACCCTGCTACGAAATTTATTCATAAATTTAAGCCCTTTTTAATCGTTTTTTAGAACCACAAAAAGTACCTACCAGTGTTTCAACTGAATAATGAACATGAAACTAAAACTGATCAGAAAGTGTAGAGTTGCTGTGACTAATATTTTATGAATTCTCTTTTATTTGCACTCATAAAATCTCTACTGTCAAGCTGAGTTTATAAAGGTCTCACAAAGCAGACAGAGGTGTACACGGACCAGAGTATGTTTACTAACCCAAAACATATTTCATATGAAACAGAAAAGTTCTACTTCTGTCTGTTTAGTCATACAGTGCCACTCCTTAAGTCTAAGAACACAAAATTATCTAGACAAAGTTGTAACAGGCGATCGCTATTATAAGATGGTTGGGTCAAAGAATTTGAAGGTAGGACCTGAGATCCTTCCTAATAGCACTAAAATCTCCCCGTGGTACTAGTACTTTAAAATGGCTGGTGTTTTATTGCAGACCAAAAAAGGTCTTAGGAAATTCGTCAGAGCTGCAGACGACGGTAGCATAGACAAGGACTACACAACCATAATAGTGTAAGTGACGATTCCACACAGGTCTAAAAATAACAAATAGTTGAACAGCACAGATGCGACTATCAACTAAGATCCAAGAGAAGAGTGTATTGTCCAAAGACTTATCCCTATAGTTACGTCTGCAAGGCGACAAGAATAGCCAACTAAATCTTTGGGTTCTTGAAACGTGATCATCTGTAATTGTCTTACAACCCAATTCTACTTCACACAAGCACCATAGGATAGAATTGCCTAAATCTGTGAAGAGAATTACCATAAACACAAAATAATATACGGGAAACTAAGTAAACGAGATAAAACAAAATCTATAAATAACATGTAAACTAAAAGGAGAAAACACTCTACAGAGCTATTAATACTAACCGAATACGAGTATTGCTGAGATTCGCTATCATCGCTTGAATGTCCATTCAGAAGACTGTAATTCCCTGGAGAAATAACACCATTTCTAATTGATATTTCATCGTCCACATTCTCAACTAAACTAGAAGTTGCAGGGAACATTGATGGGGATTCGTAAAACTGATTGATTTCATACAACTTTTTTCTTGTACGCTAGAAAAGATAAAATTCATTCCATTAACATTCATGAAACAGACAAGCAGTTGTAGCTGTGAAACATCACGTCACACAATTATAGAGACAGAAGAACAATATCACTCCCAATTAAACTGCGATCATGCAGAAGGAACCCTCCAAATGCCGATAACGCAAGCGACAAAAACCTGGTGTGAACTGCTTCGTAGAACATGACCTGCTGGCTGGCTGGATTGAACATAGAATTTGGCACCGAAGTGCAGCAGTTCAAGTTGCCACGTTCCAAAGAGAACCCAAACGTAGACAAGAAAATGAGTGAAGAGAATCAATAGAGTTTTGACAAGTATAAGAGAACATGACCTATCAACCTACAGCTGATAAGATGTAAGAAACCCACCACATCAAACTCATTATCTGAGACACAGAGTTCTCAACCATTTCCCACAGCACAACAAACTGATCGAAGAGAAAGCCGATGGCTTAGCATACATAACACGCATGTTAGCTATCTCAATCAATGTAACTTTACAACCTCATAAATTGACTTACTCTTTGCTTAACCACATTATTACTGAATATACATACTATATCGGTCATCCAACTGTAACTGAGGTTGAAAAAGCTGTGTCTAACCTAAAACAAGAGAAAGCAGCAGGACTCGACGGTATGAACATAAGGATGTTGGAGGATTGTAGTGACAAACTATTAACAGGGTTAAGCAAGATATCAGTTGATGTGTGGGGATGTGAGAGATAGCTCCGCTGGACTTGTGCAAATAATTGACTCCCCCAGCTTAGAAGAAAGGAGAGAAGTATCCTTGTGATAATCGAACCGGGATCGGCTTAACCAACATAGTATCTGGAACTGTAGGTTTTATAATCCTGTGTACGCTAAGTGGCGCTCGGGAGAAAGAAGAAATCAGCTGAAAATGTAACTACTTGATTCTTTAGAGTTCTCCAATTGATGATGATCTGAAATGTTATCTACCGTTAGGATACATCGAAGACCTTACCACATAGTAGGCACTTTAAAAAGATTTTACCGCGGTATCCTAAGATTCTTGATTAGTGAAGGAAGTAATCTCAATGAAAAAGGACGACGCAATAAAATTTCATGAATGAGAATTTATGCTCGAACATATTAAATTAGCACATAAGAATGAGCAACTAAACACTCGAAGGATGAAATACTCGATGGAATAAGCCAAACCATAAACAGTTTAAAAGAATGAACGAATTGTACATAATAACTTACATTTTTATCAGGATGGGAGTCAGCTGACAGCAAACCATTACACTGACCTGCTTTCATTAAAACTGCGGATGACTTTTTCATTTTACAAGAAAAAACTGAAGGGGATAACTTCCTTTTTTTGGAATCACTGGAGTAAATATGGTTTTGTTCATGATTTCCTTTTCGAGACTTTACATCTTTTCCATCTGGAAGTAATATACACTTGGTGAGGTCAGCGGTAAAAAGTGACAGCCTATGTTTTTTAGATTCAGTAGGCTTTTTCGTTACAAACGGTGGTGAGATACGGTCTGGATTAAATGCATAAGGTAAGTCCTCTTTCTTTGCAAAAGCATTCCTCTTAGGATTTTTATCAAAAGATGAACGACTGCTAGGCGAGCATGGCTTGTCTTGTCGTGAACTGCTTCTGGGTGATGTTAACGCACTCTTCCCCGTCGAATCATTCGTTTTTACAGGTAACACACAATCTTTATCATAATCCTGTTTTAATTTAACGGGGGATGTGAGAGCGGGTGGTGTTGTTTTCGTGAGTACTGGTCGAAATGGATCGCCAGTTCTAAAAGACAGATTTCGTTGCTTTTTGGGTAAATTTATAAAACTATCCCAGTCTACGAGCGATCGTTTAGGTTTCTGAGTACATTCACTTGTTCTGGGAGGACTGGAAAGACTTGAAAGTTCAGTGGTAGAAAACGATGTTTTTTTATTATCACTTAACTTCCCTTTCATTTCATTAGTAGGCTTTTGACTTACAACTGCATGACACATATTGCCAATAACAGTATTCGTCTTATTAATTTTGTCACCACAGTTCTCTCTGACTGCTTTATTTGGTCTTGAATCTAAGTGGAGCGATCCATTCGAATCTAAAAAATTAAAGTATATTTTAAAGATACCAATATATGAATTGGAGAATATGAATTAAACTTTGACCTTTTTTATGTTCATTAGGACTATATTTATGAGTATTTTTGTGATACAATTTAATCATATAAGTCTTAACAACGTATGAAATGATATACCGTTGCATCATTTCAATAGTTTCTTTGATCACTTAAGTATATAGTCAGCGAACTATGTGGCTGATGTTGCAGGGGTCATATCCCACAAATGTCGTCTGGACAGCGATTAGACTAAAAGCAGCTACCGTCATAGTGTAAGTCACTATGTTGGGAGTGTGAAGTCGAAATTGCACAACAAGTGAATAGGAAATGTAACAGCACTCAGGTGTTTCTCTAGGACAACCGGCAAGCCAAGTATGCAACCTTTCCGATCTAGGGGGATTACAAAAGTTCGATGCCGAAAATTGTACATTCTGACTTGATCGTAAAGTTTTCGTACAGACAACTCCAAACAGACCATGTGCAACTAGCCTCAAAGAGCTATTCCCTGGGCTCTGGGATTACGTAGTGATAATGTTCTACTTCAAGTACTTCAGGAAGAATTCAAGAAGCCATCTCACTTTAACCACTCTTCCTACCGCTTTAATTCTACTCTAACATTATACAATGAGGTACAGTGAAGTAGTGTGTGGATGTATGTACTACATGTATCAATTATTTTATTCGAAAAATATTTACAAATTTAATGTACTTATGCGTCTTTTCCATCTAATACTTAGTACATAAACTATGTGATTCTCACTCACCACATAACAGGGATGCCTTCACTCCCACTGATCAAATACATGTAGTTTCTTTTTTATTATTCCTTCACGTTCCCAGTGGAACATAGGGCTTTAAGCTAGAGGCTGTAAGTTTCTGTAGCAGAGTTTATTTTTACGGGATGGGGTTGCTGGCCTCATGCTCAACCTTCCCTCTTTACCAGTCATATTACTGGGTTAGCGAGGTAAAGGTGTGCGTCGGCTGGGGATCGAACCCCGGACCATGTGCATAGTCGGCGAGCGTTTTAACCGCTGTGCCACCCACGCACATGTAGTTTGCAGGATTTTAAATCACTTGAAAAACACTATTGCATATTACACTCACCTAAAACAAATTTTGACTTCCACTTTCATTTTAGATGGCAAGAGTCAACAAAAGTATATCTTTATTATTGTATGTGAGATTTTATCCTGACCAAACGAATTAGGATTGGTAGGTTTTCAACATGCCTCATCTCTTTATTCCTCATTAAGAGAAAAACAAACGTTTTCACGGATAGATATTCAAGCAATCCCACATAGTCACGTAAGTTTATTAGAAGACCCTGGGATCCCATAATTAGTAATAGTATTTAAGAAATTGACAAAAGATTACGTTACGAAAATTACAGTATAATCATGCCGTTTAAATTCTATTTGTATCAATACACAAAACCAAAATTCCGTAATGAATTTAAAGTCTCTTGAAATATATTATGATGGTATTTGTTTCATTCGGATTTCGCGAAACAGAATAGAGTAGGAAAATTAATACATACTATTAAATCAAATTTATGTTACGCATTATCCATAAGAATTCATCAACATGTCGAGAAATTCGGAGATAATGATGAGGCTTACCTTTACTGGACTTCATGATGTGGTACCTTAGACGCTAGGCATACAGTAGATATCCTTTCGCGCTATGCGGAACACCAAAAGTATGTTTCGAGGTACCCCTGAAGATAGTAAAATTTGCAAGAGGATCACTTTATTCATGCTTTACTAGATTTGTGCAGGTGATTTCATTTGAGGACTTAATAAACCAACCATACTACAACAAAACGAATTGTGATATTATAACAAGAATTCAAAACCGATACACAAATCGAAAAGTCCCCAAACGACGCAATAAATACATCTTAAAATAGGAGTCATTTACAACAGCTCTAGCAAAAAAGGAAGCTTTCTCTCACCAACAGCTGCTGGCTGGCGGTACACAAATTGCCTGAAGACCAAATAATAATTGTGTTTGTTTGTTGTTAGGGTTAATAGCTGTCTACCCACTAAGCGAAGGGAGCAGAATCAGCTAGGATAAAAATGCTTGTCTCCATCAAAACTGAGTAGTGGCACATACAAAATAATACGATTACGTATGCCTAGTCATCGCCTTCCTCGACGGGCAATGTTAGCTGACATAGGGTCAGGCTGGAAAACAGCTAGCGGCAGTCAAACCAAAACATGGCACCAGTCAATGAAATCTACAACAGCTAGTTTAAGCCACGTAGGAAGGTGTAGACCTCCTGGTTGGGTTCCTCGGGACAGTAAAAACCAATGGTTTGAAACAATTGGTGATATGGCTCAAAATCCTTCTCAATGGCGCAGATGCATCCACTCCTTGTGACTCATGATTTCCAGTGAAACTATATTGTTCTTCGTTATAACTATTCCTTTGTCTCACACCTCTGTTTACTGTCTATATTATGCTTTTTTTCTCTTACTTTGTGTGCTGCATGGAGTGTGGCGACTTGAACTGCCGCACATCAGTGCAAAGTTCTATGTCGAAAACAGACAGACAGACAGTATCTGAAAGACGATAGGAGACGTTATACTGTTTATGGTAAAAGTGTTATGATAGCACCAAATTGTTTTCACAACTACAAGGTTCTAGCTGAGGTTTCCGGTCGAAGTGAAAGACGAGATTTATCAAAAACCATCCATTTTGATGCAGTGAAACCTGCAGCACATATAAGAGAGCGCAAATGCTAAGAAACTATAATCAGAAATATACGGGAAAAATAATAAGTGTATGAAGAAACAGCAGGACACATTCAGTCTCGAAAAATACAAAGGGTGCATAAAACTGTGTCATTAAGAACGATACTGAGCAATCCCAACGAGAATCCTCAAAGGAAAGTTATTACCAACTCGAGGTCGACAGTCAGAAAATCCATACTACCGTACATCGCTTAAACCAATAATCAAGGACTTCCCTGACTAACGATATCATTTATATTAACCAATCCCAAATAAACTTCTAGCCCGGTCGCATGCTACATGACTCTATTCCGTACGGCAGTCGATGGATTGGCAAGCATAACACGCATGCTAGCTATCTCAATCCATGTAACTTTACAACCTCATCAATTGACTTAATCTCCTTACCTAACACTCTTTGCCTAACCACATTATTACTGAATATACATACTATACCATATAAGATAGATAGATATAAGATAGTACGAAAACGTTTGTGGTTAAAGATAGCTAGCCCCTTCATACCTTCTACTCTCAACGGTCATGTCTCACAGCCATAAAGAAGGACAGGACAAACCACAGCCCAGTACGCACATCATTCGAACGGTGGCCAGATATCACATCTTCACCACAAATAACGTAAGTGGATGAGTGCCACTGACTGACTGGTCTCAAAGTGGAACTTTGCACAGATATGCAGCAGTTCCAGTTGCCACACTCCATGAAGCACACAAAGCAAGAGAAGAGGGATAATAAACAGAAGTGTGAGGCAAAAAGAATAGTAGTATAGAAGAACGGTAGACACAGGTCGTTTGTAACCATGCTGAAATTTCGTCTGCAATCTGTCCTAACCACTAGACCACAGCGACTGGAATCAGCCTATTAGGACTGATTAGAATTCTCAAATAAGTGGTTGGAAGCTTCGCCAACCACAGAAGTATGAAATCCCATGCCGACGAGGGCGATCACCTTTTACAATTCTGTTCAAATAATCATCTGTTCATAGTCAACAATAGTTCCAAACATCAGGAGAGCCACTGTCTCAACTACCGACCAACATCAAATCGACGATGGATACAAATAGACCACGTAGCTACAAGCTCTCGATGGAGATGGTCGAGACTGTTACTTTTGGACTGCCTGCGTGGACCCCCAATACGTGCACGTATATGTCTACGACTGGACAGTCATTGAAAACAGGTAGATATGATGCTGCTGTGAAATCTAACTTGATGACAACAATAACTCTCCGTTTAAAAGAAAATAATAAACACGTATCTCAGACTGACAGCAAAACTCATCCTGAAGAAACCTGGCATAATACCAATCAACTTTAGACACAGCGATAAACGCTGTTAGTAACCTAAAACAAACGTTAGTAAACGCCAGTGAATTTCAGTTACTACATCCGAATTGATAGACGCAAGAAGACTGATTCTAGAGAGCTCCAAATATGACGAGTGAAAGCTGCCCAAATGCAAGCTGGCTGAAAGTCTTTGCAACGAGTGATCAACAGTGGGTAATAGAAGTAAGAGGAATGGGAAGGGCGCCAGAAGTGGATAATACCAGACAATTGTTCAGAATCCATAAGGAAACGGATTGTAGAAACTTAGTGGTTAGTGAAATGACTCCCAAGAAGGACGACACTTTAATTACCTTTCAGGATAGATGACTGGGACTATGGAACACTTTAAGAAGCAATCCAACATGCCTACAGCCACGCTAAATTTGACCAACATCCAACACTTACCTAAATGGGAAGCAGATATCGGTCATCCAACTGTAACTGAGGTTGAAAAAGCTGTGTCTAACCTAAAACAAGAGAAAGCAGCAGGACTCGACGGTATGAACATAAGGATGTTGGAGGATTGTAGTGACAAACTATTAACAGGGTTAAGCAAGATATCAGTTGATGTGTGGGGATGTGAGATAGTTCTGCTGGACTTGTGCAAATAATTGACTCCCCCAGCTTAGAAGAAAGGAGAGAAGTATCCTTGTGATAATCGAAGCAGCATCCGCCTAACTAATAGGTTCCATAGTCCAGTGGAAAATTGGCACTCAGACAAAGAAAACCGAACGGATTTGAAACGCAGATGATGGTATTTTGATGCCAAGTTTTTACTGACACGTGTTACGCATTTGACGGCATAGGCTTCCTCAGCTGGCAGTGTTAGATGTGAGACAACCATTAGAAAAGCGTTAATTGATGGTTAAACCGAAACATGGTACCAATCGATGAAGACTTTGAATTTTGGTTTGAGGCATGCAGGGAGGTGTGGAGTGTCCCGCTATTGTCCTCGTGAGGGCAATAACCGACCGGAGACTTATTCCAATGACTCAAGGTAGTTTTAAATGGCACTGGGTATTTACCCCCTTTGAATTCCAATATGTTCACAATCTACTTCACTCTTCATGGTATTACTTATCTACCTTACATTTCCGTTTATGACGGCTTCACTGAATTTCTTGTTTCTTCACTTTCGTGTGTGCTTCAGAAAGTTTGACGACTTGAAGTGCTGTACGCTGTGCAAAGTTCTACGTTGAAAAGCCAGTATTCCAGCTGTGATTTATTTCTATTCCAGGATGAGTAATAAAATGCCCACCTCCAAGACTGAAGCGGTTAGATACATTGGTTACTTATTTTGGAAACGACATCATCCTCAATGACTATTGGTAATAAAGCTTTAAAATGAGTGAGAAAAGCCACTTTACCACTTGGCAACTCATCGAATGTCATCTGTTTTGTTTTGGACTAAGGGTGAGACAACCGTTGGTTAAACAAAACTGTAGAAGCCTATGCTACATCTACCAGTTTGTGTTACTGTACTTTGAGACAAGACAAAAAACATAAATGAACCGAAATAGAATGGCACATGCGAAGCGAGACTAAACATTTTTCCACCCAGTTATCCTCACTGGATTGCCTACGCGTGGTGTACTACTTAGACTTAAGGCTGAATGTTAGGTTAGGAAGACGGAACAGCTAATCAGGTTACGAACATTTTTTACTGATATGGCTGAAACATGGTACGTAACTTAAAGGGCTTATCAAAGTAAGATACTGACCAAAAATAAAGAATGGTCATCCTACGACTTGGTTTGTGTGACATGTGATGAGTCGTGTAAATGCTTTCAAGCTGTTAAGATTCAGTAAAATGAACCACATTACGTGGATTCACTCCATAATCTTTGAGATTGCATAGATTTTGTTAGAAATTGTTTCATTGTTTTTTTTTCTTATTGGATATAATATCTCAAAAAATAACCTGAATTGAGGCTACATTACTCGAGATTCCATGGTGATATATCCACCTTCAAAATCTATCAGAAATTAGTTTTAGTGACCCTGCTTGTAGCAACTTCTGGTGAAACACAAAATGCAGTCCAAAAATGGCATGCATTTGCGTGATTGAGATCTTTAGTGAGTGAATGTGATCGAGACTAAAATTTATAACATATAAGCAATATTTGATTTTAAATGACTAACTGAAATACACTTTTACATGTGCCCTACATGAATTCTTATAACCATTTGACATGACTACGTACGAACATAAATCTATGGAATATTATATTGTATGATCAGCGCTTTGTTTGCATTGTTAAGATTACTCATGGGTTATCAGCAGTTTAGCAAAATATACAATGAAAGTACTAAAAGTCCGAAATCACTACACACGTCCTTTCAACTGTAAAGACTTGTGCAGTATGTTCAAGGAGTTGGTGATGGTAACCTTTCCCCATGCACCACTAAGTCTCCTAGATACCTACCGACAAGTAATCTCAACTCAGACTACCCGTGCAAGACTATCAGTATACAGTGGTGAATTCATAGTGATTCTGAAGCCCTTTTTTGCCAGTATACGCATTATAACAAATTCCTACATGACTGCGTTATTTCTGCTTGAATGGGGCGAAAGTGATCAAATGATGACGCGGTGTTGCGAAATTAAGACAACCATACGATAAACTGTAACCTGATGAGGTACCATGGTTACCTAAGAGAAGGTTGAGAGGTGGTGTAACTTGAGTTTCTAAGTTCCCTTATTCGTGTTAATCATAGTGTAGCCCCTTTTTCTGTTTAACGGGATTATTCTAGAAGAAAACAGACAACAAAGGTACTTCTTCAATGACGCACGCACCTCGGAGTTTACCATGTGTTATGGTCTCACATCAGCTTTGTTCCTACTTGATTTGCATCTCAATGACTATGATTGTGAAATAAAAATACATCTATATACCGAGAAGGGATAAAAAGTAGGACAACTTGCTGCATGTGGTTTGCAGTAAGTTGTTTCATGTACATGTTTAAGTGAACAACGACATACCCTAGCCGGGGAGCATTGAATAATACCAGTGAGATGAAAAATGTTACTAAGATTACCACTCTCTTAAATCTATCTTGCGCTTTATTCTCGAAAACCTTATGATTACTCCAAAGTCAACTAACATACCTTAAAGACGAACTCGAAGTACCGCTCACAATCACAAATTGAAATAGAGCCGTTTAAATGGTTTCAAATATTCGTGTATGCAGTTAACTTATGTGTTAGTGGAGAGAATTTGGCAAGTTTTGATGCTTGGTGCTTAGTTTGCCAGATAGCATAACAAGAAAGATCCTGTTTTATGCATTTTTCGGCTTACGAAACTTGATCTCCCTATTCAATGAATTGAATTTCTGTTACGTAGTTCCATCTGTTTTAAACTATCAGTCTAATTAACGTCACCCCTCGCACCGAATCTAAAGACCCCAGTACCTATTTCCTGCTTTGTCGATGTCTTCAACCTTATATTCCTGTTAAGGAACTACAAAAATCGAACAAAGTACTCACAGCACATCCCTTATCTCCATAGAAAGCTGATGTGTCGAGCTTATCAAGACTGAAGGCGAACGTTCCAGAGTTCATCAGAGCTCGGATAAGTTTTCTGGGAAGATTAAAACGACCAATTTTACAGTTCTGTCGTTTGCAAGAGTGATTCATCCTTCGAATGTAATTTTTGGAAACGAGGGGTGCATTGCCGATATGATAGAGAAGTGACTAAAATATATCATGAGTTTGCTTAAAATAGTCCATGTCCATGTTTCTGGTATATTTGTCCACCCTTTCGCCCTCACCTAGTCTTTCACAGTGTTTCATCGGAAAACACCAAAGGCATCTGAAGACCTTCAACAATGTACTCCAGCTCATCTGACCAAGAGTATAAATCCAGTGAAGCCGTACTTGATAAGATTTTTACACGTATGGGTCTCAAAAACAATGCAGAAAATTCTGCTTTTCCTCAAAGGCCACCTGCAATGCTGGCAAACATAGTCATTTCAGAGCACCGTAGAGTAGTAACAACTTGAAGCTGAAGTTACTGATCTCGGGATATAAGATAAAAAACCAAGAAAAGAACATTAATTTGAGGTTAGTCAGTGTAATAATAACAACATATTCTCAGTTTCTGTAGACGACGGACGCCAGTTTACAGGCATCATCAATATGATAAATTACATATACGATTAGTAAGCATATTTAGTAGTGATAATACAATAAAGTACAGATCTATTCCCACCTATGTAGGACACACCAATTGTACACGCATGGATAAGTGTTCTTTAAATTAGATAAATACGGTTCATGGTAAAATTATAAGGTTGCAGTCATTTTGTCTATGGGAACAATATGATAACTAGTCATTCAATGGAGCACATCAAGAAACATAGAAATATTGTCTTCGCATTAACAAAAAAACCCAAGTATGTTTTGGATGGATTACAAATACGTGGGAAAAAAATAAGCCTGAAGTTATTTCCCTCATATAACAATGAAATGCATCTTGTAATAGTATATTCTCACTTTATTCGCATAAGGGACTCCAGTTGACGGGCATCATCAATATGATAATAATGTATACATTGAGTAAGCATGTTCACCATTTTTGACTGACACAGGATATATGTACAAGTAAAGGTAGTGGAGTATTGACAGCAAGAACACTTTACATGAGTTAAAATAGTTTGTCAAAAATGCGCGCAACGACTGAGCGTTGCGTCACGTGTGGTCGATATGGTGGGCTCTTCACAAAAGTATAAAAATGGCTTGTAAAACGTTGGTTAGTTTACCGTCAACAATGTTTTTAGCAATACAATCTGCAAAAGGCTCACCACAGCAGTTAGTATCCAGTTAAACATACAGAAAAGAATTAGTGATTCAGCAACCGGTGGATTTTCGATTCCTGTCGGTCTGGAACCAGAATGACTGCGATCCAATCCATACAGAATGTCGAATAATAATAATTTTTATTTTCATGCTATTTTTACAGGCACGATCACGTATGATATAATGGCAAATAGTAGATTGTCTACAAGTTAATAATGTTTGAGCAGCTAAATATTTGATATATATATAAATACACTCATTTTCTGACCCATGTCGTATCATTATTGAATTAAACAGTAGTCCTCCAGGTTGCGCAGGATAATCGACTTCGTTTCGTTTTCAACCCGTAGTTGTAGGCATACGATAGCCAACCAATATTGAGGTAAGTACAACGTTTACAAGGGATAGTAAGATTATCTCCTTTTTTAAAAGTTCAAATTGTTGAATTATATAGTACAAGCAATCGGAACAGATTCTTATAATTGTTAATTTGTAAATCTTCCACGAAGGTTTCCATCGAAGTTGAGCGACAACCACGTGCTTGAACGCTATTTCAGGAAGAGGAGAAAATCCTGCACAGCTTCAAAGTGGTATAAAATGCAATCATGAATAATACGTTATTGGAAGTATTTTTACAAGAAAAATACAAGAATAAGCCATACAGTACTTGATATGATAGTGCACATTTGCAATGTATGATGCTAACCATATTGGTCTTACCGTAGAAAACTATGACGTTTTCTATGAAAATAAAGTTATTCTCAAACATGAGTGCTGTTGTTATGTTTTTTTACCATCAGAGCAACCGAACTTTATGCGAGAGAAGAGTGTGAATGAGAAAAAAGAAAAACAA